AGACGCAGTGAGGTGGGGGGGCTACACACACGGGCCGAGAGAGAGAGAGAGAGAGAGAGAGAGAGAGGGCAGGGCCCAGGCCCTCCCTCCCCCTCTCCACCCCCCCCCCCCCACTCTCAGGTCCAGAGCCCAGGAGAAGCCCCCGGCAGCACAGCCCCTGAGCCTGGCCCAGAGTGGAAGCGTGGGGGTGGGGGGTGGGGGTCCCTGTACAAGGCAAACATCCTGCCCTATGGGGAACCCCAGCCACCTCCTGGAGAAGTTTCCCAGCCTCTTCCCGGCCAGGCTGACTTGGGCTGCGCCGTCCCCTCCCCCCATTTCCTATTAAATTCCTGGCGTCTGGGAGCTGGCGGCAGCTAGGGCGACCTACCAACTTTTCCCCTGGGCATTTTCTCACCCCCCAGGGCTTTCTTTTCTCTTCCCTGCGCTCTGTTTGAAAGGAGGCACCCAGGCCCAGGACGTGTTCTGCAGTTTAACGACTTCCAAATTCTTTGTTCAGGTCACCCCGGGACTCCATTGTCCACTATTGAGAGCTCGGGCGGGAGGGAGGGCGCGCGCGCGCGCGCCTCTGTCGGGCAGGCCTGAATCCATTAGGCCACCGCTCTGGCCGCTGCGGCCCATCGAGGCGCTCGCCGAACCCGGTTGTCGAGGCCCCTCCCGCCGTCCCCGCCCCTGCAGCCTGCGGAGGCCGGTGGCCTGACGTGAGGCCGCAGGGCCGCGCGGGGTTCTCTGGGCCTCACGCTATCTGGAGATACTGGGCGTGGGTGCAGGCCGAGCGTGATTCCTGAGACTCGGTGCCAGTCTGCATACTCTCGACCCAGGGTCCTGGGGACCCCCGTTGTTTTCCGCGCGGCCCCGCTAGGCAGCTTTTGAGGAGGCGGAAGCCAGATTCAGGAATGAGACGGGGGAACAACCAACATCACGCCTCCCGCCCCTTCTCCAGGGCCCCAGAGGCCGGCATTTCCCCTTCCTCTTTCTCCTCGGGGGCCCAGATCCCCGCTTCCAGTTTGCTCAGACCTCTCCTGAGTTAAGAGCGTGAAAGGAGGCTGCCCGGTTTGGGGAGGTGGGCTGTGGGAGCCAGGCCCCGGGAGCTCTGTCCTGAGCGCGGCCGGCCTTCCCAGCATGGCTCACTGGCGCGAGAGGACAAGAAGCTCCCTGACCCAAGACGTGCCTTCCAGGTTCCTAGGGAGCCAGGGCGCACGGGGCCCCACTGTGTCCTGTCCCAGGTCCCAAGGAGACAGAGGCCCCCGGGGACTCAGCTCCTCGGTGTCCCCCTGGGGATCGGCGCCAACGCTTCTGCTCCAGTGCCCGGCCTCCAGCGCCCCAGAGCGCATCCCGGAGGCTCAGTCTGGGGTGGGGAGCTGAACGCTCTCTGAGCCCGCAAGGGGCCTGGGAGAGACTGGACGCGGAGGGCCAGGGTGCGGAGACTTGGCGGAACCCAGCGCCGCCCGGGTGACGAGCGGAGGAGGTCAGACCACCGCCCCCTGGTGTCCCGGCGGGAGCTCACGCCCTGACGCGCCGCCACCCCCTTCCTACCGGGTTCCAGACCTAAAGCGGGGGGAGGCCGAAGCCTGCACCCCCTCAGACCTGGCCGGGCTGCGCCAAGGCTCCTGCAGGCCACGGGAGCTCCTGAGGGTCTCCCAAGCTCCTACCCCCACGTCCTCCTCCTTCCGTCCTATCGACGGGACCCGGGTCCTCTCTGGGACGGTCCTGACCTCGTGGATCTGCGGCCCCGGAGCGCGTTTCCCCGCGCTGTCCAACAGCACCCTCTGGCGGGAGTCCCCGGGAGGTGCAGGCGCACCCGGCCGAGGCTGCCGCGGGCGGGGCGGGAAAGACACTGGACCCGCAGGGCCTTGGTGCGGCGGTGGGGCTCTGGAAAGGAGACAGAGATGCCGTATCCGAGCGAGAGCTGGGCCCCTCTTCCTCCTCCTGGCTCTTCTCTGCCTCTCCCCCTGCGCGCGTAGCGCCCGCTCGTGCGCGAGGCCCTCCCCCCGGTTAGGAAACAGGCACGCCCAGTGCGTGAGGCCGCCAGACTCCAGGCCTGAACCGCACCTTCTCTCTGGCTGGAGCCCCCGCTACCCGGTCTCCTCCGGGAAGGTCGCGTGTAGGCCGAGGTGGATGGGGCAGGCTCAGGGCCTTCTTCCTCGGGGCTCTTGCCGCCAGGCAGCTGCGCCCCTTGTCCCCACGCACTTCGCTCTCCCCATTTCAGCAGCTTCCCTTTCAGCCCTGGTCCCTCTCCTACCTGTGGGGTCTCAGAAAATTAAGAAGTTATAATTAGGTCTGAGGATCTCTTGGTGGTGGTGGGGGGGTCCCCTTGGTCAAGCACGAAGGAGGGAGGCTCATGAAAAATGTTCATGGATTCTCAGGTTGCTGACAAATGTTGGAGGGGCAGATGGCAGCGTGACCTGAGACCTTCCGCCAGGAGCGTGGGCCGTAGCAAAGCAATCATAAGGTTGGCTCGCTGTCTCCTCGCTTGTGCTTCTTCGCCTGAGGTGTGGTTAGTGGGCTTGCAGAAGTGCCTGGTGGCTTTGGGTTCTGATCCAGGCCTCGGGCTGGGTGGCTTTTGGATCCGTGAGTCCACCTCGGGCTTGTTATTGGGGCCTTTCTTTTCTTCTCTGTAAAACGGAATCATGGTTGTACCTGTGCACCGTTAGTACCAACGGGGTTATTGAAGGGATTAAATGAGATGGTGCTCTAAAGTGTTTAGCCTGGCGGTAGGGCTTTAGGCAGGATACTTCGCTTCTCTGTGCCTCAGTTTCCTCACCAGGAGAAGGGAATGACTACAGCGCCTCTATCTTAGGGTCAGTGGGAGGGTTAATTTAGTTGACTGTAATAATCTCAGCACAAAGCACAGCATCTAAAGTGCGGGTGGTTATGATGAAGCTTCAGCCAGGCCATGAAATTCAGCATACAGTGAGACACAGGGTCAGTCTTCAGGGGAATTAACAGCAGTGGAAAGGGAGATTAAAAAAAAAAAAATCAGTGCTTGTTACAATTGAGATACATGCTTTGTAAGAAAGTTCCTAATGAACTTTGTCTGTAGCTACCTTGTAAGGAGAGGTGAAACGGGGAGCGGGGAGCAATGTATCTGCTTTCTCAGGCACAACCGGCAGGGACGGGAGTTTCCTGGAAGAACTTGGGGGAGCTCCCAGAAAACGGAGAGAAGGTGGAGCCGCTGGTCTCCGAACCCTGGAAATGGTGCAGCGGAGGCCGGAGGTCTCCCAGCAGGAACCGGTGTCAGCCGGCTTTGTCCTTGCTGAGGATTCTAATCCCAGGGGCAGAGCGCCAGCCTGGCCTGAGGTCGCCGTGTGAGAGGGCGCGCGTCTCGATGGACGTTGCCTGGCACTGGGTTGTTCTCCCCGCGGACCTCAGCAGGCCCAGCGACAGCGTCCCCCGGAAGTGACATCCAGCGAGGCCGAGGGTGCTTAGCTTCTTTGTGCCATAGACACCTTCTTGGAATAATGTCCTTAAATGCGCAAAACCCACAGGAAAGCAAAGAGAATGAAATAGTTACAGAGTAGGTAATACAATATATATTAGCATAAACAATACACGGAAAAATCTGCAACAGTTGTAACGTGCTATGAAAATCTGCACGAATGCTATTGGGTACTGCCGCTAACCTCACCATGGAAGGAAATGTTAAAAGATCGGTAGGAGACAAATAATGAAAACGGTTCCCTCACCCAGGGACTCCCCGATTTACGTCGCGAGTCTTCCCTCTGGGTATTTTGTAAAAATGTCAACGGTACATGGTTAAGTGGGGGGAATAAACTGATTATATAAAATGGTGAATTTTCCGTTAATTTCATCTGTTTGCCGAAAGAAAAGAGAAGCAAGAAAACAGTTGTGTGTTAAATGCGTCTGCGAGAGTAGGGCTCGCTCTCGGCCTCGTGGAGCGGCAAGAGGGCGGGGCCCGGGCGCGAGCCGCCCGCGGGGCGGTGGAGGGGCGCCTGTCCCTCGCTGTCCCCGCAGCCTACTCCTGGCAAACACCGAAGTTTGTGCCCCAGTCAGATCGTGGCGTCCTGGCGCGCACCCGGACCGGGAGGCGGGGCGAGGCCTAAATTTTATCCCTAATCAGTTATCTGTCGGGGTCTGGCGTTGCCTCATCCGCGCGGCTGGGTCTCCGAGCCCCCCTTATTCCCAGGGGCCGCCTCCTGCGTGGTGCTTCACAGTTTGTAAACCACTGGAGCGCGGGCAGCCCAGCTGTTGAGGCACCTGGAGCGGCAGGAGGGTTGGGTGCAGAGACCACGAAGGCTTAAAAGCGCTCCCTGGCAGGTTCCCAGTCTGGAGGGAGCAGGACGCGCTCCAGGAGGGTGGGTGGGGAGCGCCCACCGCCTCACAGTTGCCCGTGGTGAGGCGTAGGCCTCCCGGGTCCGGAGCCGGCGGGACTCCCTTCTTCAGTCGTGAACTACTGCCATTCCTTGGTATCAATTGATATTAAATCGAGATTTCCGCAAGCGGGGCGCTTCCTCTCCACTGTGCCGCCCCCCCCGCGCCGCCAACCCGGGACACGTAGGCGAGCGATTTCACAGGGCCCGGCTGCGCGCGGTGCCCGGGGGCCGTTACCTCCGCAGATCAGGGCGTTCCCTGGATGTAATGCCAGGCGGTGATTGGGCACAATGTCCGGGGCTGTCCGGACGCTTCATTCCTAGCGGGGAATAAACCGAAAAAGTATGAGCCAGCCCCTCCGACCGCGGCAGGACTCGAACCTGCAATCTTCTGATCCGAAGTCAGACGCCTTATCCATTAGGCCACGCGGCCGCCCGATGACTGGTGCTCCACGGATGAGCTAAAAAGTCTCATTACCAACCAAGGCTTGCCTGGGATCAATCCACCTGCTTCTTGAGCAGGGGAGATTGGACCCTACTTCCCGCAGTTTCGCAAGGAGGCCCACCCGGAAGTCCCCCTCGTCCCCCGCGCGCGGACCGGTCCACTTGCGGCCCTGCGATTGGTCGCTCGGGGAGTCTCCCCGCCTGCGTATCGGGTAAGTCTCTGGACCGAGCGCGGCGCAGACGGGAAGTTGCGGCTGCCAGCGGGGCGGACTGGTCGGGTTGGAGGCCACGCGCCACCCCGAGGCTGCGTAGGCCCGGCGGAGGGAGACGCCGCGTCGTTGCCCGGGGTCGGGAGCGGCAGACCCGGAGGCACTAGGCGGACCGAAGTTTCCGGCGGGTTCGGAGCCGGGGAGGCCGGGTCGTGCAGGGGCGGCGCGGCCCCTCCCTCTGCAATCTGGGATCGGGGCCCGGAGCGGGGCGGAGGCTTGTCCCAGGGCGCCTCGCGGCGCCGCCGCCGGGCACCGGCGGGCGGCCGGGCGTGGGTGGGGGCCCCGGGGGACGGCGGCCCGCTCGGCGGGTTCGAATCCGGGCACTGTCACCTCTTGGCGCTAGGCCCCCGGGCCCTGGCGGTCGCGATCGTGGCAGCCACCATTTGCCGAGGGCCAGGCCGCGCGACATAGTCTCCCTTGCCCCCCAAACAGCAGTCCTGTACTACAGAGTCCTTCACCCCACTTTACAGAGGCCTGAAGAGCTTTCCCAAGGTCACGCGGCTCCTAAGAGCCAGGACCGGGATTCAAACCCGCATCGAATCCCGCGTCGTCCTACTCCAGCGTCTGGGCTGGTAACCAGCGCGTGTGCCTTCCCCCTCCCCAAGTTCACTGATGAAACTCCGTGGACCTCGATTTACTCAGCAGGGGCTATTATGTCCCCAGGTTGTTTGAGGCTTAACTGAGAAAAATATACCCCAAAGTGCCTGGCACGTTGCCTGGGACGCAGTAAGTGCTCCAGGAATGATGGCTTCTAATATAGCAGGTGATGCGTATGTAGTAACACGTTATGTCGTCTGTCTTCTTTAGGATTGTGGGTGGAAGGCAGGCATGGTCAGGCTCGTTTCCCTGACAGGAACACAGAGACAAGACGTGTGTCTCTCCACGTCTTTCAGCCGGTAAAAGCAGCCAAGCTGGAGCCCAAAGCCAGGTGTCCTGAATCCCAGCGGGGGGCTCCCGGCACCAACCATGAGCCGCCTGCTTTGGAAGAAAGTGGCCGGCTCCGCCGCCGTCGGGCCAGGGCCGGTTCCAGCTCCGAGGCGCTGGGCCTCCAGCTCCGTCTCCGTCCCCGTCCCCAGCGACGGGCGGCCGCCGCCGCCGCCGCCGCAAGTGCCGTCCTCGGAGGGCGGGCAGCTGCGGCACAACCCATTGCACATCCAGATGCTGTCGAGAGGGCTTCACGAGCAAATCTTCGGGTTCGGCGGGGAGACGCCCGGAGAGGCCGCGGTGCGCCGCAGCATCGAGCATCTGCAGAAGCACGGGCTGTGGGGGCAGCCAGACGCGCCCTTGCCCGACGTGGAGCTGCGCCTGCCGCCCCTCTACGGGGGCGACCTGGACCAGCACTTCCGCCTCCTGGCCCAGAAGCAGAGCCTGCCCTACCTGGAGGCGGCCAACTTGCTGTTGCAGGCCCAGCTGCCCCCCAGGCCCGCGAGCTGGGCCTGGGCGGAGGGCTGGACCCGGTACGGCCCCGCGGGGGAGGCCGAACCCGTGGCCATCCCCGAGGAGCGGGCCCTGGTGTTCGACGTGGAGGTCTGCTTGGCAGAGGGAACGTGCCCCACGCTGGCGGTGGCCATATCCCCCTCGGCCTGGTAAGTGCGGGCTGGGCTCCGGGGGCTTGATCACACGTGGGGGGCCCAGCTGACTCGTCTGCTCCAGTGAACGGTTCCTGAGCTCCCACTGGTGCCCTGTGGGCGCGTTCCCAGCCACTGAGGGTCTGGTGGTTTTGTAAAAGAGGCTTGACTGCGGTGCTGCGGGGTGGGAGATCTAGGCGGTAAAGAAACAGCCAAGCCGACATCAGGCGGTGATCGGGGTTAGGGGGAGAATCACAGTGGACTGTTGTCCTGGAGACTGACCCGGGGACCCTGGCCGAGCACCTCGGTTTGGTGCTAAACAGCTTCCTGACAGGTTAGCCCAAGACGCTGGAACAGCGGTTCTATTTGGGGATGCTGTTGGGTATTTTGGGCAGGAAAAATCTCCCCTCTGGGGGACTGTCCTAGGCAAGACAGGACACTAGCATCCCTGCCGCTCCCTTAAATGCAACACACTCCCCCCGCCCAACGTGTCTACCCCCAGACCCCCAGCAGCATCCCCCTGACCACCCCCCGCTGAGATGCGGCTTCCTTCCCTCAGCCTCCCAGGCAGGCATTTTTGGTCCCCAAAAGGTATATTCAGTTTCCTCCTTTTCTTTTTAAGTAACTTTTTAAGTGCTACCCACGTTTCTGAAACCAGGATGCTGTACTGTCTCTCCCCGTTCTGAGTCTTCATTCCAGGATTAAAATACTTTTTACAGCCTTAGTGCTTTCAGGCCTGGGCAGCCAAAGAGGTGGCAGGTTGTTTTATTCCTATTGGAAGCTACGTCTTTGTAAGGAAAGCTGCGAAATGTTAAATGGGCAGTTGAAAATGGTGAAAAGGTGGCTGAATAGAGAAGGCCGGCCTTGATGGCAGAAAGAGCGATGCCAGCTGCTTCCTCTCTGACTTAGTTCCAGTCCAGGTGCCCAGGGCAGTGCTTCCCACGTTGCCCGATGGCCAGAGACACGGCAGAGCAGGCTGTGGCGGCTGGAAGACAACTAGGGAGCTCGACAAGGAAGCCTCGCTGTTTGTTCTCTTGGTCACCCCTGGACAGTGTAACTGAAGTCCCCTTTTCAGCTCCTCTCCTCACTTGTCACCTCTCTTGCCCTGTTCGGTTCATGCTCCTCTCACGCTCACTCCGTTCCAGCCAGTGGTGCTTGCGGGCACCGCCCTGTGTGCCCGGGGCAGAGGCCTGGCTCACACGGGCACCGTCCTCCCGGGAGCTGCCTGTGGGGTGGGAGGGGGTGCACATGGGGCCACCGCAGCTGCCCCCTTCTAACTGGGCACGTCCCTACCGCATGGCTGTGTCCCATCAGGCACCTGACTGGTCCTGTGTCCAGCAGGAGGAGGGAGCCTTGGGCAGCCTTTGGGGCGGCTTCCCAAAGGCCGCTGGGCAGGGCTCCGGTCTTCAGGCCAGAGGGACGTTCTGCAGGGCGTCACCATTTACCTGAGATTCGCAGGGAAAGTGTAGTATTAATGGCGTTGGTTCTGACTCACCTTGTTTACCAACGGTGTGTGTGTATTGGCTTTCTTCTTTTTTTCCTCTCTTATCACCAATACGTGTATACTCAGACGGCTCTCATGCAGAGCTGCATACCTGGATCTTGTCACCTTTGTGATCGAGGTTTCTGCCATCACTGCAGCCTCAGACAGTTGACATTCTTCAGCCTTTTCCTCCGTCGGGTTGCTAAGGGCTTTCACATGCTAAGTGGGAGGCCAGGGGGTTTCAGCCTGAGTCCCCCCGAGCGTCTCCCCTCCCTTGGAGGGCCAGCTAGATTTTACCAGGTGGAAAACTAGAGACCTCTTTTTGCTAGACAACTCCCCGCCCCCCCGCCAGCCCCACCAGAAAAAAAAAAAAACCCACAAAACTAGTTTTATGTTCATTGAAACTGGTGGCAAGTAACCAACCCCCCCGCCCCCCCAATAAGGGTGGCAGGGAGTGCCTCTGCAGCTGTGGTGGCCGCTCATGTGGCCCCGTCATTCACTGGGATGCTGCCGACCCGCCTTGACCCTGTGGCACACAGTTTCCCACAGCAGCAGTTCCCCACGCGCAGCTTGGTGGAGCGTGAGCGGGCACCAGCCTTTGCTGATCCCTGTTGGGCCCTCAGCAGGCAGCGCACCTGCCCGGTCCCGCCACCCCGGCCGGTGCAGATCTGAGGAGTTTCCTCGGCTCGGGCGCTTTCCCTGGCCTTGCTGCGTGTGGTTGCTCAGAGGCACAGACCCTCCGAGGTGTCTGATCTGCTCTTTGTCCTTTAGAATCTTTCCAGCCATCAGATGACTCATCCGCACATGAGTGCAGCATGTGTCTTTTTTTGTTTCTTTTTTTTTGCCACCTTTAATTAAAAAAAAACAATTTTCACATTGGATTCTATTATAATTGCTTCTCTCACTTACGAGCACTTGGAGCATGAAGCTGTTTGGCATTTATAGACGTGAGGGGTTGGTCATGTTTATAAAGCACCTCATGGCCAAGCACAGACCCGGTGGACACCTGGGCCGAGCCCCGGCTGAGTGCAGGGCGCCCAGTACTGGACCGCTCCGCACCATCTTTATCTGTAGAAGGAAAAGAACTACTCCTGACACATAGCCCCACCTGGCCTCCAGCTCTGTGAGGGTTAGGCGTACCCACTGGGCTCACGGAGGTCCCCAGCCGCTAGCGTGACTTGGCATGCGGTGGTCTGCAGGCAGTGGGTGCTGTGGAGCGGAAGTTTCGTGCCTCTGGGCTGAACCTCCTGTCTCTCGTCTCCCTCAGGTATTCCTGGTGCAGCCGGCGGCTGGTGGAAGAGCGCTACTCTTGGACCAGCCAGCTGTCGCCGGCTGACCTCATTCCCCTGGAGGTCCCTGCCAGTGCCAGCGGCCCCGCCCAGCGCGGCTGGCAGGAGCAGCTAGTGGTGGGGCACAATGTTTCCTTTGACCGAGCCCATATCAGGGAGCAGTACCTGATCCAGGTAAGGACGCTGGGGCCGCCTGCCGGTGCTGGTGCAGCTGGGCTGGGAGCCCTGACCTGAGTGACTAGGTAGGGGAGGCACTGCCCACCAGCCCTGCCCTTGGCCCCTGTGCCCAGCTGTTCTGTCCCCAGGGCCTGCCTGATACAGGGCCTGAGCTCTCTCAGGGCACATGGCCCTTCTCTTGGTGTGGCCTGTAGAGCTCAGCACGGGTTGCGGAGGCTCTGGGCCCCGCAGCCTGGGCCCACCTCCTGTCTCAGCCATGGAGGAGCGCTGTGAGCTCCTGTCATCCCTGAGCCTCAGTTTCCCTGTTCGTAAGGAGAGAGAGAGAGAGAAGAGCAGCGCTCCCGGGGGTTGTGCGGAGGGTCTGACCAGGGCCCACGTCAGGCACCGGGAACTGTGCCTGGTGTACAGCTGGGGCAGCTCTTCGTTTTGCGGAAAGCACTCTGTCGTGGTGGTCTCCAAGTGCCCGGGGACAGAGGCTGCCAGGCAGGCGTGGCCGCAGCCTATAGCTTGTGAATGGCAGTGCTGGGGGCCGAGCCGACAGCTCAGAAGGTCTTGTCCTGGCAACTCCAGGCCCTTCAGAGCGGTTGCTGGATGCTGGGAAGGACTTGTGTGTTGGGACCGAGCCAGGCCTGCACCACCAAGGGTGGCTAGAATTTGGGAGGGAGGGCCCCTCCCCTCCCAGGCCAAGGCACAAGCATGAGCAAGCACAGAGGTGTCCCGCCCCCCGCGTCGGAGCGGTGTGACGGGAAGGGAGGCTGTGCGCCGAGCTGAGCGGGGCTGGCCCCTGAGCGGCAGCCTCTCCGCAGGGCTCCCACATGCGCTTCCTGGACACCATGAGCATGCACATGGCCATCTCGGGGCTGAGCAGCTTCCAGCGCAGCCTGTGGATGGCGGCCAGGCAGGGCAAGCACAAGGCCCGGCCCAACAGCCAGCGAAGCCAGAAGCCCCGGAGCAAAGCCAACAGCCCAGCGGTGAGCGCACGCTGTGGGGGGCGTGGGACCCTCCCTGCGCCTGCCTGTCTGGCCCGAGGCCAAGCTGATCGGCCGGGTCCCTTGCCCCGGCCCCTCAGATCTCATCCTGGGACTGGCTGGACATCAGCAGTGTCAACAACCTAGCAGACGTGCACAGCCTCTACGTGGGGGGCCCCCCGCTAAAGAAGGAACCTCGCGAGCTGTTTGTCAAGGGCAGCATGAGGGACGTCCGGGAGAACTTCCAGGTATGGGGCTGCGGTGGCTCCGGCGGGGCCCGGCGTGGAGCCGCCAGACCTGACCCTGAGCCCGGCGGTGGTGGTGGGATGGCTGCCCGCCCAGCGCCTTCCTGTCGCCTGTGCCAGGACCTGATGCAGTACTGCGCCCAGGACGTGTGGGCCACCTACGAGGTCTTCCAGCAGCAGCTGCCGCTCTTCTTGGAGAGGTGAGGCGGGGCCGGTGTCACCGGGCGGGCCTGGGGCCTTCGCGGCGCGGGCCTTCGCCTTCCGGGGCTGGCTGAGTGGAGCCGCTCTGTGCGGCGTGGCTCCGGCGGGGAGGGCTGAGCGCTGCGCTGCGGCCTCCTGTGCCTGGTCCCAGGTCATTCAGCACCCGCTCCGTACCCAGATCCACAGCCCAGGGCTCCCCTTCCATCCTGGCCGTGTTTGCTGGGGAGTCAGACTTAGGACGTGGTCAGAGTCACAGGTGTCGGCCGGACCCGGCTCCAGTCTTGGTGGTGGTGCCCAGCTCACAGGACCTTGGGCAGGTCATTTGGTGTCCCTGAGCCTCAGTGCTCTTGCTGGTGAAGCACGGAGACACACTTGACCGCCCCCGTCCATATAAACCTCGGGATCGTTTGTTCTGGGAGGTTTTGGGAGAAGTGCCGTTGGTATCGTGAGGGGGATTGCCCTGACTCTCTGACATCTTAATGAGGTTAATTCTTCCTACCCATGAGCAGGGTATAGGCTTCTATTTATTTTTATCTTCTTTAGTTTCTTATAATTTTCTGAGAACAGGTCTTTGACCTCCTTTATTCCTATTTTTTTGTTGTTTGTTTTTAATGTGATAGTAAATGAAATTATTCCCTTAATTTCTCTTAGTTTGTTATTGGCTTCTAAAAATGCAGCCAACTTCTGAATATTTTTGTATCCTGCTACTTCACTGCATTCATTCCTCAGCTCTGAGAGTGTTTGGGTGGGCCCTTCAGGGCTCTCCGCGTACAGTGTCACGCCGCCTGCAGAGAGGCACACATTCGACCTCTTCCACTGTATCCCCACGGCACCATTTCTGTGTTTCGGCACACATGCGCCGGCCATTGTGTCGTGGCCTGCTGTCCGGGTTTGTCGCCGCGAGCAGCAGGCTGTGTCGCAGGCCTGGCGGTGTAGCAGGCTGTCCCGTCTAGGCCGTGACACTGCACCCTGGTGTTGGCACAGTGACAGACCCGTCCCTGTGGTTAAGCAGCACATGACTCGGCTCCCTTTGTGCAGCTAAAGGGATGGAGGCTCCGAGAGGTGCAGCGGCTGCCCCAGGCCCTTTGGGCAGGAGGTGGTAAACCCGGGCTAAACTGCCTGTCTGGCTGCGGAGCTGGGCCATGTGGGGGGCTGGGCTGGGGCTCGGGGAGGCGGCCCGAGCCTTGCCTCCCGCGGTCATAGATGGCAGCAGCCCTGGTGTTTGTCCCCAAGGTGTCCCCACCCAGTGACTCTGGCTGGCATGCTGGAGATGGGGGTCTCCTACCTGCCTGTCAACCAGAACTGGGAGCGTTACCTGGCAGAGGCACAGAGCACCTACGAGGAGCTGCAGCGGGAGATGAAGAAGTCGCTGATGGACCTGGCCAACGACGCCTGCCAGCTGCTGTCCGGCGAGAGGTAGCCAGGCCGCGGGCGGGCAGGATCCAGGCGGGGCCCGGCAGGCGGGGGGCCTGGCTTCTGGCTTGGCTTCAGCTATGCCCTGGTGGACTGGCTGTGCAGGTACAAAGAAGACCCCTGGCTCTGGGACCTGGAGTGGGATGTGCAAGAGTTTAAGCAGAAGAAAGCAAAGAAGGTGAAGAGGAAAGAGCCGGAGGCCGCCAGCAACTTGCCCGTTGAGGCAGCTGAGGCCCCTGGAGATCCCACGGATCAGGAAGGTGGGAGCCACGGGCGGCTGGTAGGGAGACACGGGCCCTGGGAAAGAGTCGCTCCAGCCTCAGAGATTGCGGGCGGGGCGGGCCTTTCTGATTGTCCTGACGACCCTCTGTAGACCCTGGCCCCCCCAGTGAGGAGGAGGAGTCTCAGTGGGCTGTCACGGCCCGTGCTTGCTTGGAGCAGCTGAAGGGGACCACAGAGCTCCTGCCCAAGCGGCCCCAGCACCTGCCCGGACACCCTGGGTGAGCCTGCCCCCCGACACGTTCAGAGCCTGCTTTCACCCTGCCTCTGGAGGCCCCCCACGTTGTGGGCCCCCGCACAAGGGGTGTGTGCCACCCTTCGTGCCTGCTCTCAGCCAGTGCCCTGACCCCGGCCTGCTGGGCTCTTTCTTCCTTAGTGCATTGCACCCCTACTGTGTGCCGGCCCTGTAGCCCCGGGGGGAGCAGGCGGGCAGACCAGCCATCGCTGGCGGTTCTGTCCAGGATGGTGCGGAGGAGGGATCAGTGTGGGGGCGGTGCCTGGCTCTGCCCGGGAACCTGGGGAGGCTTCCTTAAGGAGGTGGCCCTTCACTTGCGCCTCACAGTTCGGTGCCCTGGGCGCCTTGCTGGCCTCACCCTTGCGTCAGCCCATGAGGGACAGAGCTCAGAAGGCCCTGGGGTGTCGCCAGAGCCGTGGCGGCGGGGGCAGGTTGGCTCACTCCCCTGGCTGGCTCCCTGCAGGAACTGGAGCTTGAGAAGGAACCCCACCCCGGGCCCTCCTGCAGGCTGGCTGCTGACGGGTTCAGGGGGACCAGCAAGGGATCTTCTCTTTGGGATTTTTGAGTTATTCTAGGGGACTCCGTGGGGGTCTGGGCCATATTCCAGAGGGAGAGAGGGAACAATGACTGTGGACTGAAGTCGCCAGAAGAAAGCCTTGGGGCCGTGGAGGGCGGTGGAGCACGTCACCACTGTGACACTGTTCTCTCCTGGTGGGGTCCAGGTGGTACCGGAAGCTCTGTCCCCGGCTGGACGACCCTGCGTGGGCCCCAGGCCCCAGCCTCCTCAGCCTGCAGATGCGGGTCACACCGAAACTCATGGCGCTGACCTGGGACGGCTTCCCTCTTCACTTCTCCGAGCGGCACGGCTGGGGATACCTGGTGCCCGGGCGGCGGGACAACCTGCCTGAGGTGCCCGCGGACTCCGCCTCAGCATCGACTGGAGTGACCTGCCCCTACAGGTGAGGCTCAGGCTCAGGGGAGGAAGGGCCGGGCACCTACAGACCCCTTCTGGCTGGGAGGCCAAGCCCAGCGCAGGCTGCTGGGGAGAGCTTGGGTCTGAGAGCGTGGGTTCCAGTTCCTGTGCCACAGCCGCCCCTCCCTGGGGGCTGCGGAGCCCAGTCGGGGGCTCAGGGCGTGGGGCTGGGGCAGGGCGGGGCCTGACTTCCCTCTGCTCTGCTCGCAGAGCCTTTCCTGGGGTGGTGGCAGCTCTGTGGCGTAAGTGGAGCTTAGATTTGAGTCAAACCAGGCCTCGAACCCCAGCCTGCCACCAGGGCGCTGTGTCATTTTCGATTTGTTACTCGCTGTCTAAAAACCAGGAAGAGCGCTGTCCACTTCTGCCTCAGCTGGTTCTGAGGACTAAACCAGGGCACGCGTGGAAGGCGCCCAGCCAGCGGCCCGGCCCGGCGCGGGCGCCCATAACCAGAGGCTGCTGCTGCTGTTCTCTGCCCAGAGCCATCGAGTCCCTGTACAGGAAGCACTGTCTTGAGCAGGGGAAGCAGCAGCCGGAGCCACAGGAGGCGGGCCTGGCCGAGGACTTCCTGCTCGCTGAGGAGTGGCAGATGGTGAGGGCGTCCGTCAGCCTGAGCTCGGGGAGGGCGCTGGTCACTCCTGGGGAAGGGGGCGGGGCCCAGGCCGTGGGGTCCTCATCCCTGCCGGCCTGGGCTGTCTGCGTGTCGCAGGGAGGGGCTGGTGGATTCCGGTGGACCCAGCCTCCTGCTTCACACCCTTGATACCCGGGCCCATCCAGGTGGAAGAGCTGGGCTGCTTAGAGGTGGAGGCTGAGGCCAAGGTGGAGAACTCAGAAGTGGCGGCTCCGGCTCCAGCCCCAGCTCCGGTGAGCGGGGCGCACGCCGGGTTCTCTGGGTGGGTGCTGGGCGGCCGGGCCCTCCCTACGCCCAGGCAGCTGGTCTCCACCAGAGCTCCCGAGGTCCTGGGGGTTGGGGGTGCTGCCCTGCCTCTGGTGGCCCCCCATGTGTTGGACGGCCAAGGAGGAAGCCTGAGACCTGGCGGCTGTCCTGTCAGTTCCCGGCTCAGCAGCTCCGCACGTCAGGCCCCGTTCCCGCCCCCACCCTGCGGCCCTTGCTGAATGCAGGTGCCGGAGCAGGGCCTGATCTGGGTGTGTGGCCCCACAGACTGGAGCTGGTGGCTCCCGAGGCAGCCAGCCTGCCTATCACCATGGCAACGGGCCTTACCACGATGTGGACATCCCCGGCTGCTGGTTCTTCAAGCTGCCTCACAAGGTGTGTGTCCTGGTTCACGCCCTGTCCCATGGGGTCCTCGCTATGCCTGGGGCTCACAGCCAGCCTCCGAGCGCCTTTGCAGGAATGACGGTGGCAGTTGCAGGCAGAGCACGATCCCATCTCTCCGAGCCTGTGTCCGTCTAATGGAAATTGGGGGGAAGGGCACGTGGTGGAATTCAGTGACACACGGCACGGAGGTGCCAGGCACTGAATGTGCTGCGTGATAGGCTCTGTTACCTGGAGGCTGTTCCCGTGAGGGGGGCCGGGCTGGTTTGTGTCGCCCGAGGTCCTGCCTGTCCTGTGGCTGTCAGGGTGGGACTTGCCCCAGGCTGCTCCACTTGTTCTGGGCAGAGCCCAAGTGCACAGGACACCGGTTCCCCAGCCAGGGGCCTGTCACCTGGCTGCAGCCCCTGCCTCCTCTGCCCTCCCCAGGACGGCAACAGCTGCAACGTGGGCAGCCCCTTTGCCAAGGACTTCCTGCCCAAGATGGAGGACGGTACCCTGCAGGCTGGCCCAGGAGGTGCCAGCGGGCCCCGTGCCCTGGAAATCAACAAAATGATTTCTTTCTGGAGGAATGCCCACAAACGTATCAGGTGGGCCCCTGTGGGAGGGCAGAGATGTGCCTGTCTGCCTGGCCGGGTTTCTAGAAGCAACCCCAGGACTGCCGCCCGCTGCCTTGCCCCTGGGGCCCCTCTGCAGCCCGTGCTGCGGCGGCAGCCAGCCAGCTGCAGCCTGGAGGCCGGCTCCTGTGGTCCTGGTGCCTGTGGGCACAGGCAAGCCTCCCGGTCCCGCCTCAGCTTCTGTTTGTGCATCAAGGGTGCTATTGCATGTAGGACCTTGGTGGCCTCACCCCACCCTGAGAGGACCCCTTGGTGTGACTGCTGGGGTCTGGGAGCTGGGTGCTCTAGACTGGAACGGTCTGTGGGTCAGGTGGCGGCGGGGCGCTGCTGTTGGACCCTCGTGGGTGCTCTGGGATGGGGGCAGAGGCTGCCTTTGGCGCCTGGCTGGTTCCCTGGTGGCTGTGCCAGGGCGCACCCTGAGTCAGGTTGGTGGGGAGAGGATGGGGGCTGGGCAAGGAGGGGGGCACAGCAGCCCCCAGAGCTGGGCACTGAGGGCCCCAGTCGGGGAGGGGCTGGAGTCTGCCCCTGTGGCTGTGCTGAGCCTCAGCCCATCTGTCCCCATAGCTCCCAGATGGTGGTGTGGCTGCCCAGGTCGGCTCTGCCCCGTGCTGTGACCAGGTAGGACCTGCCAGGTGGTCATGGGGACAGCAGTGGGGGGTCCTAGCACCAATGCAAGCTGCTGAGGCAGGAGTCCTCTCCGTCCCCACAGGCACGCAGATTATGACGAGGAAGGCCGCTACGGGGCCATCCTGCCGCAGGTGGTGACCGCCGGCACCATCACCCGCCGGGCTGTGGAGCCCACCTGGCTCACTGCCAGCAACGCCCGGGTGCGTGTCCTCTGTACCTCTGGTTCCTGCCCTTCCTCTCTGATGTCTCTAGAAATGGGTTGCAGAGGGCATTCGGTGAGGAACATCAAAGGAACCCAAGATCTGGGTCAGGCAGGACTTGGGTTCAAACCTGGCTTCACTCGGTGGTTTTCAGCAAACACCTGCTGCTGGCGATGGGAGCCCCAGCTGCCCGGGGACAGCGTGGGGACTCTGTTACTTCTCAGCCCCGTTGCTGCTGGGCTGTCGTCCGGGGACTGGACTGGGGTAGGAGGTGTCTGGGGCTCTGGGCAGGGCCTAACCTCACTCTTTCTGCAGCCGGACCGAGTCGGCAGTGAGCTGAAGGCCATGGTGCAGGCCCCGCCCGGCTACGTCCTGGTGGGAGCTGACGTGGACTCGCAGGAGCTGTGGATCGCAGCGGTGCTCGGAGATGCCCACTTTGCCGGCATGCACGGTGAACAGGAGGCCGGGGCTGGCACAGCGGGGCAGCCCGACCCCCGGGCCCTGGGTTGGGCGGTTGGGGGCAGTGTTTCTGAGCCTCTGGTCTCTCTCTTTCCTGCCCCCCAGGCTGCACGGCCTTCGGGTGGATGACCCTGCAGGGCCGGAAGAGCAGGGGCACCGACCTGCACAGTAAGACGGCCACCACAGTGGGCATCAGCCGTGAGCACGCCAAGATCTTCAACTACGGCCGCATCTATGGGGCAGGGCAGCCCTTCGCGGAGCGCCTGCTCATGCAGTTTAACCACCGGCTGACGCGCCAGGAGGCCGCCGAGAAGGCCCAGCAGATGTACGCCGTCACCAAGGGCCTGCGCCGGTGAGGGCCCCTCCCGCCATCAGTGCCCCAGCCCCGGGACCTCAGGCCTGCTTTAAACCCTTTACTGCCCGTCTTCTCTACCTTTCCCGCTCTCTGCACCCTTACCTGGCCCCTCTCCTTGAACCCGTGTATGAGCTCCAGGGTGCTCCGTCCTTGGGTCGTGACACTTGCGTAGGGGATGGCCCTCCCCAGATGTCCTCGCAGGGCTGCCTCTGCTGCTCATTTGGCAGTTCAGTGTCTAAGACTTGAGAGAATAGTAATAGTGACAGCTTTGGAGTTGGAGTCTCTGTCCTCCGTTGGGCTGCCATGGCACGCCCCAGGGCTTGGGCTCCTGCCTGCGCTCCGCCTCTTCCTGGCTGTGGGGCCCCAGCCAGCCCGCCCCTCTGTGCCTGTCCTCCCTCTGAGGGAGAGACGGCGGGGGAGGCAGGGCCTCCGTGGTGGTTGTGGGAGTGGAGTAAGGCAATGGGGGAGCATTGGACCCAGAGGAGGCGCTCACGTGGGACTGATGGTGCTGGCACGGCCCGCAGGTACCGGCTGTCAGACGAGGGCGAGTGGTTGGTGCAGCAGTTGCGCATCCCCGTGGAGAGGACGGAGGATGGCTGCGTCTCCCTGCAGGACTTGCGCAAGATCCAGAGGGAAGCTTCGAAGAAGTGAGGCCCTTCTGTGTGTCCAGGGTGGAAGGGGGGTCCGGGCTGGCCCAGGAGAGCCAGGCGCTTTGTCCTAGCTGAGGTACTGACAGACGAAGCTTGCCGTCTGTTCCCGGGCCCCCAGGTCCCGCAGGAAGAACTGGAAGGTGGTTGCAGAACGCGCGTGGACGGGGGGCACAGAGTCAGAAATGTTCAATAAGCTGGAGAGCATCGCCACATCCGACGAGCCCCGCACCCCAGTGCTGGGCTGCCGCATCAGCCGGGCCCTGGAGCCCTCGGTGGCCCAGGGGGAGGTATCTCGCGCCCTTAGAGCGTGGGGCGGTCTCAGGGCGGGCGGGCGGGCGGGCCTACCCTCCCCCGCGGGGCTGGTGTGTGTGGCGGCCCCCCCACCTATGCCCACCGCCCCTCCCCAGTTCATGACCAGCCGGGTGAACTGGGTGGTGCAGAGCTCTGCGGTGGACTACCTGCACCTCATGCTCGTGGCCATGAGGTGGCTGTTCGAGGAGTTTGCCATTGACGGGCGCTTCTGCATCAGCATCCATGACGAGGTCCGCTACCTGGTGCAGGAGGACGACCGCTACCGCGCTGCCCTGGCCCTGCAGGTGGCCAACCTCCTGACCAGGTGGGCGGCGCCTGCAGCCTCTGGCCTGGCCACACGCTCGGCCACACGCTCGGCCGCGTGCAGGGCTTTGGACCAGGCTGAGCGTGACTTGGGCGTTTTCATCTCCCCCGATGGGACTGTTTCAGCTTTTATTTCTAGCTTAAAAAAATTGAAGTCTGCAGCTGGCCTTCGACTTTGGATAAAGGTTTCTTGGTTTGAAAGTGTCAGAGCCCCAGACTAGATCAGTGAGGCAGTAAGGAGGTACTAGATCAGGGGCCTTGTTCCAAACAGTAGCCCTCAAACTCTGCCCCCAGAAACAGGTCCCCCTTTCTGTTTGACAGGCTTTTCTCATGAAATTGAGATTTTTTTAAATCTGTAAATGTTCCCTTAAGTGCCAAAAGTTTGTTATTCTGAGTACTAATAGAACATGTTGTTAGGGAAGAAATACAAATGTGATTTTTAGAGTGATTTATACATTGGCTTATATTTTCTCAGTAAAATTTAATATATATGGTTGAGTTAACTACTACTACAGATCCATGTTGGTCTGCCACTGAGGCCAGTTTGGGAACCCTGACCTATCCTGATTAATGGGTAAATAATGAGCGTTTACAGTCGTCCATGCTGTCTGCATTGCCCTCTTCATTATATACATCCTGGGGGCTGTGCTTAACCCTAACAGGAAACCCTCCTATACTCAAGTAATCAAGAGATGATGTTTCATCCATAACATGTGCCCAGGGGGAAAGAGGTGTGTTTTGAGTCCGCACCTGCCTTTCAGCATCTCACTGGGGGCTGTGGGACGGGGGCACGGCTGGCTAAGTCCTCCCTCTTGGGGACATGGGTCCTTCCTCTTGGGCGCAGGGCCGTGGCTGAGAGGAGGCCGGGTCTCTTCCAGGTGCATGTTTGCCTACAAGCTGGGCCTGAATGACCTGCCCCAGTCGGTCGCCTTTTTCAGTGCGGTCGACGTTGATCGGTGCCTCAGGAAAGAAGTGACCATGGATTGTAAAACCCCTTCCAACCCGACCGGGATGGAAAGGCGATACAGGATTCCCCAGGGTGAGCGCCACACATCTGTGGTCCTCGGGACAGGGAGGGTGTAAGGTAACAGACAGCAAGGAGGCTGGGCAGCAGGAAGCTCGGGCACCAGAGGATAAGAAACCACTCTTAACATACAGGCGGGCTCTCCCCGTTCACAGTGTGCCCTGGGACATGTACGTGAAGTCACAAAGGGATGTGTTTCTAGAGCATGTTTATAGGAAATGAAGGAATATTTGAAGCTCTGGTTTAAAGATTTATTGCATATAAAAGTCCAAGTGTATTCTTAGGTGGAAAAAACTAGGCTTTGAATGCCAAACAACTGGAAAGCGTGGTTTCTATATAAAGTTTCTAAGGTAAACATTTTTTACAAAAAGAATATGAACCCCCCCCCCATGTAACATGGCAATTATTGTGCCCACCCCTGCTTTGGACCTCAAAGTTACGCTCCTTTCTCATTCATGAGCTCCATGAGCTCCGAGTACCACCCCTGAGAAAGCAGCGTAACCAGTCTGCACTCTCTTTCAGGGGAAGCGCTGGATATTTACCAGATAATTGAACTCACCAAAGGCTCCCTGGGAAAACGAAGCCAGCCTGGGCCGTAGCCCTGCCCGGAGGCCCCGTGTTCGCTCCCGTGGAGCTCCGTCGGCGCCGCGGGCGCCCGCACTCAGGCTCTCAGCTGTGCTTTGCTCAGCAGCAGGCCTGCCAAGAACGGCCGCCTGTGGCTGGAGGTGCAGCTGAATTCAGTGGGTTCAGCACCAAGACGCCAACCTCGGTGCAGGCTGGAGGACAAGGGGTGGTGTTGCTTGTTGAGTGAAAAGAAAGCAGAAGCCCCAAAGTTCACATTAACTCAGGCATTTCATTTCTTTCTTCCTCTTCTTCTTGGCTGGCTCTTTGCTCTGCCCCCCGTGCTCTGGCGCAGCGTCCTAGAAGGGGAGGAGCCGCGCTTTAGTGTGATCAACCTGCTCAGAGGCACTGGAAATAAACGAAATCCCTTTATCTTCTCACGGAAGCCTGTGTGCTCATTTTTCCCTCCCCATCCCCCCTCACTGAGGAAGAGGGGGGCCTCCTAGTAGAGTTAAGGGTGTGGGCGCCTTTCCTTTGGACTTCCGCGGACCTGGGGAGATTCACGGGACAAGGTGACAGAAAAGGAGCATCAAAACATTGGGGTACAGGATGCTCACCTCCAGTGGCCAGGAGGTGAAGGGAGCGGGTGGGGCCAGATGACTCTGGGCTGGAGTGTGACAGTCTGAACAGCGGATGTGCAGCGTTTTTGAGGAGCCAGAGACCAGGATGTTTTATGTAATAAGCCTCCAACATGGGGCTCTGCCTCAGAGACGCGGCAGACCCAGGGCCTGCCGTGTGACCGGCGGCGCTGAGGGAGCGACCGACGCAGGGGACAGGGAGGAGGGGAAGCAAGCTGGGCCCTGAGCCGGATGCTGGGGCTCGTCAGTCCTCCTGCCGCAGTTCACCCACACTTAGACCTTGATTCTGGACCAGTGTACCCCAGCCAGATGCTAGTTTGGGCACCTCAGTGTGGCTGGACATTTATAAACCTTAACTGGTTTTTGGTTTTGTCAGCCTGACCCTTTTAGCTCATTCTCTGCCTGCCTGCTCCCAGACCAGCTGCCGTCAACCTGCTGGGAAGGGCGCTGGGCCTGCAGCGCCGTCAGAAGTAGACACTGACCTCCTCGTCGTCATCCTCCTCTTCCTCCTCCCGGAGAAGCATGTCCAGTATGTTCCCTTTGATCTTGAAGTCCCGAGAGGTGCTGAGCTTCATGTGCTGCATCAGGTTCACCTGGGGGAGGACATAAGTGTGGGCACGGACTCCTGCCACTGCAGGCCCTGCCGCCCAGCCTCACGTTTTTGCTGCCCCTCCAACACCCCCTGAACCTGTTTCTCCATCGGTCCCCCACATGACGCTTGGACTCAGGCCATCAGATCAGAAACAGGAAAGGACTGCAGTCCTTTCCTACTGCAGTCTGGCTGCTTCCGTGTGCCGGGTCCCCTCCCACCTGGGGTACACGAAGCGGTAGAAAATCACAGTATGTTTACCTTGGACTTCTTGGAAAGGAAGATGAGAAACTTCTCATACTGTTCAATGGCAAAGATGAGGTTGGGGATTGGCTTGGTTTCCCGAAGAGCTCTGGCCTATGGGGCAAAGGAGAGAAGCCCCCCGAGTTGTCCTCTAGAGCTGTCAGAACTGCTCCCGGCTCTGTGGAAAGCTGGGCTGTCTTCCAATCCGTGCAGTTTCCCTTAGGCACCAGCAATCTAAATTTCTGGCATGTCAATCTCATCAAAATATTTAAACACCACTGAAGGCTGCACCAAATCCTTCCATTTATAATTCCTAAGTCTGTGTTGTTACCCAGAGGCTGGCTGAGGGAAAGGCATTTTGTAGAAATCTGGTTGCCTCTCTGAGTTGATAATCTTCAAACAAGGAGCCCTGCACTGGCTTCTTTCTAGCCTGCACGTGAATTTTCACTATTGAGATTACATTATCTCCCTCCAGTTTGAATTATACCTTGTAGATTCTTCCAGCCATTTCTTACGCTTACAGATACGCTTCTATGTATTTAAAAAACTCACAAACAAGGACACTTCTTGTCTTTTTTCTTTAAAAAAACACTACCTGGAGACAATTCTGTATCTGAGCATTTAGATTTGTATTTTTCCAGTCTGCATAGTATTCTACAGTTGTCTACGTGAGAGCATCCTGAAAGTGGGCTGATCGCACAGGCGTGTGTCTGGATTCCTGAGACTCAGCACTTGCTGCTGGCTGGCCCCTGGGGAGCTGTGCTCCCGAGTTCCACTTTTGAGTTCCAGAGAGCCCGCTTCTCTACACTCAGCAGCTCTTCCACATACCTGAGGGAGCACTTTCTGCACCCACTAACTTCTCGTCTAAGAGAATCCTTCCCCAATGGGTATCCCAATCTATGTCCATTTTTAAACGAAGAGCTCAAGGTTTTCTGGTGCTCCCTGAATGAAGCATTATGTTTCTTGGCTCAGAGGAAATGAGATGTCCCATCTGAACCTAAAATCCATTAGCTGAGAAGCAGTCACACACACTTGTCCAGCTTCACACACGCATTTGTGTAGCAGCTCCGTTGAGATATAATCCACATACCGTACAATTTACCCCTCTGCATTGTACAATTCTGTGTTTTTAGCATGGATATTTTAGAACATTTTCATGCCTGCAGAGAAAACCTGCACCCCTCTTAGCAAGCCCCTCCCCAGTCTCTGCAGTCGACCCCCGGTCTGGGCAGCCACCAGTCCGCGCAGTTTCTGTGACTGGCTTCTTTCCGCAGCAGGCCCCTCGCCACTCTGTCCTGTGGTGAGCGCGGGCAGTGGCAGCTTACCATGGCCGTGGTGACGGCAGCTTTTTTCTTCCCTCCCATACACTTGGGGCTCCTGCTCTTCTTGTTCTGAAAAAACAGAAACAAATTTTCTTATTTGCGAAGACACTGGCAGCCTGGCAATTACGGCCGGGTGCGGGGACCCTTGGGGGACCAAGTCTGGGGAAGGACCATCCCACAGCGGGTGCTGGAAGGCGGGAGACATCCACGATGCTTACAATCCTCTCATGTCGTCTGCTGCTGTGAGCGTCACAGTCCTACTCTCGGAGCTAGCGCAGAGCTGAGGACAGGCCCAGCCGTCACTGTGCCAGGCTGGCCCAGTGGTGGTGCGGGGCAAAGGCTGGTCGGAATGGGGATTTAGGGTGGGGGCAGGAACCAGTACTTGGGCAGCTGGCTGAGAGGGTTCCTTAAAGGAGAGGAGGCTGGCCAGGCGGTCCCCGGGGCCTGCAGGCTTCCTGCTCAGAAGCCATCGCCAGATGTGTCTTATGAGCCCTGTGGCTGGTTATGTACTTGAGATGGTTAAAGGTCACAGAACACCTCCTGTGTGGCGGACAATCCGAGAATAAAGAGCTCCTGGAGAGAGTAAGAACTGACCAAGGAAACCAGAAGTACAGGACGTGGATGAGGCGTAAGAGTCCAAAGAGCACGGAGGAAGCCACCCAAGCGACAGGCACACAAACACAGGACCCTCCACCTCCAGGGGAGGTGCAGGCTGCCCAGGACCAGGACACACCCTGCACTGTGGGGCAGGTGCCAGTGGGAAAGACGGACAGAAGTCACAGCACTGTGGTCACGTGAGTGGCGTGAGGGGTGGCAGGAGGGTAGGCGGGTCTCTGAAGGAGATGCAAGTGCAACCCTGACTTCTAAGCACGTGCCGGGACTTCACCCCATTAAGTACTTCCCACAAAGTCAGGGGAAGATGTTTGCTTGTGGATCAGCTTGCCTGTCAGTAAGGCTTTAAGTCACATCGAGGTGGGAGAGGGGAGCATGTGCAGAGAATACATAAACCAGTTTTGCTGTAACATAGAAAAAGAACAGCAGTCTAGGAGGGGCCTGCCGATTTGCAGAAGAAAACGCTTGAACAAAAGCCCCAAGCCCTCCCTGTCCGTGTCAGTGAGGACAGCGTATGACTCCAGAGCAGGGGCTGGCAGACTATAGCCAGGGGCCGAGTCCCACCCACTGCTTATTTTAGAAAATAAAGTTTCACTGGAAAACAGCCACGCTCTTTCATGTGAATACTGTTCATGACTGCTCTTATGCAATGAGCACAGACCTGGGCAGTGGTGACAGGGAGCATGTGACCTGTGAAACTTCAAACATTTACTATCTGGCCCTTTGCAGAAAAAGTCTGCCGGCCCCTGTTACAGAGGCAACCCACCTGGGCCCGCGCCGCAGCCCCCGCTCAGCTGGCTCTGTTCTCGGCGCGCGCCGCCCGTCTTCCCTCAGGACTCACACGGGGGCGACCCCTGGTCACACAGGGTGGCGAGGACGACAAGGCGATGTGCGCCAAGCATGCGGGCGGGCCAGGCAGACGTCAGCTGGTCTAACAGACCGGCAGTGGCCTTCCCGCAGCGTTTCCCAAGCTCTACTCTGTGAAACGCTCTAGTCTGCCAAACAACGCTTATCGTGAGAAAAGTTCTTGAACAGGCTTAAAACGACTACTGATCATTTTTATTATTGTCACACCTGTCAGAAACTTTAATGTGCTTAGCGAAATGAGAACAAGCACTTCCCACGGAAGCCTTTCCTCGGGAGGACCGTCTCGGTCTACACGGCACGCGTGGCGAGATGCAACCCTTTGCAGGCATTGTTAGAGCTGGAGACGGGGAACTCAAAAACTAAGTTTAAATGTGAAAATTTATGAGCATGCAAAAGCATACCTGCCAGTATTTGGGTGGGATAAAAGGAGGGACCGGAAGGAACAGCTTGATGAGAAAAGGCTTTAGACAAAATGGATGATACGTTCTTGACCCAGATCACAAAACTGATACAAAAGCAAGGGGAGAGAGATGTCACCTCTCAGCAGACTACAGAGAACGCCTTTAGCTAAGCCAGGTGATGGGCCACTTACGTCACTGGCTCTCAAGGGAGGGGAGGAGGCAGCCTCACACGTGTGGTGAGAGAGGCAGGTGAGTGCCAGAGGGTGCTGAGCCCGCCCGCCAGGCGGAGGCGGAGAGCAGGTGGGGCGGCCCTGTCAGGTCACGGCCCAGCGCTCCGACGCCTGTTCTGGAATGGTGGCTGGGCCTGACCCATTAGCAGACGTTCTCTGATTCTTCCTCAGAAATAGCCCTGCACCACTATAACTGCAGCGAGTAAGTGGCCTGGGGAGACAGACCACCTGGTCCTCTTTCAGAGCTGATTCTGTACCTTAAGGACATCTGGCAATTTCTAGAAATGTTTTGGTTACCACAGCTGGGGGCTCCTACTGGTAGAGAGGCTGTTAAATATCCTGAAGTGCACAGGACAGGCCCCACAACACAAAGTGACCTGGCCCAAACTGTTTTCTCATGCAGAGGCTGAAAAACCCTGCTCTGGGCCAACAGTAAAGGGGACTCAGGGGAGCCAAGAATCTGCTGGTATTTGACACCAGATGACATTCGAAATTCCTCCAAATCCCGAAAGAGCCCATCACGCATCTGACTCAAGGGGCCGCGGCAGCCGAGCTCCCACAGCACCGCCGCCCTCACGCCGCCCGCCCCGGCTGCGGCCCTTCTCCAGGCGCTGGCCGCTACCCGCTCTTGTTCCCCAGCACGCCTGCCCACGTGGGTCAGGGACCCCAGAAACACACCCAGTCGCTGAGTGTGCCCATCCTTCCCTGCTCTAAATGCAGGCACATCACCAAATCAGACTGACCTTTTTTTTTATGTGTGTGACTACAGACTCCTTGCTGCCAAGATGTGAAGCCTGGGCTTAGTCTCAAATGGGCACCTTTGGCTTGCGGCGAGGAGGAAGCTGTACCCACACCCAGCTCAGGGGGCCCAGTAGTGCCCTGGGAGCGTGAGAAGTCCCCTCGTACTTGAAGGTCTACTTTGGTGCTAACTCTGAATCACTCACCTGTACGTAAGAGATGAAAGAGTAGCACAGAGGGGTCAGGTGCGAGCCCGACAGCTTCACCTGCAGTGAAGGAGAAAGAGACTGATGCATCTACAGGAACGGCGTTTCCTCCCCCTTTCCTAAGAAAGGCACACTCTACTCACCAGCTTTTCCATAATTTTTGGAATTCCTCTGGAGCTCCGACACACCTGGAGATGCTAACAGAAGGTTCCTGGATTTAGTGTTGTGTCCTATATACATGTCCCACGAGACTACAGCTAATGGGGTGTGACTCATCACTCTGACTGGGGGACGACAGTCACAGAGAATCCTGGACCCAACGCTTCCTCTTCTCTCCTCAAAGCTCCTAAGCTTCGCTGATAACAGGCAAGGAATGAAGGGTTTCTGTTTTGGATTTGTTCAGCTCACTGCTTTAAAAAGCTTCCATCTAGAAAACATGACTTGCTGTTTTTCCTTTAAAAAATGCCAATAAAGGGGAGGAGGGCTCTGTATTTCCACTGCAGAAGCTGAGCCACCGCACACATAGTGGGGCCAAAGCTGCAGGTCCTCAGAGACAGCTGCGCTGCACTTGCGGGCACTGTGCAGCGGACTACAATCTTTCTTGCATTGTCTAAGCCTCAGTATTTAATACGGATCAATGCCCTCTGCAAGTCTGTCTGCGGAGGACCAAAATACCCAAGTGCAAAAAAAACAGCTTTTTGTTAAAGGATACTAAGAACCATTAACTCAAACTCAACCCAGAGTATGCATCGTATTTTTTAAAAATAAACTTCCTCCCTACCCTAGTACCTGACCTGTAAAGCATGTAACACCTACTTGTTAAAAGCAAGAAAAAAAGAATGCCTCTTCAGTGCCCAGACTGGCCAAAATACTGCAACTGTTTTGTGCAATAGGATATCAGGTTGACTTCTATAGCTACAGGTTAGATTAAGTCCTAGGAGATGCTGGAAGAGGCGCTCCTACTTAAACAGGCACCACATCCGCATAGGCCAAGGAAAATAGGGCCTTTAAAAGCAGGTTTGAAACTAAGCCACGAACAGTTGTTTCCTGGCCTGTGGAGACAGACGCCTGCCCCCTACTAACCAAACCAGGACCTGGCCCAGCCTCCCGACTGGCTGGGGACCCGTGGAGGGTCTGCCCCCTCCCAGGCACTCACATATCGGACGAGGGCCGTGAGAGTGGTGTACATCTTGCAGAGGGCCTTCAGCAAGGTGTCCACGCAGCTGCCCGAAGGCAGGGCTGTCTGCACCAGCTCGTGGAAGGAGGTCAGCAGGGTCCCCAGCTGCATGATGATGGCTTTCTCCATGGGGTGGTTTGGAAGGGCTGCCTGAGAAGAGGCTTCTTCTGAAGGGAAATGAAATTGCCATATTCAAACCCAACCGGCCTTATTTTCTAAAGTGAAGGAGATTTAGAAATCAACCCAACACTGTGAACTAGGGAGCCTGCAGGGAATGAGCCCAAGACCCGCCACACAGAACAATCGACGGCTGCGGTGATAGCCGCAGTCACAGCCGCAGCACCGTATGCTCCCTCCTCCAGCAGAGCATGGGCACGGGCCAGTCGGGGTCCTGGGTGCCTTTCTCTCAGCACGATTCCTGAACCCCACTTACCTGACAATCCTTGGCTCGCATGTCCCTTAAGCTTGGTGATTAGCCAGTCTACTTCTTCTAGAACCTTCTCAGCCTGACTCAGAACCAGCAACTGTGGAAAAAAAACAATGCCTGCCATGACTCACTGCTCCCAGCTGCTGGCACAACACAATGACCATGGCCACATGTGGTGGGGTGCAGGCCTCAGGACAGGAGCCACTGTAACCAACTCTGCCATGAAATAAAATGGAAAGAACGTCAAGGCTGTTTCCCACAGCCCCGGGACGGAGACTCACACAGACTGTAGGGGCTGCTGTCCTCAAATTCACCATTGCGAAGTGGTTTGTTTTCTCCACCTCCATATCCTGAGGGGGGAGAGAGAAACGAGCCGTGAGGGGGGCAGCCTGCTCCCGAACCCTACCCTCAGCCCGGCCGCTGCACTCACTGAAGGCTGGCCACAGTACCTCGTCTATGTCTCCAAGGTGCCCGTGGATATCCTGGGACAAGTCACGCAGCAGGGCGACTGGGCTCTTGCATGAAATATGGAGGCTGAAGAGCAGATTCATCAAGCCCTTACAAAACAAGGCATCCTCTAGAATAGGAAGGAAAGAAAACGAGGTGAGTCACAGTGCAGCCCGCACTTCAGGGCGGCGGTGCCTGACAGAACACGCAGTGTGTCCTGCCCAAGGCGCGGCGCCCCGGCGCGGCCCACTCCCACCCGGCGGCCCATTCACAAACGTGCCCTTGCCTCCATGGGCCCAGGGGAGGAAGACGTTCCCCATTACTCCTCAGCCCTGACCGACCGCTGTGGTACCAGCACCCGGAAACCCACTGCCTGACCGCCCCACCAAGGAAGCTGCTGTCCTGACCCCTAACCTCACATCTAGTTTTGTCTGATTTTGAACATTATCTACATGGAATCCCGTCGGGCTCCTCCTGGACAAACTGCGTCTGTGAGGGCCCTCCAGCTGCGTGCCGGGAAGGCACACTCACTGCCATCGCTGCACCCCGTGTACACGTCACAGTCCCCTTATGCACTCTTCTGCTGACGACTATTTGGGTTTATTAAAACACTGCTGCAGCGAGAATTGCTGGGCCACAAGGACGCATTTCAGTTTGGTGGTTAGTGCCATACAGCGTCCCAGAGTGGATGTGCCAGCTCACAGCCCCACTGGCAGGGAGTGAGCGGTCCAGCTGCTCCGTGCCCCTCCTGACACGCGCCAGTAGCGTTGTGTGGCTGTCTCATTTTGACTATGCTGCTGAATGAGTGAGTGCTCTTTGGTGATGATGACTTTAAATAAAGCCTAAAAGGAAACTCACCCCGGCTGTTTTCCTTGCAAATCTTAGATGTCCAGGATAACATCTGCAGAAACTAGAGACCAGATATTAACAAAACATGCCAAGAGACGGACCTAGAAGAGCTCTAGACCCTTCCAATTCTAACCATCCGCCAAAACACAAGTCTGGGTCTAACACAGCATCTACTAAGAGGAGCATGAAAGTCAGTCCAAAATTAGGAGCATCGCAGATCCCTTCCCTGCACTACAGCACATCGCGCAATTCTCAGACCCTGTGCCCTCAGGAGAGGCCCAATGTCCCAGGTGGGCTCTGGGTTCTTACTCCCGAGCTTCTCTCTCCGCTACAACCACGTCTGGGGCTGCAGTTCCTTTGTTCCTTCCCGCACCCCCCCAGTCTTGAGGCATCTTTAAGTAAGATATTAGGTTTGTAGAGAGGTGTAGGAGAGTAAGATCCTGGCCATAAAGATAGGAGAATTGGCTCTTAGGAGCCAAGAGGCTACAGTAGGTTAGGAGGGAGTAGGGGAAAAAAAGAAAGAGAAAAGAGGCAAAAACTCAGACAGTTCTCTCAGGTGGAAGAGGAGCCTGTGTGGCCAGACGCACAGAGCGTTCTGCTCCAGCAACTCCTTCAACAGGCCTTCAGCCACACAGGCCCCGAAACACTGTGATCCCTCAGTGCCAGGCAACCGGCAAGAATTCATTTTTGATCTCTTGGGGGACAAGTCAATTCACAGCCTAATTCTGAAAGCGCTCTGTGAACTGATATTAAAAAGTGTACAGATTCAGTGTGAAATGTCACCAGAAAGAGGTAGAGCACTCTTCTGTGTGAAGAGGGGTGGGGACGGGGAAAAGAATCCACATTCACATTTGCTTCTGCAGGACGAAAGAAACTCTGGAAGGACATGTGAACTTAAAGCTATTTACTTATTTGGGGGAGGAGCTGAACAGGTGGGTGACAGGAAGGGGATTGGAGGGAGGCCACTTACTGTGAGTCATTTTATAATCTCTGGTTTTTAAATCCTAGGACTTTATGACCTGTTCAAAATTAAATTTAAAAAAAAAAACAAACCCAAGAGACTCCTTGAAATTACTGGGGCTGGGGAGAGACGAATTTTAAAATCATTTTTCCTGTATACATTAGCCTTTCCAAATTCATTTATTTCCGCCCTCAAAGGCCCCCTGCCTGCTTCTCTGTCACTGCACTCCTTTCCTAGTCCTCTGTGCTTTGCAGCGAAAGTGGTGGGAGGACAGAATGAAGCTGAGAGCAGAGCGGGGGGTGAGCTGTCTGCCTCCAGAAGGAAGCGTGGAGCTGGCGAGAGGCCTCCCTGGGGCCGCCTGAACGCAGAGGAAGGACAATCAGGGCCGCTCTCCAGCGCTCACACACCGACACCTCGGGCACCTGCCCTCCCGGGGCAGGGGCCCACCCAGGAGGCCGCATCGCAGGGCTCCAGCGTGTCTCCTTCACAGACTAGGAAGTGAGGTGGGAGAAGCACAGGCCCCGGGTACTCAAGGGTGTTCTCTGTCGCCCCATTGGGAGATCGTTCCCGGGAGCAGCAGACCCACAGAGCGTGGCCCTCCTCGTCTCCCGGGTGTGGGCGCTCACGTGGGCACATGACTGTGCGTCTTTGTGCGCACCCTGCACCCACACACGCACAGCTTATCTCAGGAGAGCCACTGTGCTTTGGGATTGTCACCACAATCTCTGACTTATTCATCCTGTTGAATTTCTCCCAAATCAGCACCAGCTACCCTTGCTGAGAAAGGCAACTGCTGAACGTCAGCTACCACCTTAACATATTTTCAACCTAAAAAAGGCAAACGCCAAGACTGAATGAAAACACAGATTAAGAAGGCTGAAGTGCCAAAGCGAAGGCTTTGTCCTGTAGTGCTTACTGTTGACCCGACAGCAGCTGAACAAAAGCAGCGTTCTTGCCCTGCTGGCTGCGTGTGATTACGTCACGGCAGAAACAGTCTGCAGGAGAAGGTGCATCTCCTAGATCTCACAGTAACTCAGGAGCACAGTTAAATGTGAAATTTAAAATGAGCTAGACTTCAGGATATTCAGACACATTCTTTTCAGACGCAGTGTCCCTCGCCCTCGAGGCGCACCTGGGGGGAGGTGGGCTCCAGCAGCCTGGACAGGCTGCAGAGGATGCCCACGAGGAGGAGGGCCTCTCTGCTGCTGAAGTCTTCCTCCGGGCTGTTGAGCAGATTCAGCAAGGACCTCTGGGAAAGGAAAGCATGCACGTTCACGCTGGCAGATGTGTTCGCACCGGGGAGAAAAAACATCCAGCCAGGGATTCCTCAGGCTGGGATAAAAAGGATTCAAAACTACCAAAATTCCAAGAGGAAAAAAATCTGAAAACAAGCCTGACAGCTAGTTTCCTACCCTGTTTTTGAGCATCAATGTGCTTTCTTAAAAACTACGGACCCCCCGACCCCGTACATCAGGAATGACTGTGCACCCAATTCTGGGCGGGTCACAGCTCCCCAAAGTCCATCCCTTGACCTCAGGCGTACAAGTCTCTCCACCCCAGCGTTCCCTTCACGTCTTCCCTGTTTGCCTCTTCTCCATTCCTCTCTCACCACCTGAAATACTCCACACTTCGTCAATCTCTTCCCCACTACATTGTAAGTGGCAAAAGGTAGGGACTTTGTCTCTTATTCCATGGTATAATTCCCAGCACCCGGAATAGTTCATGGGACGCAGCAGGCACTTCAAAATGATCCTGGTATTATGACAATTAATCTAACGGTTAGCAACTAATAGGCCTCACTGTCTAGTCTTTATGCGAATCTGAGAACCCCAAATTATACCAGGGACACAAAGCAAAGGCACAAACTGTCCCTTTACTGGCCCCTGGCTCTGTGCCAACTCCAACAGTGGCTCCTGCAGGCAGAGCCTGCAGCAGGAAGGGCCGGCAGGACACCACCAGCCCAGCATCCCTTTAAGCGCGGAGCCTTCCATGCTAAGAGCTACCTCCTCTTGCCTGGATGATGACCCAGAAAAAATTCCTGTCCTACTTGTTCACTGTCAGCTGTTCTCACCCGCGAGCCCCGCGGGCAGTGCCCTCACTGGGACCCTCAGGCCAGGCCAGCAGCTGCCGCAGGCCGCTCACCTGAAACTGCCGGATCTGGAATGCTGCCCTCTGGGTGACGCTGGCGTCCGCCTCCTCTCCCTCATTATCCGGGACATCTAGGGAAGGAAAAGAGCTCATCTTCTTTGAAACAGGATTACGCTTTTTTAGCGTTTTAATAGCTAAAATTTTAAAAAGCCAAAAGTCCAGAGACAGATTTAAATATATTCCTAAGAGAAATCCTGCAATTTCTTCATTTTCACCATGTTCCATTTCCCAGTCACTCTCTGTGGTTAAGTGGCACCCAGTAAATGCCAATTCTGAATCCACTAAGTGGCACCTCCCAGCACCAGCAGGACTGTCCTCAGCTGACCTCTGAGAGGTTAATAAATAGAATGAAGAGGTCTGGTTAAGAAAGAGAAACCGAGCCGCAGCCAAGCGAGGAATCCGAGGCCCACCGAGCGCACGCAGGAAGAGGGGCACCCGGGGCTGGAAGAACTGCTGCACGGCGCCGAGGATCCTCTGCACGCCCTCCAGGCACAGCAGCGAGAGGCTCTTCCCTTTCTCCTTCCGCCCGGCCTCTTCCACGCACGTCGGAATGGAAGTGTACCTCCAGACCAGGACCCTGGGCGGGGAAAGGGCTTTCGTTTTTAATCGGCCTCCCCCAGGCGCAACTCACGGACAGTAAAATGCACACCCTACAGACCGACGTGCAGCTCCATGGATTTTAACAAACTTCTAAAGTGTGTAATCATCCCCACACCCAAGATACTTCCATCACCCTGAAAGTTCCCTTACGCTCCTCTGTGGTCAACTCTCTCTCAGTTTTCCAAGCGACCACTGATCTCCTCCATTCCTGTCCCTATGGTTTTACCATTGACAAAGTATCACATGAAATGGTACTTAGTGTGTAGCCTTTCGACCCTGGCTTTGTTAATTAGTGTATGCTTCTGAGATTCACCTGTCCTGCTATGTGTCAGCCGCTTGTCCCATGCCACTCAGCTGCTTGTCCTCTCACCACTTTATCCCCCCATCTGTTGGTGGACAATTTAGGTTGTTCCCAAATTTTGCTATTACAGGTAAAGCGGCTACCAACAACCCCCGATGTGGACATATGCTCTCATTTCTTTTGGATAAATACCAAAGAGCGGGACATGTAGGTCACGTGGTAGGTGTGTGCTTACCTTTTTAGGATACTGCCAAACTCTTTTTCAAAGTGGCTGTACCATTCCACAGTCCCATCACCAGTGTGTAAAAGCTCAAATTCCCCCACATCCAGGACAGCACTTGGGTCTGGTGAGTCTTTTTACTTTTAGGCATTCTAATAGACACTTTGTAACTTCATCATTGTGATTTTAATCTCTAGTGATGCATCAGTGAATTATATCCTCCTTTTCTGTCCTTATGTAACTACCATCTATATATCTTCTTTAGTAAAGTATTCAATATTTTACCCATTTTTAATTTTTTTATTAACAAGCTTGAGAGTTCTTCATGTGCTCTGGTTACCATTTTCTTCACCAGACATGACTTGCAAATATTTGCTCCTAATCTGTGGCTTGTTTTAGAATTTTGATGTTACACCTAAGAAATCTTGACCTAAAATGAGATCAAAAAGATTTTTCTCTACATTTATGTCTCTCATCCATTTCAAGTTAATGTTCTATACATGACCTGAGGGATGGATAAAGGTTTGGGGTCTTTTTTGCATATGGATGCCCACTTGTCTCAAAACCATATGTAGAAAAGACCTTCCTTTCTCCATTAAATCACCTCGGCACCCTTGCCAAATCAAATAACCATATTTGTGTTACTTCTGAACTGCCTATTCTGCTCCATTGATTCTGCTGACACCACACTACCTTAAGTCCAGCAGCTTTATGAGTAAGACCTGAAACCAGGGAGTGCCAGTCCTCTCTGTTCTTTGATTTCAAACTTGTCTCAGGCACTCTCCTTGCTCCTCCCTGCAGGGCCCGCAGCTGGCGGGCAGGCCTCAGAGGGTGAACGTGCCTTACCGAGTCATGTCGCAGAGGTTCTGAAAGATCCTGTCTGCATTTTGGCCGTCAGGGCCACTCACGCGCCCCGTCTCCTTGAGCTGCTGCGCCTTCCGCAGAGCCACACTGACCGCATAGCGCATGAACTCGGTGTTGGACCTCAACACAGACAGGCTCTCTTCATGGCTTTGGGTACTGTCCCTAGAGAGGGAGAGAGATGTTCCCCTACTGCTCCTGGGATATGGAGTTAGGCTTTCTAGGGACTGTTCAGAGCAGCAGCATCTAGCAGCTCTCCATGCTGGATCCCTGGCCAGAGTCAGTGCCGTGCCTGCCTAAATTAAGTTCCCAGACCCCACTTCCCCGTGTGTAGGGGGCAACTTTTACCCCACAACGCCAAACAACTCTCAGATACCAGCACGGTGTCCAAGGAGTCACCTCGGCTCTGACACCCCCTGCCTGGAGAGAGCGTCAGGCCCCACAGGTTCCCGGGTCAGTCCTGATGCCCCCCACTCCCACTCCCACCCCCCACTTCAGACACCAGTTGTAAGCCCAGGTAATACCTCGGTTATGTCCGAGGGGCTTTGAAAGGCTGTCCAGCCACAGATGGGAAGTTCCCCCAACTCTAAAGGCTAATTGTGAGTCCAGGTTGTTATCTGTTCATCTGTCCAACCAACTGTAAATCAGAGGATCCCATCATCTCTTCCTTGGGTTCAATTAAGTTGCTAAAATGGGTCTCATAAAACTCAGAAACACATATATACATGAAGAATTATGAATACAAACCAGATAAGAATGCCAACATGGGTGTGCTAGTGTGTCTTCACTGTGCAGCTGTCTTTAAGCCCTCTGTCTGAGCCTTACCTAAAGAGAGCAGTGAGAAGATCCGACACAAACTTCAGGGACAAAAAACTATCGTTGGTTTTGTTGGCCGTTTTGGTTTTGCCTTTACCAGCTTTTTCATTAAGGATGTCAGAGAGTTTCTTGTAACACATAAATAAGCTCAGGACGTCCTCAAACTTGTTCTTACTGCGTAAAAGGAAAAAGAGACCACCAAGGACAAGCCTCAGAATGCTGCAGTTCACTGTCACACAGTCATGAGGAAATCAGAATGTTTCCGCATTTCAGACACACACCGTGAGTGAATGACCCTTCAGTAACATGAACTCCTGTCATGCCGCTCTGTCTGGGCTATTTTTTTCTCCCTTCCTTAGACCAGTCAATACAGAGCATGAAGTCCAATACCACCCCCAATCAAATGTCTCCATGACAATGAGGAGCTCTTGAGTTCAGGGTCTGGGGGAAGTTTGAATGAATGAAAGCCCAGTGGAGGCACAGCATTCACCAGCCTGTCTGGCGTAGGCTTTAGGGTTCTCTGGCAGAAAGAACAGTGTCTCTGGTCTCAGGCTAGATGTTGATTCAAGAGACAGTGTCATGGTCTATAATCTGTTCGATACCTAGCATGTTGTTAGAATTAAAAACAAACAAACAAACAAAAAACACCCCAATCTCATAAAATGGAGTACTGGGAAAACTATAATTAGAGTCATAGCAATACCTTACCTGAAATTACTGATGGAGAAATTATATTCTATTAGAACCTCACAAATTCCCATCACAAGAGAAGCACAGATGTTATTCTTGATGCCGATACCAGTGCTCTGAGAAAAATCTGCTGATTTATCCTAAAAGACACAAAATGAAAAGCTAACAAGCTATGTAAAACCTCCACTGTTCAACAGACCTGTGACTCAGCAATTACCAGTTCCAAGTCCTCCAGTTCGCTCTTAATCATTCTGGTAGTAATAGACTCCAACATATCTTCTAACTCTTGGTAGAATCCTTCCTCCTCCTCCTCCTCCTCCTCCTCCTCTTGCTGCTGCAGAGGTATCACTCTACTCTTGTACCAGGCCAAGCAGTGCTGAATACAGCACAGCAAATGGTCCTGCAGAAGAAAATGATAATTACACATCCATGAGTGCTCAGGGCTAACCTGTGAAGCTGACGTTAATAAACAACTCTCATTTATAAGTGAAGTTATTCATTAGCACCACAAAGTAAGTCAATACAAATGAACAAAACTGGGAAAAAAAAAATCAAACATACAGAGGCATGGTCTGGCCTCTCCCAAAGGAACTGGCTCCACAAGCAGCTGGCACCTCAGACAGCACCTTCTGATGCGCTATCTCTGATCCAGCACAGACACCATGGAGCCAGGTCTCTCTGGCTTCCGAGTTCCTGAGGCTGTTCTAAAGACGGGGCTTTGTGCTGAAGGAACCTCTGGGAGACACCATAGCATGTCCTGGCAGAGAAGGTCCAAGTATGTAAGGATATGGCAGCTCTGTGACCATGAGTTCAACTCATGGGGTGGTGAAGTTTCAATTTTGTCTCCTCTTCCCTGCCCTTCTGAGGCTAGAGAGCAGCAACAGGAAACCAGCCTGTCCTAGTTCCACTGAAGGGCCAACAGGGTGCCAGTTCTAGCTCAGCCTAAGTCATATACTCCCTCCAGAGAATGAAGCTGGCCCACTGGGTTCCTCCACTCCCGGGGACCCTATTCCCATCCGGGAGTCCATTTATTTAGCGCTATAACCAAAGAGCCGTAAGTGGGAGACCAACTGCTCCTGGGGGCGGGGGGCAAGCGGGATGCCTTTACAGGAAAATGCTGACATAGAACTATCTCACCAGCAGACCCGCGGTGAGGACGGGTCAGAAGAGGAAAGCCGGGAAGACGTAAGAGTAAAAATACACAGCAGCAGGAAGAGGATTTCGGAGAGAAAGTGTCTCTTTCTAAAGATCAACCCTATCAACAGGGTCGAGACGTAATTTAACAGTAAAAATAATGGTTACAGGAGGAATAAAGTCTCACCAGTGGTTCCTGCAGAGAAATCTGATCTCCTTGGGTCAAAATACAAGCTTCCAATTTCAGAGGAGGCAGCACATCAGGCCGTGGCTCATAGAACTGCTTCAGCTGGAGACGGCAAGGGAAACAGACACCGTGTGGCTCATGACTGCTTTTCATTCACCTCTTCATCTTGTCAGGGGGATGGCTCCTTAAATGTGTAACACATTCTAGGACATATTTCCAAATATCCAAAGAATGCAGCGAACTTTGTATCGCTTTGGCTCACCCACACGCTTGCCCTTGCTTTAAGCGTCATACTAATCAAGATCTTCTTTCCTGTCCCGCGTCCACTACCTTTCCCACAAAACTCTGTACACTCTCCCACCAACTCCTGAGCGTGCTAGGCTGCCCGCATTTTCACTACAGCCTGGTAATTAGCATAGAGGCTCTAGAGTCAGAAGGGCTGAGTCCAAAACCTCAGTACTGCCACTTATTAACGCTTTCAATAAAGCCATGCCTTGGTTCCTCACCTGTGACATGAGGGTATTAATATAAACGTGTAAGGCTGCTGAAGGGTTAAACATGTCAACACGTGTGAAGTGCTTCCAACACTACTCGGCAGACAATAGAGCTCAAGGAAAACATTTTTCCTTGACACTGTTGTTCTCCTTTTTGCTTTTGGAGTCTGCAGAATTTTACTGGTCTGCATACTACCTGGGACTGGGCAGCCCTGTTCCATGCCTTCAATCACACTTTTCTATTCTTGTTAGTGTGTGAGTACAGCCAGGCTGGTCATCCAGTTGAAAGATACAACATAGCTAACAGCTTACATATAACCTTAAAAACATTATTGAGTACAAGACCACATATTATACGAGTCTGTTTATATGAAACGTCCACAATAGGCGAATCCAGAGCGACAGAAAGTAGATTAGTGGTTGCTTAGGGCTGGAAAGGTGGAAAAAGGATCAGAAAATTAGGTGACAGCTAATTTCCAAGGTGATGAAATGTTCAAAATTTGATTGTGGTAAAGGCTGCACAACTATGAACAGACTAAAGACCAATGACTTGTATACTTTAGGTGGGTGAAGTGTATGTATGGTATGTGAATTATATTTCAATAATGCTATCTTAAAAATGCAAATAAATGCTTAACGATTAAGTGTTGAGAATAAAGGTCTTATTTACACCAGATACTCTCCAGCTGAATTCTTCCCACCCTGATGGCCTCTGAAATATTTCATAATTTAAAAAACATTTTTAACTGAAAAGGACAGAAAACCACCTATCAGAATCATGTGTGCGTCGCCTAGACTTAACACATGGCACTATTTTGTTGTATTTGCTGCATGTCTCTCTCTAACCCTTGTACAAACAGTTCTTCAAAATATCCTTCTGACTTGGGAGGTCGACTGAGAAGGGAGGGGGAGACTGCCGGACGAGGGCAGTGCGGCCAGCACGCAAGTGGCAGTGGAAATAAACCATCCGGAGGACATCACATGCTGCAGGCGTGAAGTTCACAGTGTGCCGCGCACCACCTGGGAGCGTCTTTATACTGCGAACAGCCTGGAAGATGCCAGTCACCTCTCAATGCCATGTTACTTGTGTTGTTTCCACACGACCCCTTTCACCTGTGACAGCAGAGTCTGCATGATGGAATTAGCCAGCTGAGAGTTTCTTCGAAGGACATCGTAGAACCCCTAAGGGGAATCAAGCAGAATGAATAAACAAGTGTTTGTACGACACCTCTATGATCAGGAGAAACACTCTTAAAACGAGCACGGGTAGCTGGGGGGCGGCTCCGTGCCTCCCGCGCTGCTGCCCTACCCCCTACCTCGTAGAGCAGGAGCCGGACGTCTGCCTGCTGGCCGAGGCACCTCCTCAGGCTATCCATGATCTCAAGGCAGAAGGCCTCGTTGGCAGCAGCACTGTAGCGGCTGTGGACGTCCACGTGGACCTGAAAGAAATGCAGGATCCACCTCACCCAGGCAGCTTCCGCAGAGTGGGCAGGGTGAGGCTCAGGGCTTAGTCAAAGTATAAGACTGGCTCTCCCCAAAGGCCAACCCAGAGGACATTATAATCACCACTGGGCTATGAGGAGCGCAGCCAGTCTATCCTGGTTTGGAAGGAGAGAACTTTCAAGCACTTTAGCAAAACGAACTCCTCCCCAGCCCTAAGGCTTTTCTCAGCAATGTCAGCTGCTTAGGGGAGGCACCCAGGTTATCTCCTGCCTCTGGAACCTGGACATTCATAATGCACTTGATTTTACTTAAAAGGCCGAAAAGCCTTCCTTAACTGCCTTCAGTAGCTAGAAGAATCTAGCTCTTTTTGCTTCCATAGAATCCTGAAAGGGTTGGAGGTAACCAGTGTTTAGCTTGGAAATGAACCTGAAGAGTACACCTCTGTTTCATTTACACAATAAACTCTGCAATTACGGACAAATTGCTAATCCTCACCCCAGGCATTTTAGCAGGGCAGTTAGCACTGACTGAGGTCAAACTTCAGTTCCACCCTTTACAGATCACAGCACCTTGGGCAAGTCGCTTCCTCTCGCTTGGCTTCAGTTTTCTTACCAAAAAAATGAGGACGATGAGAATACACTAATGATACCCAGTGTTCCTAATATTTAAGCTACGCCTTATGCTACAGACAAAAGTTTTATAGAGTTATACTAGAGCAATAAAGGATTCCTGGGGAAACTATTACATTAATGCCTGTTGTGTACAATCGTATAGCACATAATTTAAATTATAAAGACAATTTTATTGTTCCAAAGCCCACATTACCAAATTATTGTAAAAAGTTTTGTTTTCTCAAATTATGGCATTTAATAAATGTTCATGTGCAAAGTAAATAAACTACTAAAGATGGAGTATTATAATAAACATACTTAGCCTCTGAGAATTACTGTGAAGATTAAATAATGAACGTAAAGCACTTAGCATAGTGTCTAGCATGACAAACCACAAATGCAACAAACATACATAATTTAAAATTTACTAGTGGCCACATTTAAAAGGAAACTGATGAAAATAATTTTATGATTTTATTTAATCCAATATATCGAAAATATTATCTCAACATGTATTGAAAATGAAAATTAATGAGACATTTTACATCAATTTCACATTCTGTCTTTAAAATCCAGTGTGTGTTGTACACGCACAGCACTACTCGATTTGGACAGGCTGCAGTTCAACTGTCCAGTTCAAAAGCCGCCCTGAGCTGCTGGCCCCCAAGGCGGAGGGCTGTTCAGCCGGCCGCGGATCTGCCGTCAGTCAGTGTTAACTGACACCCTCGCCATCGCCGCGATCCTGGCTCTGCTTCACGACTGTGTGCACAACCAGAACGGGAGGAAAAGGAACCCGTGTGCAGGCCACCAGCTCCTGCGTTGATGCCACATGATGGACCCGGGGGGAGTGGCGGGGGGTGCTTACCTGGCTGAGGCCGACGGGCTGGCTGCACTGGGAGGATGACAAGCTGCCCAAAACTTTAAAGTTCTGCAGGAGCAGCAGGAACCCAGCCACTGCAGACTTTCGGGCATCGAGCTGCCTGGCTCAGGATCAGACAGGGGAGCAATGAAAAAACTATTAATTTCACAGCAATAGGCTCCAGGGTGAAAAAAATTCAGTCAGTTTTACATGGAGAAGGACCATGTATCATTGTGAGGCAGAGAGCAACAAGAACTGAATTTACACACTCAAAGCAGCAAGCAGCTGTTCACAGCAACTGGCAGGACAGGAGCTCAGCCGACCTCTGCATCATCTACTTAACCTCATGGCGTGAGCCCTGCTCTCTTCCATCCCCACACAGCTACACAGGGAATGAGAACACACGTGCCGAGAGGCTGTACAAGGGGCTGATAACTCCCATGGCAGGGCTGAATCGGAGAGGAAAGTGCTGATTCTCCGTGTCGAGAGAGGTCCTTTCCTTCTTCCCAGAGGACTGCTGCGCTTGCTGTCTTATCAGTCCTGCCTTCAGAAAACTGCGGTGATTCATGCACATCATAGATGCTATGACACGCACCCTCAGCCTGTCAGACATGCCTCTGGGAAGGGAGGAGCGAACAGTGTCAGCTCTTCTCCAGGGATCACAGTAGTAGCTGCCTCCTGACTGTCCCTCTGGACATCCAGGAGTGCAACATGCTGCCAGTGTGAGGTTAATTAGGCATCTTATACTTAAAGTACCAAATGAGTTCCACCTACTTGCCTCCGCATATTCTGTAGGAGATGCTATTACCACCTATACCTTACACACTAAGAAATGAAGGAAGAGCGGTCAGGGGGCACTGACTAAGCCAAGAAACCAGAAGACCGAGACCCCTCAACAATTCATTTAGTCTTCAGTCACTAGACCACAATAATGATGTTTACTAAAATAAATTTTGCAGAATGTTTCCTTTGTAATGGAGGCATTGCCCTCTTCAGAGCTGCAGCCAGCTGGCGCCGGAAGCCTACCTCACAGGCTGCTGCAGAGCGCACAGCAGAGCACTCTGATCACAGGCTCGATTCCGGGCTCTCCCACCAGATGCCACTTGAGTTTTGGAAAGTCACTGTCTCCCCTAAGCCTAAGCTTCCCGATCTGTCAAATGGGATCGGCAGTAATTCTCCCTCCACGGGACTGCTCTGAGGACACACTGGGGGAAAGTGCCGGGCACTCGGCCCTGTCCCATGACAGCGTCCTGCGAGCCCACTGCGGTGATCAGGCTGCACACGGGAGGGCGGAGGACTCCAGTAACAGTAGCCGGCACTACATCCCCAAGGCTCACCAGACACTACATACCTGGCAAACATCGCTTTCCGAAGGACAAGTATCAGGGAGTCTCTCATCGACATGCTCACTTTGAGAAGGGGCTGAAAGAGAAGGCGGCAGGGGGTAAAACCAGAGCAAGCGTCTCTTAGTCTTAGCTCCTCTCTACCCAATCTGGTTATCGTCCAGCTTATCTAAGGCACTTTGGGTCTGTTTTATGTACGTATTTTAGTGTGCATCCCACTTAGTAATGAGGACAACAGTGTGCCTGAAATACCAAATAGGAACTGGCTGTGAATGCCTTTAAGTCTGCTGTCCTTAATACAACACAGTTTTAGAATCAGGAGAAACAGGATTCCTCAGTCATACATATTCATAAAGACACCCCAGACTCTCACTCCACCCCCGCCTGCTGTGACAAGCACCTTGGGTGACCCACCTGCACTGCCTTCAGCAGCCCCTGCACAGTCTGGGGGGGCAGGAAGGATAAGTAGTCGAAGCTTTCGGTGACTTTAGAAGAGCAACTTTGAAGAACTAAGGGTGAGTGCATGGTGATGTCTGAAAGCAGTTCTGAAAGAAAGACTCTAGAATGAGTTGCTTCAAATAACTAAAGATATTTCAAATAAAAAGAAAATTAAAACAGGGAAAGAAATGGTAAAAAGTTTGTTTCATTTCTCAAGTCAAATATACAATATAAATTTCTACTGATCCTATCTATTTTTCTATGGTAACTGTAACCAGGATACTTAACTTTCTCCGGCAATAGTGTAAGACTACAAAAATTAACCTGTCTAAAAGAAAGAAACCCATTATACTGCCAAGATAAGTAGCATACAATGTCTTTATCTTTCCAAGTTAAGTGAATAAAAACTTACGAACTTTGATTATATGTAAGCAAATGTATTACGGTCCTATAAGGAATGTACAAAAGCATAAAACATGGTTTCTCTCCCTTCAAAAATCTTCATTTAGTTGGAAGTAACTATATTTTAAATGAATGAAAGAGGTAAATAACACAACAATAGCACACATCTAATAATCCCAAACAGTTTACTGCTTAGCAAATTACAGAAAGAGAGATCACACAGGAGTTCAAAAAAAGAGATCATGAGTGGGTATGTTTTAGCAAAGCAGAGAGAAGGTGTTGAGCCAGGCTCTGAACGATGGGCCATGTTTAGCTGCTACATGTACGGGAAAAGCGGGAGTAGAGGTGCAGGAATGGGAGGTGGGCGGCGGCAGCATCCGGGGACTTGGAGGGAAGGAGCAGAACTGAAGTTAACACCGATCAAGTGCCGTGACAAAGAGCTGACAGGCTATTGCAGAAGGAATAAGGACTCCTGAGTGATGGTGTGGTGCTGTAGGCATACTCATCGGGCGGCAATACACAGATGGAATTGTTGCAGACGGCAGAGAAAGCCGGGAAGCCGGCGGGGAGCTGTGGCAGGGGTCTTAGCGCAAGGCTGTAAGATGGGAACCAGGCAGTGGGTGCGTGTGAAGGAGCCGGGATAAAAAAGAAGGACGAGGTAACAGTATGAGGGAAAGAACGGGAGGATTTAGACAGCAAGTGTATCTGAGAAGATAAAATGGAATGCCAGCGGCTGGGACTCTGAGAGCCAGGCTTCAGATAACAGAAATAGTGATGATAAACCGGGGAATCTGTTTGAAGGAAGCTGTACTGCATCTGAGATACAAGGGAAAACAAATGCTAAATGGAAATACCAGCAGGAATGAAACCACTGAGCTAAGGCAGGAGGGCCCTGACTAAGTAGTCAGGAATTGCATGTTTTACAAATTCTGGCAGCACATCAGTGTGCCGTGGGACACTGGCTGAAAAACCCACTGCACTGAACTACCGTAGTTAATTTTTCCCCCCATGACCAAAACGTTATGGCACTTAAATGAAACTACTCCTCAGAACTTTAACCGCCCTTTGAAAATTCAATACCTAAGAAATGGCTGATGGGAGAGGACGCTCTGGTAACAACCCTGTTGAGGACTTGCTCCAGAATTTCTTGTCTGATCATCTCATGGATCTAAAAAGAACAGAAGAACCTATAAAATATTCCTCGGTGATTTTCAGCTGGCAGTGCATCAGTGCCTGTTAGGCAGAATGAAGGACAGTTTGGATATGAATAAAACCCGAGTGTTTCTTTCAAAGACAGACATAAGGTGATTATCAGGTGTTAGCAGGACAAACTGCCATGTCTGTGAACCCACAAGAGAGTTCCCATGAAAGTGCTGTTCCATACAAATAAAAGATGAAGAAGTAAGTATTCCACTGGACCGGAACTGCAGTGTGTCACCTACTATCCTACTCTCTGTTCCCAGGACTCAAATGTCCACGTCCTCCAAACCCCGGGCAAGTATCATGCCTACGTGTAATGCGATGTTATAAAATGGGGCGGTAGTGGCCACACTCGTGTCTCACCTTAAAAGTTTCCAGCAGGATACTGGCTCCCAGCTGGCATGCATGCTGGTTTGGTGTTCTGGAAAGACCTGAGCTGGTTTCGATAGCTCTTCCATCCACAATCTTCTTGGGCCCATAGGAATCCATTAAAATGAAGCCAAGTTCAACCAGGCCCTGAGTCACATGATCCCAACTATGAACACTGCAAGAAAACAAAGCTGAGTCAGAAAGAAAAGCTTAGTAACATGTCCCACCCTTGTCCTCATTGCCATGTTACGCGTTTCCCAAACGCACCCTGGATAACCGACACTCTTCACCTGACCCTTTCCTTTCCATGCAGCCTCACGGCACACAGCATCCTTCTCTGCCTCCCTCTCTAAGACCCCCTGGGTCCCGCTAGGACCCGGCAGTTTACGCCGCGCAGAGAGCAACAGTGAGGCCGGCCCTGAGCTGGGATGTGTGAGTGGAGGGTCCCGAGCCCGAGGCTGCGCCGCACTTGGGGACGAGGGCAACACTCGGGGAAGAAGGCTGTGGGAGGCCCCGCGGCTGGAAGGCGAGCCCTTGGCACATCCTCGCTGCCCTCACATCAGTGACAGGCTGCGTTAGGTAGAGGCGGCGCTCTCACACTAACAGGGACCTTCAGGAACTCCAAGGAGAGAACCGATCATCACCTCCACCACCAACAAAATATAGCCTTGAAGCAGAAGCACCAAACTCAATGAGGAGAATTAATATCTGAGGGAACAGGTTAACGGAACACACAGGAGATTTTAAAAGTATAATGAATATCCTCAAAGAAATAATACCACATAGCATGAAACAAAAACAGACTATTAACAAAATAACTGTGAATTCTGGAAACGAAAAACATGGCTGCTGGAGGGAAGAACTAAGAGTGAAATGCACAGAGCTGAAGAACAAATCAATCTGAAGAAAGAGCTATGGGATTTTTACAGAACTTCACATGGAAAGATGAAAGTATGAAAAGCATGAAGGAAGAGAGATATGGCACAGAGATCAAGAAATTCCAACAGCTCATGGGTGAGAACAGAGTTTAGGAAAGACAGGAATCCCTACAGTGAAAGGGCACATCAAGTATCAAGCTGTAATAAATCAGAAATGAACTTACATACACATAAACTATTAAATTTCAGAACATCAAGGATAAAAATAAAGTCTTAGAAGTTTCCATAAAGAAAATAACATAACATACAGTGACACAAAGAATCAGGTAATCACCAGGCTTTCCGGGCTTTTTGCTAGATGCAAAAAGACAAGAGAAAGGATTATAAACTTAGATTTTATAGCTGGTCAACTACTGTTCAGGTGCGATGGCAAAATAAAGACATTTTCAGATATGGAAAGACTGAGAAAGTATACTATCCATAAACCATACCAGAAAGGAAGACTGAAAAAATTACATACCCCCAGCATATTTCCAAGAGAAAAATATGAGATTCAAGAGATTGAGGTAAACAAAGAAACCAGGAAAATGTATTATGAAGTGTTACTTAAGGTAAAGTCCTATATTTACTGTAGTAGAACTTTTATATTAAATAAGAATATGTTGAATGTTAACTAGACTTACTGTGATCATTTTGATACAAACATCAAATCATCTTATCCACCTGAAGCTAATGATATAGGTCAGTTATACCAAAATAAAAAAAATTAGATATATCTTAGAGCTCTGGTTACAAAGTGGAATATGTTTTAAGTCTGTTTGATCCTCTTTCTCCAACAGGTCCTATTATCTTGCAAACATAACAGTGTTCAGGAATATACCGCATTACAGCAGAAATGACCTAATTAACTCTAAGTATTCTACTCATTAACTCCAGTCACTAACAGGCAAATCTAAGTCTAAATACAATAAAATATCGCCAAAATGGGATAAATGGGGTCCAAAAACTCAGTCGCATAAAATGGAGGCTGCACCATTCAGAGGTTCAGCGACCGACCAGCGCAGCCACGAGCAGCTACGCAGCTGGTACTCAGGGGCTCTGGTAATGCGGCCACAGCCCCCGCCCAAGACCCGGGGGGCCGAAGGGGCCCGCCAGTCCAGCCTCGCAGCAGGTGGAGACGGTCCCGGGGCCGGGGCCGGACCGGGACTTTCAGGAGGAGGGCAGCTCTGCAGCAACTTCCTGGCTACCTGAAGTCTGTCCTTTAGCCCAGCGAGGGGAGGATGGGTTGGATGAGCACTGAGGATACAGGTGTAAACCTGAGGGAGACGAGGAGCGACCAGACACAGAGAGGGCCCGGGGCCCGTGGCGGGGCCCGTGGGGGAGCCGCTCAGAAACAACGGGTGCTGCCCTCACGTTAATTCAAGCTAAGTCAGACCTGAAAGGAGATCTACCTTAAATAATGGCTTAAATTATAAAGTTTAAAACTATATTTAATCCATGGACGAAGGAAGCATGGCACATTAAAGACTGTTACAACAGCTAATGCACATTCTAAAATTAAATTAACGGCCAGTAAGGTTATCCTTTCAAGGTGGTTTAAAATGGATTTGTCTAAAACTACTCATCAATTTCCCAAAACTGCTAACTCAACTCCATCCATTAGCCCCAAACCTCAATAGTCGAAATAAATAAAACTTTTAATGCTTTTTACTCACCTAAAAAGCCAAGAAAGAGTTGTGGTATCATGAAAGGAGTGAAGGTGCGATCTAAGGTTTGCACTCTTGCTTTCAAGGTGGCCAAGGCATCAGGCCATGGGTTCAAGGGCCTTTTGATGAGGAAAAGCTTGCTCGCCTGATCTTAAGGGACTAAACCGTGACATGTGATGTCCGCAGTCAGCAGTTTCCCCTGACAGGCCGTAGGTGCAGCACCGCACTCCACTGTCTTCCTTCTTCTTCTCTTTTTCTTACGTTACCTTTTAGCCTCCTATACCCCCTTCCCCACAACACACTGCACTTTCTAAGGCTGAATCTCTCAGGAACCGACTGGGGCACGGTTCATGAACTCACCTGTTTTTTACCACGTCCAAGATCATGGTTGAAACACAAGGTCGATCAGAGACTAGATTCTGAAGAAATTTTGAGCCTTGGAGAAGCTGCATATTCTTAAAGCTTTTAAAAACCAAAGCCTTTAAAAGGTCAAACACCTAATATAATGAAAGAAATAGAAAAATGAAGAAAAAAATGATACCCCGTGCCACAGAATCTTAACACTGTCACTGTTCCTAGTTGCTGCCATACACTCATGTCCCCATTACAACTGGTTCACTAGATGAGTATGATATAAAAATTGTGACTTTCTGTGGCAACTTATGAGTTGAAGACAGGCCTTCCTTCAGAAAGAAAAAGGGTTAAGATCAATACTAGTATTACCCACAAGTAGGGAAAATATGAGAAAAAAGGACAAAGGATTTTATCTTTTCACCCTTGCAGCTACCCTAGCCACATTAATTTCACCTCGATGGGGGACAAGTTCTTGGAAAGCTACAACATAATAAAACTGCTGGTGGACACCCAGCTAAACTTCCTGTTCTTGCTACTTGTACTGTGCAATGTTTCCGCTCTTATTCCCATTGCACCATCTGGCTTACCAGACAACAGGGAGTAGAGGAATGTACCGAGTACCTGAAGAAGTCTTCAAGCAACCCCCCAGACAACAGTGTGGGCCTACCTGTCCTACAGAAGAATCTGCTGCTGGCGGGACTGGGATGGGATTGTTTAGGAAAGGATAGTAAGAAACAAAATACAACAAAACAAATAAGCACGCTCTTATACACCTTGTCAGCCATGGAAGGAACCCAAAAGTCATTAATAAATACCTGTTCCTCAAATCTTTGTATTCTTGTCACAGAGAGCAGGAGAGCAATGCTGAAGGGGGATACAGTACTAAAATCTCCTTGCTGTCCTGCCTAGAACAGATAAACAACAACAATAAAAAAGCCGTTACTTATATCTTGAAAGGGTAACGTAGCCTATTTAAAAAAAAAAAAAAAAGCCCCTAAATGGATCAGAAACCTATTATATCAGAGCTGAAACTATAAAACTTTTGGAAGAAAACATAGCAGAAAATATTCAAGACCTTGAATTAAGCAAAGATTTTCTTACACACAATACCAAAAGCAAACTTTATAGAAGAAAAAAACTGATAAAATAGACATGATCAAAAATCAAAATTTCTTTGTGCTTCAAAAGGTACCTCTAAGAAAATGAAAAGACAAGCTACAGACTGGAAAATATTTGGTAAAAATATTTACCTGTATATTATAAAGGACTTGTACACAGAATATACAAAGAATTCTTTAAATTTAATAATAAGATATACAATCAAAAAAAGAAACGGCTGGTATCAATCCGGAATGGGACAAGAAATGTACAAGGCGAGCCCTGGACTGTTTATGCCACAAAAATGCTCAAAGACTAAAGGGGTCATGTCAGAAAAACACACAAGCAGATGTTAAGGACCGATCGGCCAAACATAGGTCACTTTAAGTAATGCATAATGAGAACAATGAATTTAAAAAGGTTCATGGGTGTATATTGATAATGGAAAAAAAAAGGTGAGGGAAAAGGCTCTTTTCACAGAAGAAAGGCAATCAATAATGCAGAAGAAATGACAGTATTGAAAATTTTAATTTTAATTCTACCATTTTGCAACTCACAGTATAATTACTGCGGTAGGCCAAGAATCATCAGTATATGGGAAGACAGACACCCATGTGTGAAAGGTTGCTGTGAGGAAAAGGTCACATGATCTCATGTTATGATCCTGTGGGTGACTTTGTAATTACCAAGGGAAACATGTATCTTCGCACATGCAGGAAAATGATGGCTGCTGCCTTAACCAAAGGGCTGACTCAGCACCACCAGCAGCACGACAGCCCCTACCAGAGCCTTCCAGCACAATGCAATGGGATAGAGGTTGGCAAACGGCAGTCTCCGGGCCAAATCCAGCCTACTTCTGCACAGTCCATGAGCTCAAACTGGTTTTTACATTTTTAAATTGTTGAGGGAGAGAAACATCCAAGGAATACTTCATGATGCATGAAAATTAAATGAAGTTCAAATTTCAGTGCCCACAGAGTCACTGCCGCACAGCCATGCTCAGGCGCGCGTGTGCCATCTCCGGCTGCTTTCTTGCTCCAGTGGCAGAGCCGAGCGGCCAGACAGAGACTGTACGGCCTGTACAGCCTAAAGTAGCACCTGGCCCTTTCCAGGAAGTTGGCTGAACCCCACATGAGAAAGCACACAACATCACTTATGATGTGGTCTTGCCAGAAATGTTTAACTTGAGTCTAAACGCAAGAAGACAAAACACAAGAAAACAAATCATGGACTATGTGAGACACAAGACAACTGGGCTGGATGCTGCACAAACTTCAAAAGACACTAATGCTTATTCTTAGGAGATGCATGCAGAGGTACTCAGGCGCTGAAAGGTCATGATTCCTCTTGTAAATGGTTCGGAAAAACATAATGTGAGAGAGAGAGAGAGATACGGTAAATGTGGAAAATCTAGGTAAAAGGTACACAGATGTTCATCCCGCTAAAGTATTTCAACTTTTCTGTGGGTTAAAAATTTCAAAACAAAATGTCAGAAGAAAATAGGTGATTAAAAGAGTTCAAAACATTTCTAGCTTTTATTTTAGTCCTTCTCAAATATTTAATGAATGACCTGACTTCCCAAAAACCTCAAAATATACCAGAAATAGGCAATATCTGCAATTCGTAAGTGGGGAAAAAGGTCAGGGCTGAAGTTCACACAACACAATAATGGAGTTAAGATTAAATTTTCAGTTAACATTTATGGCATGGATTTAAAATGGCATGGGCTTAAAAATGTGGGGACATCATATTATTTCCCACTTTCAAAGTCGAATAAGAAACCCTCGAGACCCAGGGTCATTCTGCAATACTTCTCTTCACTTCCTGTCACTAACTGGCATAAAAGAGGCTTGAGTTCAAATATCCCTGCTTCCTAGGGATCCTGGGTCACCTCAGGAGTTTGGTGCTACCTTTAAGTGTTTCAGGAGTTCTCTGCCCAGTTCACAGTCCAGTTTGATGGCAAACACGATGTGTAGAATAACAGTGCCTTCCACGTGACGAAGTTCACCTGATGGCACGGTGACAAGATCCAAGAGCCTGAACGATTCAACAGAAATGTGTGAGCAGGACAGCAGTGCAGATGCTCAGATGAACAAACAGACCAGGCAGGTCCCTCCAAGAAGACAGTGACTACAGATGCCACAGATCTCATTCTCTGCTCCCCTTCACAGCGAAACTTCCAGAAAGAAGTGTCTATAGTTCTTGTTTCCACTTCTTTACCTCTTCCCAGTTAAATCCAATTCAATAAGGCTCCTGTGCCCTTCCAGCCCTCACACTCAATGCCACTGACTATTACTGCAATGGTTACAAATAACCTCTATGCCCCATATTAATGCCTCAGCAAAATTCACACAACTGACCACTTCTTTCTTGTCATACTTTCTTCTCTTAGCTTCTGGGGCATTGTCACTGATCTCATTTCTTTTTTCTTTTGCTGGTTTATCCTCTTTTGAAACAGTGGATGCCTTTGAACTTAGTTTTGGGTTCCTCTGTCATCTTGTCACACTTTCCCTAGGTGACCCCACCTGGTCCCTTCCAGACTCTGTCTCCTGTCCTGACCTCTCCCCGTAACTCCAGACAGCCTGCTCCACACCCCCATGTGGAATGCTAATATACACCTCAGACTTAACATGGGCAAAACAGCTTATTTTCCCCTAAACCTAATTTTCTGTCAGTCTCTCCTAAATATACAAGATCACCTTCTAGTTAGTCGCTCAGTCAAACAACTGAAAGTCATTCTAGCGCAGAAGCAGTAGCCTGCAACGGGAGTAAGAATGTGTATTCTGTAGCCAAACTGCCCAGATTGAAAACCCAGCTCGACTATGCTACGGCAAAATCTTGGGAAATTCCTTAGTTTCTCAGTGCCTTGATTTCCGCATCCAAAAAATAAAGACAAAATAAGGTTGTTGTGAAGTTTAAAGAGCTTAAACAGCACCTGGCACAGATAAAGCACTTACATGCCATGCTGTCTCCTGCCTTTGAACTAACCCTTCCACTAACTTAAAATGTGCTTTCTCCCAACCTGCATGTTGTGGCTCTTATTGTTCAGGCTTTGGTTCAAACAGCACCTCCACAGCGAGGGCTCCCTGGGCCGCCAGTGCAAAGTAGCTGCACTCCCGCCCTCACAGCATCCGCCTGGTTTATCTGCAGGGCACTCCCCGCGCTAATATTTTTCTTGTTACTTATTTCTGATCTCTCCTCGCTGAAACTTCAGCTCCACAACAGCAGGGACCTTGTCTGACTGACTAGCTCCTCATTGCAGACCCAGGAACAAACTGTTCCTGGCACAGAGAAGACACTTAAAAATAAACAGTTTTACAACCGAACAACTTAGAGGACAATTATTGCTCTTTTCCTGGAAAGGTGTACATGAAAGAGTTGGGGAGGACGCACAACTCTTTCCACTTTATTACTGAGCAGCTAGGATTCCTTAAGTTCTGTGTTGGGAGGTGAAGGCAGAGACTAAGAGGCTAGATAACAAGGAAGTAACTAAAATACATGACAAGATGATTTGCAAAAATGATTTTATCTCTATATTACTCACTCATCGCCACTCTGCTCCTCTTTGTGCTGCTTATCTAGCTCATTGAAGAAAGCGATGATTCCTTCCAAAACCCTCTTTCTGCTTCCCTGAAAAAATACGTAACAGGTAAGGTCTCCCCAAAAAGGGCAAGAACAGCAAGTTGCACTTTTTCGCTTAAAAGCTTCTCAGATACGAATTTAAATAAACAAATTACAACCTAGAGTTATGATAAGAATTTACAGAACACTTGCACGTTAAAATTTAGTTTAAAATACATCTTTATGCCAGACTTTAAGGGGCCTATAGCCCACCCTTTGTGAGATCTTTATTCCTTTTACCAAACACACAAAATATGTGGTAGGGAGTACAAGACAAAATGTTATCCTTGTCGGAGCACGACCTTTTACTAGATCGAATCATCAAACGTGAAATGAAAGCAACCACACCCTAGTATGTAAATCAAGAGTACAAATAAGCTGAGTGGCCCGGACTGGTCATTTCACTGGAGTTTAAAAAAAAAAAAACAAAAGACATCTTACTTATACCTTTGAAGAGAGAACCAAAAGCTGATAGACCAAAGGCGGTATTTCTTGAAGATTCAACTTGGAGAACATCTTCAAGACTTTATCTGTCACAACTTCCGCCTCCTCTGCTGTCAGAGGCACATCCCTGTGGAGCAAAGATTCTGAAGGCCAAAGCCACTGTGCCAGAGCCTTGTCTGGGAGACAGCAGAGTGCCGTAACTGCCCCTTTCGAATTTTCTTGAACAGAGAATCTTCAAGAAAACCAATAATCCTACCCAAGCCAAGCCGTCTTTGGGGAAAAAAAAGTAAAATTATACTTTAAGTAAGCAATTAAAGTAAAAAAGAGGTGGGGGGAATGTTGTAACAGAAAAGAGGGACCAGTACTGTTCCTGGGGGGAGAGTGGGCTGTGCTCGCTGCATCTCAGTGTCCAGCAGGGAAGCTCACGGAGCAGGACAGAAGGACAAAGGGAACCGAGATGTGCTTACTTGAACATGGAGGTGAGCTGAATCACATATTGCCGATCCCATCTGGTTAAAGACAGTGACCAAGAATGTGTAAGTTTATCTCATTTTAATCTATTTACATATTGCTTTATAAAATTAGGATGAAAAAAAATTAGGGCCATTTCAAGTTTGATTTGGTACCACTAGGAAACAAGATCAAAGAAATAACACATATAATGTAGTATTTCACTAACCATGGAGTAAAATTTTTCATTTTCGAGGTATGTCTTTATATATTTCATTTTTAATGGGTACAATTTCATGTCTCTATTATTGTATGCTTAAGTTAGTCACAAATTCCTGTGTGGAATATGTTCGTGTATGAAAATTTTATGTTGGACTCTCTTCTTAGGGTAACTCCCATATTTCTGGTTTAAAGATATAAACATCATTTATATATTCCACTCCCTCAAAAAAATATAAAAGCTGCCACAAAAGAGTGATCTCCCAGCCTTGAGGACTGTAGGACTCAAATATGACAGAGACTAAACTGCTGAGTCAAGACAGACCGTCAAATAAATCAAGCTTACATATATAATCTTAGAACAAAGGACGCAGTAGGTGATCTCTCAAAAATTTGACACAGACTACATGGTTTTATACAAGTAGCACATTATAAATGAACTAAGAACTTCAGTGACACGAATTCCTAAAACAAGTGGGAATTCTTTCTTTTGACACTTGCAGTCCTGAGAAGGCTCTACACATTAACAAGAAAGACTCACCTGCCAGAACAGAGGGTGTTAATCAACTGTGTCTTACATTCTTCTCCACTCTGTTCATCTAGAAATGCAAAATACACTGAGAAATAAATTTCATTACGTGAATAGAGACAATGCCACTAAAACTGGAAGAAAATTACCTTTTCCAGAAGCCAGATTTTCCTTTTTGGTAACAAGGGCAGTGAGAACGATGGGTAGTAACTCCAAAGATTTTCCATTCATTAAGCTGCCCTTTTTGATTGCACTAACAAACTCATTGGCTAATTCAACCAATGATGGTCCTGGAAAAGTGTGGGCCTAAAATTCCATGGGATAAAGTAAAAATAGTAAGCAGAAATCTAAATGTTCACTATTTCTTTGCAAGAAATGGAGTTTTTCTTGCTTAACTAATAGAACTAGCAATGAAACCAGAACTGGTCCTATAACAGATTCAGGGTATCCTTCTGCTCTGGTACAACTTGTAATTATAAAGGATTTCAAGGGCCAGAAACCTCCACCAATTCTCCAGTGTTTCCAATACACCAGCTCTTCAAAAAGATACATGGTCCTGACACCAGAAACGTAATGGAAACATCTAGGTGGTTAATGGCCCACTCATCAACTATTTAGTCTTTTAGTAATCCTAATTCATAAATAAGATCTATGCTAGGTTTGGCATATTTGGTTTCTCTTCTTCAACAAATTACACCCCTCCCCCAAATCTACCCAAAAACAAGAGTTTTTATTTTCTGTCTCACCTCCATCATTAGCAGTCCTATGATTTCAGATGCTACTTCTTTCTGCAAATCTCCGGATTCCACCAATTGTATACAACAAATGTATATCTTCAGTCTCCTATGAGCTCCAGCTTCCTCAGAGCATGGGGAACCTTGTTTTAAAAAGGTATACAGAAACAAAAAGGAAAAAGTGTTCAAGACTGAAGGGCAAATAACCAGGACAAGTCAGATGGCTGTGTAGTTTCAAACATAAACAGAATGATGGAAATACTGACGGCTACGATGTTTAGAACAGAAAGTTTTAGAAGTTTTGAAAAAGTAATTTAGGCGGCATGTGCCAAAATTAAACAAATCTACCAACGACCCCAGGGAGATGGCAGGAGCCTCTGTCATGATTACCTCTGAAGAGGGCCCTCAGGAGCGCTCCCACAGCTCTGCCTTTCACCGCCTCATTCTGAAGGAGACTGGCCAGCTGCGATCAAAGAAGCAAAGAACTACAAGTCTCTGGCAACAACTTCTTTACCCCAATGACCTGAACTCCCAATACGAAAAACTCTCATCACTCAGGTTCACATCTTTCACAGGCTCCAGGGATTAGAAATAACTCTTTTAAATAGACCAGGGGAGATCATAACATGATGCTGGGCTGTCAAGACTGAAAGTTACTCATACCACAAACATCTATAGAATACCTAATCGCCACTAGGTATTGAGCTATGTTCCTAGGGCTATACATACACTCAACGAATATTTGGAGTGTGCTCTTTTTCCTAGGCACTAGGGATAAAAGGATGAACAAGATGAACATGGCTATCTGACTCAAAGAGTTTATAGTACAGCAGGAAGGGAAAGGGTGATAGGAAAAAATTCAGAAAAAAATATTTGTAAAGGAAACAAATCAAAGGCTCATATAGACAATAACTGAGGAAAAGGAGACAATTTCAGCCAGATTGGGTTAATCTTAAGGAGGGATTCTTCTCCATGCAGGGATCTGAATAAGCTGAGATTAATTATTATGGAAAAAGTAAATCAGAAGAGTAAGAAAATAAGAAACAATAAATAGTCTATCATATGGTAATTACTGTTCCATTTTATAATCATACAATACTTCCAGTGAAGACATGTTGGTTTTTATTAATAATTTCAAAATATTTTATTGTTTATGAATTCATCTTCTTTAGGGAAAAATGGGAGGGAGGAAGGAAGGAAAGGGAAGGAAAGAAAAAGCACCAATAGGCAAATCTAATCTCTCAATAACTTTATCCTGGATATTATCTTCAAACAGGGCTGTTCTAAGAAACATAAAGGTACACTAATTTGCTCATATACATATAGCTGCATAAATATTAAAGGTTAAATATTTGTATAAATGTACACAAATGCCCTTAAGTTGTCCATTTCTCTTCCTCAATTCTTTACACCTATGAACTGTTAGCCTATACATTCTTGTCTCCTGAGGACAGCAGGGAGTAGATGAAGTGGTAGAGTAATTGTGCCGTGTCCTTTGAATTTGTCATCATTCTTGACATTTGCTTTTAGCAGAACAGGCTTCCCAATACTCACATCATCTTCTTTCAGAGTTTGAAGAAATTCTCGCAGTCTGTCTGCTGTTTTTTCTGCTGCTAAAGACAGAATTTTCTGGTCCATTGTTACACATATCAGGACACTGAAAGACAGAAAGTCAGAGCTGATGAATCTTTCAGAAATAAACAAGATTTTTTTTCCCTTCCCTGCCTATTAAGTATTTCACAGATATTATAGACAACATATACAGTGGGTACTCAATAGGCTAAGGACTATTAAATAGCATGAATAGGTGATTTTTTTTTTATTGATTATGCTACTACAGTTGTCCTGTTTTTTTCCTCCACTTTATTCCCCTTCACCTTGCACCCCCCACCCCCACCAGCATTCCCCCACTCTTAGTTCATGTCCCTGGGTCATACATTTAAGTTCTTTGGCTTCTCCATTTCCTATAGTACTCTTAACCTCCCTGTCTATTTTGTACCATTTATGCTTCTTATGCCCTGTACCTTTCCCCCCATTCTCCCACATCCCACTCCCCTCTGACCTTCATTTCTGATTCTGTTCCTTTTCTACCTGTTTGCTTAGTTTCTTTTGTTTTTTAGGTTCAGATATTGATAGTTGTGACTCTGTTGTCATTTGACTGTTCATAGTTTTTGATTTTCTTCTTTTTCTTAGATAAGTTCCTTTAACATTTCATAAAATAAGGGCTTGGTGATGATGAACTCCCTTAACTTTACCTTATCTGGGAAGCACTTTATCTGCCTTCCATTCTAAATAATAGCTTTGCGGCACAGAGTAATCTTGGAGGTAGGTCCTTGCCTTTCATGACTTTGAAGACTTCTTTCCAGCCTTCTTGCCTGCAAGGTTTCTTCTGAGAAATCAGCGGACAGCTTTATGGGAACTCCTTTGTAGGTAACTGTCTTTTTTTCTCTAGCCACCTTTTAGATTCTCTCATCTTTAATCCTAGGTAATGTAACTATGGATGTGCCTTGGTGTGTCCTTACTTGGGGGTCCAACTTCTTTGGGACTCTCTGACTTTTCTGTACTTCCAGGAAGTCTATTTCCTTCGTGATATAGGGGAAGTTCTCCTGCATTATTTTTTCAAGTAAGTTTTTTCAATTTCTTGCTCTTCCTCTTCTCCTTCTGACACCCTTATAATTCGGATATTGGAACATTTAAAGTCATCCCACAGGTTCTAAGCCTCTCCTCATTTTTTGGAATTCTTATTTCTTCATTCTCTTCTGGTTGAATGTTTATCTCTTCCTTCTGTTCCAAACTGTTGATTTGAGTCCCAGTTTCCTTCCCTTTACTGTTGGTTCCCTGTATATTTTTCCTTATTGCACTTTGTATAGCCTTCACTTCTTCCTTCAGTTTGAGAGCGTACTCAACCATTTCTGTGAGCATCCTGATTACCAGTGTTTTGAACTGTGCATCTGATAGGTTGACTATCTCTTCATTTCTTAGTTCTATTTTTGGACTTTGATCTTTTCTTTCACTGAGCCATATTTCTTTGTCTGAGTACGCCTATTACATTGTAAGGAGCGGAACTTTAGGTATTCGCCAGGGTGGGGCAAACCAGGTTACTGGCTGGTGACACTCTATGTGGGGGAGGGGTCTGAAAGGGAACACCACCACTACCTTGGCTCTCTGTGGGCTTTCAGTCACTGCCCCCATTACCCACAAGAAAATTGGGCCCTTCTAGTGCTGATTCCCAGGTGAGTTGGTTTGTGTATGTTCTAGGACCCTGCAGGTCTCTCCAACAGACTCTCCTATGAGGCTGGGAATTTCTCCCACTGCTGCATCCCCCACAGGTTTTTACAGCCAGAGGTTTTGAGGCTTTATTTCCCTGCATTGGAACCCTGGGTTATGCAGTCTGTCTCACTTCCCAGCTGCTCATGCCTGCAAATGTGGGACCACCTTCTCCACAAGCCTTGTCCTCTCCCTCCGACCCCCGCTGGTCTCTGCCCCTCCTACCAGTCTGGAGGTATGTTTCTTTTTCAACTCCTTGGTTGCTGGGCTTCCATAAAGGTCAATTTTCTGGCGGTTCTGGTTATTTTTTGTTTTTAAATGTGTTGTCCTTCTTTTGGTTGTGTGAGGAGGCGAAGGGCATGTACCCATGCCTCCATCTTGGCCAGAAGTCCCTGCGTAGGTGATTCTTATCCAAACAAAAACATCTTCAGAACTCCCTGGAATTTCCTCATTAGAAACTTTTATTCCAATCAAATGGATTCATAATTTGCTTACACTTTTATCATCTTTTTTTAGCATCTACCCAGAACACTGCCTAGAATAAAGCTGTTATTTAACAGTATAGCAAATACGTAACACATCGTTATAAATATAGACAAGAACATGTTTTATAAACATGATAAAGTAATATTTGATAAGTGAATAAACAAACAGCACTGTAAACGCAAAGGCTAACTAAATGGTATAAAAACAAGGCTAAAGAAATAAATATGTTCAAATCGTCCCTGCGGGGGAAAGTTGGAACTGGAACTTAGAGACTAAATTTAGATAGTCAAGATAAACTGCGGTTTATTATCCACTATTGCGGAAGGAGAGTATCGTCAACAAGAGCATTCATATGGGAATCTGAAAAACATTTGGGGAAAAATGACTGCTGGAGGTAGAGGGTTCAAGGAGGGGAATGGCGAGTAGGAAGGTTAGAAACATAGGCTGGGAATAAACTGGGCACGATTTTAAATGCCAAGTTAAAAAAATTGGATTTTACTCCATAAATAATACAGAGCAATCAAAAACTTGTGGAGCCAAAGAGAACCTGACAAGCTGGAGGCAACGTTTGACGAAAACGGAATCGCCTCACTGTGAAAGGGGAGGATACTAGGAGGTCATGGGGCTATTCTGGCGGTAGCGACAGCTGCCTGAATTAGGGTTAAGGGAAATTTCTCGGGGAGGGGAGGAAGATCTGAACGCGAGAGGCGAAGTGTCACACGCCCCGCGGGAAAGGAACCGCGAAAGCCCGGGAACGCAGCGCGAGACGGCGGCGCACCGCGACACCTCCCAGGCCACAGAAACACCCGACACCACCGCGAACGGGCTCTTCCGCCCTCGCAGACCCGTCCTCCTCCCCACACGGGGCTGAATCCCGCCGCCCCGGCCGCGCGCGAAGCCTGTCTGCCCGGTTACCTTCGCCTCACCGCTGCCGCCAACTTCCAATACTCCCGCGCAACCCACGCCTCCGCACTTCCGTCACCCGAACAGCAGGCCCCGCCCCCGCGGCTCGCTTCCGCCGCCGAGAGCCAGCGGTGGGCTGTACCATTAAGGCAGAGGGGGTGGGGGAGCCGTAGGGCGTCCTCGGACATCCCCACTCACGGTCGCGGGGAGGCGCCGCCTGGGAACTCGAATGCGGGACCAAAGAGCAAGCATGCGCAGTGTGACCTGGGCGAACCCCGCGCTAGTGCCTTGTGGAGGCAGAATCAGGGTGGGGGGAGGAATCAGGTGACGGCGCCACAGGTCTTCACACTGGAAGGGCCTGGAGGGCAGAGGCCGGTGTCCCGCTCCTTGTGCCATCGCAGGTGACAGTGACTCGTTGGATATAAGCTGCATGGGGCGCGGGGCTTTTTGTTGTTCCCTATGAGAAACCCCGGCGCTCAGTGCATGGCTTGGCAAAGCAGTACATGCTCAGTAAGCATTTGGTCAATGAACGACAGCCCGGCAGTGAGTCTCTTGTCTCTTCCTCTCTTCATGAGGATCCTTTCAGATTTTTCAGTCTCCTCGGTAACTCTCAGCAGGTGACCTCAACTTTCCCACCAAATCTGTAATGTCGCCGTCATCAGCACCGATTCTTCAGCTCCCCGGAGCGATGGGACGCAGGTTCAGGTGTGCCAGCCCAGGAGCACTGGGTCCCCTCCTCCCATCTCTCAGCGAGGACCTCACTGTCACTTGACTTGCAAATACTCTGAACAAGCAGGCTGATTGATTTCCTTGTTCTGCTCCTCATCTCTTGAATCTCTGGCAACGGCCAACCCCTACCTGTCCCAGGGCAGACCCTCCCCTGTGGCACCAGCCTGCCTCCCCGAGGAACTGGAGCTTTGGTGAGAGAGGCGGCTGCCAGCCAGCTCTGCAGGTCGCCAGTACCAATCAATTTGCTCATTACCTCTGCATGATTTTAAGGGAGGTGCAAAATGTCCCTGGACCTGGGTTTTCCCTCTCTTGAAGGCCCAGGCCTTCCGCAGGGTCCTCCCTCAAAGACAGTGACCAGACTCTCGGGGACTGCTCCCAGGAAAGCAAGGTGATGTCACCTTCCCTGTGAGCCAGAGACAGGTGTGACTCCCCTGGGCAGTCCCACCTGGGTGGCTCCCACAGTGGGCAGCTGTGTGTGCTGAATGATGCGAGGGCTTTAGAGTGACTGGGTTACCAGCTGTGAGGCTTTAAGCTCAGTTCCCTGGTCTGGAAAAAGGGGATCACCCTCTCTGCCTCATATCTGGAAGGACGAGATGCGTTGACGCTGACAAGGGCCTTGACACAGCACGGAAGGCGGGCAGGCACATTTGGGCACCCTCCTTCCCTGCCTCCGGCCTGGCAGGGAGCGCCTGGGAGCCCACGGTTGTCTGCCAGCATGGCCAGCAGGAGTGTGCGGGCCAAGGAGGGCAGCGTCGCTCCTCACACAGGGGCACTATTGTGCCAGCCAGAGGAGCCAGACGTGAATGTGACTCTCGGGAGCGGGGGCAGGGCAGAGGCAGGAGAAGGGCTGTGAGCAGAAGGCAGTGCCAAAGAAAGCTCTGCTCCCTCTAAAGGGCCATGTGGCCTGTCATCACCCTGAAAAGCTCTGTGCAGCCCACTCTGGTCAGGGCAGTGCCATGACCTCAAAACTGTTCTTGGTGCCCAGGAATGTTCTTTGTGGTGGAGTCTGTCACTCAGCTTTGACAAAGCCTCTTCCGGGGCCTCCACCTTTCCCTCCCGCGGGGCAGCCTGAGCTCTCAAACTTCCGGGCCCCTTGTTATCTCTCTATGAAGTACCTGGGGAAAAAATTCTAATATTCCACCTCTATGAGTTTGCTAAAGCTGTTGTAGCCAAGTACTACAGGCTGAGGGGCTTAAACAACAGAAACTAATTTTCTCACGGTTCTGGAGACTAGAAGTCCGAGATCAAGCGTTGGTGGGGCTGCTTTCGTCTGAGGCCTGTCTCCTAGGCTTGCAGATGGCCGACTCCTTCCTGTGTCTTCACAATGTCTTCCCTCTGTGCCTCTCTGTGCATCTCCTCTTCTTATAAGGACACCCGTCGTATTGGATTAGGGCCACCCCGATGACCTAGATTAAGGTAACGTACCTTAATTACCTTTAAAGACCCTGTCTCCAAATATGGTGACATTCTGAGGTACTAGGGGCTAGGACTTTAATATATAAGCTTGGGGGAGGGGAACACAGTTAAGCCGATAACACCATTTTGCAGGTGTAGCACCTGGGGGCTGCGGGGGTCAACGGCTGTAGGCAGGGCCAGGCCTGGGATCAGGTCAGCAGACCCTCCCTCTCTGTCCTCCTGTCTCTGCTGTCCCCACCCCCGACCCAGCACCTGCTGGCCTGCCCAGAAGAGGAATAGGAGGCTGGGCAGGGGCTGTTCTCAATCTACGTCCCCACCAGTCTCCGAGCTGATGGGAAGGGGGAGGTCAGGCCCAGGCAGGAGGGGCGAGGGCCAGAGCCTCTGGGGCACAGGAATCACACACGGGCCTGTTCAACTGCAGGCGCTGACTCTGCCTGCCTGGGCAGGGCCCCATGCTCAGTGTCTCTAACCAGCTCCCTGACAGTTATGAGGTCCACGGTCTATGGGCTGCAGTTTGAGGAACAGCCAGGTTTAGAGCAGCCCTGTCCATGAGAAATAGAATGGGAGCCACTAAAATTACACTAAACGCGGAAAAATTTACATTTTCTAATAGCCCTGTCCGACCAAGCAGTAGAAAGAAACAAGTGAAATTAATGCTCATATATTTTTAACCCAATACATTCAGAATATTATCATTTCAGAACATTAAGCCATATGAAGATCATTAGTGAAAAATGTTACACTCTTATCTTTGTTCTAAGTCTTCAAAATCTAGTTAAGTAGTTTATATTTACTCTTATAGCATATCTCACTTTGGACTCTCATCAGAAATACTTGATCACAAAATTCACAGTTGAGAAAGTAGAATCACACACCTAAATTGTTCTAAACCTACTTTCCCGGTGCCTCCTGCATGTCTTACCTGGGGGTGTGACTGCCTAGAGCCCCCTGGGATGAGGGAGAGGGCAGGGGGGAGGGGATGGGGCTGGCCCAGGTCCCACCCCGCAAAGCCTGGCTTCCACTTGGCTAAGCAGGAACCCAGAGCAGCCCACACAAAGGAGCGCTTTGAGGCGGCTCCAGCCAGGCCCAGGCCGATCCCCTCTCCCCTCTGGTGCCCTGCTTGCCCCAGTCTGGGCCTCCTGGGAGCCTGATTTAACAGGAAACCTGGGCCTTGAGAAGTTCCTTGTGACACACTAATCCCGGCCTGCTGACTGGGCCACGTCCCCAGTGGAGGCGAACTCCAGGGCTACAGGAGGACACAGGCAGCAGGTGGCCCTGCGGGGGAGCGGCCCACCTGGCAGGTAAAGTTAGCACTGGGGGCCTGGCTGGGCCAGGAAGCCCAGGACTGGGGTGAAGAGTCGGGGGTAGAGGGGGGTCACGTCCCAGGCACCTGTATAACTGAAACCAACTGGCTACTTTCCAGAATGAGCCAGTCCAATCTGATGGCAGCTTTAGCAAGTAAATGTGAATTAAACATGAATGTGAATTTAAATATGAAATTTCAGATGAACAACAAATACTTTTGAAGTATAAGTATGCCCCATGTGTTATTTGGGATATACTTATATTTAAAAAGCATTCATTGTTCATCCGAAATTCACCTGTCATTGTGCATTCCGTATATTTTCTGGCAACTTCAGATAGCAGGGATCAGCCTGGACGTGGAGTGAGGGGTGGGTATGTTTTCATTGGATACAACTCATAAGTCAGGGCTTTTACAAAAAGCAACGTTAATAGACTGGGCCTATTTTAAAAAGCGTTGCTGCACTGACTGTAACTCCCTGTTCCCGGGACGTGGGATCTTGTCTTGCTGACCCGCCTGCCTGCCTGGGGCTGTCTGGCCGCTCTCCCTGCTGGCTGGGCTCCTGAGGTAGTCCTTTCAGTCTCTCCATGCCTGTTCCAGAAAAGCCAGGTGGGCGCACTGCACTACTTCCGTCTCTCTGTCTCCGTGCCGCATGCCTGAGGGTCTACCTGCCAGAGAGATGGCTTACATTTCGTACTTGTTGGCAGGTTACAGCTTTCAAAATGTCCCTGCCCTGGCTGGGGCTGCGGAGTTGAGAGAGGCAGGAAAGGGGAGACCCTCAGATATCCCCTGGGGACCCCCAAGTCCCACTGTCAAATTGGAGTAGTGCTCAGTATGATGTTAAGAAAGGGACGGGGAACTGCGTGTTAGAGCCAAGCACTGTGCCGGGCGCCTCATGGGGATCCTGTGGTCTTCATCACCACTCCGTTTGGTAGGTACGGTTACCATCCCCAAATTGCAGATGAGGAAACTGAGGCTTGGAAAGGTTAAATAACTTGCCTAAGGTCACACAGGTGGTAAATGACAACGCCTGATTCAGACCCAGGTGTCTCTGACCGTAAAGGGTTTTCTGTGATGCCAGCCCTTCCAGGGAGTCTGCCTGGGGACCTCTTGGCTCCAGGTGTCAAAGCAGTCTTGGTGTCAGACAGGTCCTACCTCTACCACTCAGCAACAGGGCCTAGGGGACAGGAATGGCCAATGGTCACAGGCAGGAGCAGGGTGGTCCCTGAAGGCCCTGAGGATGTTAACAACCCTCTGGGTGCGGATGGGAAGTCACAGCTTGGGTTGCTGATCCCTGGCTATTTCTGGCGGTGTGACCTTGGACAAGTTACTTATTCTCCTGGGCCTGTTTCCTCCTATGCGAGATGGGAATAATAACACCAGCCCAGGCTCTGAGATAATAGACTTGAAAATACTTGTGTATTGCGAAGCACAGAGTTACGTAACATAACACATGCCATGTTATGATTATGTAACTAGTCATCACCCCCCCACCCCCGCGCCTGAGATGAAAGCGCTGGGCCAGGACACCCCCCAGGATGGGGAGTGTCTGAGCCCCCTGCCCACTTGGGGCTGGAGGGGAGGCCACAGGTGGAGGATGGAGTGCCTTGTCCTACATCTTAAGAACTGCAGTTTCTGAGTTACTTCTGCATGGATTCCTTCTCAAAGGAGTGTTTCTCAAAAGCGTAAGCCGAGAATCCTCCCCCTTCTTCATAGCCCACTAGGCGGTTGCTTCAGAGCACAGCTTCCCAGGTCCAGGTTGGACCGCTACGGTCAGGTTCGCAGCGTGCACGACCCAGGCATCTGCATTTCCAACAGACGCCCCAGGTGGCTGTGCTGCCCATGAGTCTGGGACCCGTTGTTCCAAGACGGCATCAGAAGTTCCCCCATCCCGCTGTGGCCCTGACTTCCTCTCCCGGCGGGGAGGCCAGGACCGAGGAGGGGCCCGCTCTCTCTGAGGACAAGGACTCGGTCTTCTAGAGCAGCATGTCAGAGGGGGTGAGTACCCCTGTGCCCTGGGGCTGCCCTGCATCCCCCTTCCCTCTCTCCCGCTCTGGCCTGCCCCCAGCTATGGCATTCACCCCTGCCACCTCTCTGTGGCCCTGGACCCCACGCAAAAGGAGGAGGCTTAACAGCCACGCTGGGCAAAGGCACTGGCTTAGGGTCTGAGCAGACCATTTGCTTGGCTTGCTCAGGCTGATGGGAACCTGTTCCGCTTTTTCCTGCCTCCTCTCTGCCAGGCGGGTACATTCCGCGTGGTCCCTGAAGAAGAACAGGGGCTCCGCGCCCGGCTGGAGCTGCTTACCACCAAGGACCACGGGCCTGTCTTTGGCCCGTGCAGCAAGCTGCCCCCCCACACCTTGCAGAAGGTGAGATGGCCTGGGATGCAAGGTCCTCCTGAACTTAATGGACTGGCCCATGTAGGGGCCTTCTTGAGGGCCGGGGCCAGGGCAACACCTGGCTGACCAGACAGCCAGGCCAGCCCAATCTAAGACTATAACGCTGACAGGGACCTGGGGCCCCGACCAGGGACCATCCTACACTCTGATAGTAGGAACGCTGGTCTGCAAGTGGCCCTGGGGAACAGGGGTCCAAATGCTGCCCTCACAGGATAGGCAAGAGGCCTGAGTTCGAGAATGAGACCTACTTCCACCGTGCTGTGTGACCTTGAGCAAACTGCTGTCCCTCCCTGGGTCTTGCCTTCCGAACCCATAGGAAAAGGTTGTTGGACCAACTCAGAAATGATCAGACTGCACTCTGTCGAGATTGGCAGAGCTGAGCTGGGCTCTTGGTTTCCTTCCATCTCTGCTTCCCTGGGCAGCTCAAGGGACAGGTTTTCTGAGCTTCCCCAGGCCTGACCCCCCTGCTCTGCCTTCTCTCCTCATGCTGCCCAATGGGAGCGCTGCTTGAGACATGCTGGGGTCTCCAGCCCCAGCCTGCGGGAGGCGTGTGAGGCTTTGGGGCCGGGCCGGCTGCTGTATGGTGGGTATCTTTGTTTTTTCAAAAGATCAGAAGTAAGCATGGGAGGCAGCGGAGCAAAGTAATGCAAAGTCTAGCCTGAGTAGGACTGTTCATTGAGTCCCTACTCCACTCCTTTCCCTCTGGCTGACTGTGGGCAGGGTATCTTCACTCTGACCCTTGGGCTGCTCGTCCTGAGACGTGGGGAGAAGAATGCCAACCTTACCGTAATGGGCTCGGGCAAAGAAGGAAAAACACAATGTATTTAAAGGACTGGGCAGCGTGCTAACCAAGGGCTCCAGTAAGTGTAGCTGTTATGGTGAGAAATACTCAGAGCTTTGGCTATGGCCTGCAAACGAACCCAGCTGGACCTAATTTTCTCCAATACGGCGGGCCATCTGAGGTGCTGCTGCTGCTGGGGCAGATGCTGCCCTGGGGGGGGAGCAGCGATGGCCCAGCTCTGGCCCTGTGTGCCTGTGTCCTGCTCTGCGTGGCACTTACCTGTGACTCCCTGCTTCCACCTAACTCGGTTCCAGGCCAAGGACGAGCTGAACGAGAGGGAGGAGTCTAGGGAAGAGGCAGTGCGCCAGCTGCAGGAACTGGTGCGGGTGCAGGCGGCCTCGGGGCAGGAGCTGGCCCGCGCTGTGGCTGAGAAGGTACAGGACAGGGACAGCGCCTTCTTCCTACGCTTCATCCGCGCGAGGAAGTTCGACGTGGGCCGCGCCTACGAGCTGCTCAGAGGTGAGGCTGGCGCTGGGGAAGCGGCCCTGGGAAGGCTGCAGGGTGGAGGAGGAGATATGAGGATGGCGTTGACCCTCATGCAGGCAGCCTCCGAGGAGACCGCCCCCCCCCCCCCCCCTCCCTCCTGTTCTCTGTCCTGCACAAGGCTCTGAGCCTTCCTGCACTGACCCGTAAGGCGGGCCTGCGGGATCCTGCTCAGCTCTGACAATGAATGAATGAGCAGGGCTGGACCAGATTCCCAGAACACAGGCCCCTCTCTTCTCTCTCTTAGTCTTAGGGTGCAATGAGTAGAACTGAGTCACCCACACTGGGTGCCCAAGGGGGAAGAGTCCCCGCCCACCCCCCCCAAGCGGGGCTTTGGCTCTGGAGCTCTGCAGGGAAAGCGGGTTTGCGGTGCCTGGCTCCCCACAGGTGCCTGAGCCTCACGCAGAGAGCAGAGCTGAAGATGGCGCCAGCCCTGGGAAGGAGCCCGAGGCCTGGCCCTGCCAGCTGGACAAAGGGAGCCACGTCTCCTCTGGAAATCCAGCCCTTGGCACTGGCAGGGGGGCAGGGGCTGAGCAGGCCCTCTGCAGGCCCCCGAGTGGCCTTTTCTTGCTTCTTCCTTCCTTCCTTCCCCAAATGTCCACTCACTGCCCTGTGTGCCATCTGCTGTTTTAGGCCAAAGGGTGCAGCAGAGAACAAAGCAGGCATGCACTGCCTGCCCTCATGGGCCTTATATCCTAACGGTGGGAATAATACACCAGATAACATAAAAGTATATAGAGTGTTAGTTAGTAGGAGGGGATAACGAGAAAAATAAAGGAGGCGGAGGTAAAGCATTGCAGGGTTGAAGTTTTAGGTGAAGTGGAAGAAAGCCTTGGTACAAAGGGAATTTTTGAAGAGCAACCCAAAGGAAATGAGACGTTGGGGGGATGGGCAGAGCGACGGGACACAGGGGCAGCGGGGCCGAGGCGAGGTCTGGGGGGCCTGGAGCAGGGCAGGAGGCCAGCGGCATCCCCCTGGCAGGCGCTCCCAGCCGCCTCCTCGGCCTGGCCCCCCGGGGTGGTGGTGGAGACAGCTACAGAGAGGCGGGGGCCTGTCCAGGATGGCCAGGCTGGGGCGTGGAGGAGGTACACATGCTGCGCCACCCGGAAGGGCCTCTGTGTCCTGCCTGGGGTTTGGATTTCATTCCCCGCCTCCACACTCAGCTCTCACCCTGTGCCCAACAGAAAAATCTGCGCCTCTGCCCATGGGAGAGAGACAGGCAAGTAACAGTTGTCCTCAGATTCAGGATTACACTGCGCGTGTCGGCAGTTTACAAATGATGTTCCTGCCTAGAATCTTGTTTGATTACCGCGACAGCTTTCCTCGAAAGGTGGCGTCTCCTGCTCGCTCGCACACGGGCGCCTGGGTCCCCCCGCAGGATGGGCTGGCTCCCTGAGGGCCCTTCTGTCCCCCTGTGCCAGGCTACGTGCACTTCCGGCAGCAGCACCCCGAGCTCTTCGACGGCCTGTCCCTGGAGGCGGTCCGCTGCACTGTTGAGGCCGGCTACCCTGGGGTCCTCTCCAGCCGGGACAAGTATGGACGCGTGGTCATGCTGTTCAACATCGAGAACTGGGACTGTGAAGAAATCACCTTTGATGAGGTCTGTGGGAGGGGTGGCAGGCAGCCAGTGCCACCAGGCCCCTTCCGGGCAGGGGAGAATTGCTAGGGTGCGCCAGGGCAGCTGGAAGGCCCAGCGGCTTTGCAGGCAGGGCCCACTGGCCAAAGCACAGCTGCCCCTGGTGTCCTGCCGAGTGGGGGGTGACAGCTGAGGCCGCAGGCTGGGGTCAGCCCTGCCAAATGCTGAAAGCTGAGAGTGACACAGAGAACAGGGGAGACTCTGGGAAGCACAGGCTCCAACCGTCTTAGCAGCCTGACTGTCTTGCATTTATTATGCAGGCAGGGCCACCTGGCAAGCCCTTAAGAGAGCTGTCCCCCATGCGCACAGACACGCTTTTTCTCATAAAAATGGGATCACACCCTACAATAATATACCACGAATGAACATTCTCCTGTATGTTAGTCTTATATACAATTTTTTACTGCTCCACAATAGTCTAGGGCATGACTGTACCGTAATTTCACCAGTCCCTTAATTTGGGACATTATAACGTGCAAGGGGTAAACGCTCTGGCATCTAACCATGGGTGTGACGTTCAAGGGAATTTTCTTGGGTTACCTTCGCAAGGGGAAAACGCCCCGGCTCTCAGCCTGTGGCGAGTTACCTCCGGCAAGACCTGTCCGTCCTCCCCTCAGGCCCTTGATCCTTGTGGGTTGGGCCTAACAGTCTGTCCACTCTGTGCCCAAGATCTTGCAGGCCTACTGTTTCATCCTGGAGAAGCTGCTGGAGAATGAGGAGACTCAAATTAATGGCTTCTGCATCATTGAGAACTTCAAGGGCTTCACCCTGCAGCAGGCTGCTGGGCTGCGGGCTGCCGATCTCAGGAAGATGGTGGACATGCTCCAGGTGGGGCCTCAGGACCCTGCCCGGCAGGAGCCACTCACACGGTGGGACGCTGGGGGGCTGGGCCCCGGGCCCTGAGGATGTGGCCACCTGCTGCCGCAAAGAGCAACGATAGCCGCAGACACTTGCGTGGTCATCAACAGTGCGCCAATATGCACACTGATTGATCAGTTTATCCCTAGAGAGCATTCTCTCGCTGCTTCCCTGTTTCATTTTAAAAACCTAGAAACTGAGGCTCAGAGATCTGCGTGACTTCTCAGGGTCACGAAACCCTGAAGTGGCAGAGAGGCAGAGACCCGAAATCCCATTCCCTTTCCACGTTTATCACGCTGCCTCTCTCTGAATGTGAGTTTGGCCTGAGAAAGGATGTCGCTGACTCCCAATAGCGATCTCCTCTCAGGCCGGAAGTCCTCCCCGAGTGCTCTCCTTAAGTCTGTGCACCCGGGAAAGGGCGGGGGCGGCAGGGGCCACGGGATGGGGTGAGAGGCAATGAGGCACAACGGTGGTGTCCCTGTGGTCCGGAACAGTTTGCAGTCTACTCAGAAGGCAAGTGAGTTGGAAAAACTCAGTCCCCTGAAAACCAAGTGAGGCTGCCGTTTCATTTCTTCACTCCACTGAAGTGCGAGATTTTACGTGTCCACTGGGAGCAGGTCGGGCTGTGTGGCCTCCCGCAGTTTTGAGCCACAGTGAAGCCAGGGCTCCCCAGTGGGTGGCCCGGGGCTGGAACCTTCAGTGGGCCATGGGGAGAGGCAGTGGGGGAGTAGGGGGTCACTGGGGCTGCGGGGTGGGACGCTCTCTGTCACCGCAGGACTCCTTCCCAGCCCGGGTCAAAGCCATCCACTTCATGCATCAGCCGTGGTACTTCACAGCGACCTACAATGTGGTGCGGCCCTTTCTGAAGAGCAAGCTGCTCCAGAGGGTGAGTGCCAGGCGGCGCGGGGATGGTGCTCAGGGGTTGGCTGGTGACAGCGCAAGTGAGCGGGGCCCTGGCAGGAAGGGGTTCGTGAGACAGGAGGGACGAGGGTGGGGGCCGAGGGGACCGCACTGGAGCCCTCCTCAGCCTCTTACTATAGTCCCAAACTGAGTGGATCCTGCAGACAACACGACAAGGACTGTGCAGAAGGATGTCACCAGGCAGAGGGATGGCACACTGCATCTTTGTCCCCCGCCTTGATCCCTCCTGCTCAGCTCTGTCCTTCCTGCCTCCCTGCAGGTCTTTGTCCATGGAGATGACCTCTCCGGCTTCTTCCAGGAAATTGACAAGGACATCCTGCCCACCGACTTCGGGGGTACCCTGCCCAAGTATGACGGCAAGGTCGTTGCTGAGCAGCTCTTTGGCCCCCGGGCCCAAGCCGAGAACACTGCCTTCTGAGGTGGCTTCCTGCCATCTGACACGTGGTTAGTGGCCCTGGGCCTCGCCCTGGCTGTACTGGACCCAGAAGGCTGGGAAAAGGGCTGCCTGGGGTGACAGGTCCCCTGACCCTCCCGCAGCTTGAGTGGGCTGAGGAGGAGGTATCACGCCCCTCCGAAGCTTGGGGCAATAAGGCAGGGGGAATTCACTGCAACAAGAAGTGGGGGCAGTTCCATTCCTACTGACTTTAAAGCTTTGGGATACTGACTTATGTGAGGTTATTTCAAAGATTCTAATTAAGTTTCTTCTTAATGATTTCCTTCGTAATGGAGTTTTGTTACTTCGAGTCTGTGAAGACAGGCAAGGAGGGGACGTAAGTGCAAAGGACCTGGCAGGTACCGGCATCTTGGCATCTTGACATCCAGGAGGCGGGTGAGGACCTTTCCACCTGGAATTCTGGGGGTGAGGCAGGCTTGGCGCCGCCCTGTCCCGCGGCGGCCCGGTCCCCTCAGTCCGGCGCAGTCTGATGCATGTGGCAGGGCCCTGGACCTCCCTCCAGGGTGGCAGCTGTGTCCCCTCCTTCTGTCCGTGGGGTCTCTCCACCAGAAGTGCTCTCCTCAAAACCCGTGCCTCACGGGTGATTTTACGGATGGTGTCTTCTCAGCCTTCTCAGTCCTTAAGTGACACAGTGAAAGGTCTTTTTAATCTCCAGCCTCAGGCACTTTACAGTGACGGATGTCTAGTCTCCAGCTCTGCACAGGGCAACAAATACTGGGCTGGCCAAAAAATTTGTTTTGTTTTTTTCCCGTAAGATGGCTCTAGTAGTGCTTAGTTGTCTTTATTTGAAACACTTTTGTTAGAATGTATTGTGACAGCTGTCATGTTGGCATGCATTTAAAGAAACTTACCAAAATTGGTGAATTTTTGTGCAGTTATTTTAATATTGAAGATGGAAGAAAATAAGCAACACTTATAGCATATTATGCTTTATTATTTCATGAAAGGTAAAAATACAACTGAAATGCAGAAAAAGATCTGTGCAGTGTATGGAGAGGGTACTGTGACCGATCGAACATGTCAAAAGCAGCTTGCCGCGAGGTTTCGTGCCGATTTCTTGCTGGACGATGTTCCACGGTTGTCCGTGTTTGGCTAGTGGTGGAGGGTGGGAGTCGACTGGCCTGGCTGCTTCCACGAAGGTGCCCCAGTATTCATGCCAAGACTTCTCTGCTTTTGCCTGGGGGGTCACCCCACGTTTTGTGGGCATGAAGCACCCTTGGGGCTGCACCCGCCTTTCGGAGCAAGGTCTTCAGCTGTGTTTCCTGGGCCGTGGGCTCAGTTCAGTGCCTTACGTGTTCACTCCTTCAGGAATTTCTCTGGTCTGCTGAGAGTTCTCGTTTCCAGCATGGCCACAGACCTGGACACATCCATGTGGATGTGCACACATACATGCATTCATTTTTTACATTCCTCCTTTCATCTCTAGGGTCTGCGTGTACGCTCATCGCCCAAGTCACTTCCTTCTTTGTCACATTCACAGTCAACGAGCCATAGGCGTAAATGATATTTACAGAGGACTTCAGAGCTGAGAGAGGAATCAGCAAATTTTCGTGTGTGGCTGACCAGTAAGGATTTCTTCAAACTTTAAAAGTTGAGGCTCTGGTTTTCCAAATGGACTCTTACATGGAACTCTAGTATTTAAGCCTAAAAAGAGTGGAGCTATTCTGGTTGAAGGAGGCTCAATAGCCTCATCCCAAGGGATCTCCTAGAACTTCAGGAGCTAAGAAAGTCCAGGGGCTTTCTAGGCCGAAGCTATAGGGCTGGAACCCAGGGAGCGTGTGGACTGTGGGCTGGCACCGCCCTCTGCTGGCCTGGCCTTGGTACTGCCCCTTCCTGCTCAGAGACACGCTGAACAGGAAGCAGGTGGGCAGGCTGGGCCTGACCTTACGGGGGAGGAAGGTGGTGCTGACCCAAGACCGTGAATGTCCAGGTTAAATCTGACGTACTCAGCCTCACAAAATCCCAGCTGCCTACATCTTGGACTCGTACAAGCAGCCACCGTCATCACATTAATGAGAGGAAGAGGGACAATAAAATACTCTGGAAAGCCACCTAATGTGGGAAAGGGGGACAAGACTTGACTTCAATGACAAACATGTGCTGCCCAGAATAGCTCCCTTTCTGGAGACATCTGGGATGAGGCAGGAATTCCGCCGTGTCCAAGTAATGTGAACAGAACGAGAGTTGGGAGGTGGCAGTGACGCATTTCTGCAGCCCCATGCGGCCCTCCGGGGAACACTGTGTTACAGACACAGGCAGTTGGTTAGGGTGTGGGTGGCGGTCTCACTACGGAAATGGGCCACCAGGTTCAGAGCCTCTGCCTGGGCTTGGCTGCTGCTCAGAGCCCCACGGTTCCCCGAAGAGGGGCACCTAGCTCTCAGCTAGCCAGGAAGAGAGCTGAAGATGGAATTACGGGTGAGCTGGGCCATCTTTGATCCACGCCCTGTGACAGGCCTGATTGCTGACGTTGAAGATGCTCAGCAATACTGGGCCTGGAAGATCACAGGCCACCTGGGAACCTCATTGTCCCAAGTATGGTCCCAGGAGGGAGGCGTCTGCCCCACTTGGGAGCTTGCTAGTGATACAGACTCAGTACCCAGAGACAGATATTCATATTGTAATTTTTCCCATCTTACAGGTAAAACACACAAAAACTCAAGGTTAAAATGCTCAGGGTCACAGAACTAGAAAGCAGCCAGGAAGGAACCCTAACCCAGCAACTCTGACTCCAGACCCCTTCAGCTCTGTTAGACTCAGGCTCTGTCTCAATCGCTTATTTCCTTCTGGGGGAAGAGGAGGCGCAGTTAGGAAGGGAATGAGGAACACGGATGTTAGAACGCACTTCCTCCAGGTCAGTTTGGCTAACATCCTCAGATAAAGGCGAAAAATAACTCCAAGAGGAAACCAAACAGTCTTCAGTAGAGATGCCAGGGTAACTCCAAAGGAGGCAGAGTGAGAAACCAAAAGCTCCGGCACAAGTAGCCACCAGGAGAAAGGGGAGCGATTCAGCAGTTCAAGGCCTCAAGGCCTGAAGTATGTTCCCAACCACTCAGAGACAGGTAGAACCTCTGGGGGTGGGGGCGGGGAGATAGCCAAGGGAGAAGTGAGGGGGCTGTCATACCTATGGGTGGGCCATCCAGGTGGGTGTTTGGTCCTTGCCATGGGCAAGCGCTCCCTACAGGGCTACACCTGAGGGGCCTGTTAACAAAAAGTATAATAAAGTACGTATTAGTGGCATCGGGACAGTGAGTGATTGCAGGTAAGTGCCACCAAGGATGAATCCATGGAGAGGCGCAGCTGTGAGCTGACCATGTTGGCAAGCTGCTGGCATTGACTCAACACCGTGGACCCAAGGTGTCTTGCATGTGGTACTTTTTATAGGCAGTATCCTCTGCAAGTTAGTTCTCGAATCAAGAGTCTGGCTGTTTCATGAGGGATCAGAAGTGGGGGAAAGCTACCTCCCAGAGAGGGATGCACTCTGCCATTTGGTATTGGGCATTCTTAGGTCACGTTAACACACGTCGTCTGAAGCCAGCTCACCCCACCCCACCCCACCTAGCTTGTCAAAGGTTTTGCATGGCTGAGGAGGGAAGAAAACTCTTCAGTGCAGGCTCTTGGACAGGGGAGGACGGGTACCGCTCCTGGCTGGGCCAGCGCTTGGCCCTGGGAGACCCTTAGCTTGGGTTCGGACATACACCATGGAGAGGAGAACACTACCATCCCTCAACCAACCCAGTATAACCTCAACGGAGGCAGCGTTCGCCCATCTGTTCAAAGAACGCTATTAGACAAGCATCTGGCTTACCCAGGGCAACCGTCACTTATACTTCACCTTTGTTGTGTCTATGTGGTTCGCTCCGTAGATTAAAAGGTGATTATTCACTTACCTCAGGCTTTCGCTTTCTTGCCTGGAGAGATGGGCTTGTAAAGACCCCCGTGGGCTTGTCATTTCTCTGGTATTTGTTTGCAAGGCTGAGTTAAAATCAATCGTAATGAGAACTTGGTGTTTGGCCCATTTTCTTCAAGCTCATGCTTTAGTGAAGACACAGGAAGAATCCTTTTATCGATTGATTTTTTTTTTAAGAAAGAGAAACATTGTTTTTGTTGTTCCACTTATTGATGCCTCATTGGTTGTTTCTTGTATGTGCCCTGACCGCGATTGAACCGGCAACCCTGGTGTATCGAAATGACGCTCTCATCAACTGAGCTACCTGGACAGGGCCAAGAATCCTTTTAGACAGAAAATTCCCACTATACAAAAAACACACAGCCATGCCACTTTTAGTCTTTAATTTTTTTAAGTAAAGAAATCCCACTGAATCAAAGATAACAAAATTACAGTTTTTTGTTTGTAATGATCTTTGTTTACCACCACACAGAATCAAAATAGGATCAAAAGTAATACGTGAACATAAAGTGATCAAGGACATCATCGTTTAGTATAGTTTCTTAATAAAGGTAAATATCCTCATATTTAGAAAAAATTGCATTGCTAGTTGCAAATCTTAAACGCCTTGGTGCTGGAGGATCCCACATTTCTCCCCCATAATCCAGCAGCACGGAGGCTTTCAGACAAACTCAAAAAATACATTACTTTCAGGGCAGCATTTTAAGTTTCAGAAAATCCAAACAGAACAAAAATTAGGAATGTGAAAGTGATGGTTCTCAAAAATCGGTCTGGAAGCAGATCTGCCAACAGAAGGATGTGGTTGACAGGAGTCTAACCAGGGAGACGCACACTGGCTCCCCTGCCCCTTCCCCTCCCCCCGGCGTTGCTAAGGCGGCTGCAGTGGCAGAAGTCAGAAGCTCAGGTACAGTGACGGTCTTCCTGAGGCAGTGGGAGAGGCCCAGGTCACCTGCGCTGCTGGGGAGAGGTGACAGGGCTCTACATGGACTTGTGCTTTAGGGAAACTGAAGAGGCCAAACCAAACACCAAAGGAAACCTAACTCTATACCCAGGAGCTTGGCCACCCGCACGAACAGCCTGGGGCGCAGGGGTGTCAGCAGTTACTCTAGGGCACGGGGACTGCTCAGTGTGGGTGGGCTGGAAGGAGAGTGCCCACTGAGATGAAGGGTGTGTCTGCAGGCGCTATATGTGGACTGTCCCCAACTTATGGCAATAGATTTCTTGGCTTATGGGGACTGGGTGGGGGAAAAGATAGGCCATAGATTTCATTACTAATTGACAGAAGAATAGAGTTAAAAGGCTTAAGCCACCAGTTATTAATAGAAATTAATGTCTTCCTATTCATTAGAGACACCCACTTACATGCCAGGAAAAACAAACAGCTCAGAAAACAGGGAGGGGGGCCAGCGCTCCCAAAGGTCAGCTGTGTACTGTCTGGAGGTGGAGGACGGCTGGTGAGCTGGCTCTGTGTCCCGCTTCCAGGGATGCTGGGCTGCAGCGTCTGGGGCAGAGGCAGCGGCACAGGCAGGAAGAGGCAGCTTTTGTTTGGGGAGCAGCCCAGTCTCGGGCCACTTCCCGCTCCCTCCCTTAGCCTCAGATGCAGTTTGGCAAAAACACCCTTGCCCCATGAAGAGGGCGTTGCTTCCCTCTGCAAAGACAGCAGAGGAGGGAGTGAACTTTTCCCTTAATGGCTGGGCCTGTTCGTGCCACAGACAGGCCACTTCTCACAGCTTTTTGAAGCATCCAAGGAATCCAAAAGTGGCTTTGAACAACAGAGTGAGGCCAAGAAGGAAGAAAGGTGTCAGAAATGTGGCATTTGGTGGGCTCTGGGGCCCATACCTCTGAGGGGTGGGGGTGCCTAACATAACAAGGAACAGGCCACATGAAGAAATTCTGATTTCGCTTGTGGCTTCACTTCAACCCTCCTCAGCAGAAGAGTTTGAATTCCACCACCATGGTATTACGGTACCAGGGGATATTCAAGTTAAGGCTTTCTGGACAAAGAAAGTGATTCCAGATGTATCGTGAGTGGCTGCTGCAGGAAGATGCTTCTCAGTAACTCTCCTGCCCTGCCTAAGAAACACAGACCCGAGAGTTCTTTTAACGCAGCGCGATGTTTCTGTGATCTTTACTTGAACTCTGAGCCAAAATCGATGCCACAGCAAAAGAAAAGCCTCTCACATCTCAGACATCTGCTCGCCTGGCAAACACAAACAAGAACACACACATTGTCTCCCTGGAGCTGGCAAAATGATCTCAAGTCACACAGTGACAAAGAGCGCTCTCATTCAGATGCCAGGCGCATACGCTCGGCTCCCCAGAGAGTCGACGTTAATGAAGACAGCAGTTTGAGGACGGAGGCCAGGGCTGGGAGGGCTTCTGCCCCGGGAACTCTCAGTGCTCTGCCTGAGTCACACAGAAAGACGGGGTACCTGCCTCGTTCCAGGGGTGCACCTGTCCCGGTCACCGACCCGCCTTGGGATGGCACGGGCATTGAGATGATGATGGAGACTCTCAAGAGAAGCCGAAGACACAGGGCGAGGGCAAGATCAAGGGTCTTCAACAGCAAGGCCTAGTGCAGAAGCGCGCTCTGCTAGTCCCCTCAAGGTGAGCAGGAGCCTGCATGTGCCCGTTTCCACAGGCAATGGCTGTGGAAGGCGGGGCTGGATGTTTGGGGAAATGATGTACAAGTAGATGAAATGGTTTTAGAGACAGTCTAAGATAACTGGGGCTCAGAGGGGTGAAACTATCGCTCCTCCTGTCCAGTGTGAATAAGGGACCATTAGGACGAGAACCCAGGCCTCCTGGGCCTGCTTCCGTAACACCGAGCCAAGAAAGGAGCGCACCCCTTTCAGCAGGTACATCGCCACCTGCGTAGTCTGTCACAGGGACCCCTGTCCGTGTGCAACGCTGCAGAGAGCTTACAAGAATAGAGGGGCTACAAACAACTTTCTGCTCCGTTCTGCTCTGGAATCACTGGTGCAAACTCACAGCAGGAAGTTAAGAGGTTTTCTTCAAGGCTATTAAATTCCCTTCTGACATAAATGCATCAAAGAGACCCAACACCATTTTTCAGAAAAATCCTAGTTTGACTCGGATCAGTTGCTTGTCAGTGTCTTCCAAACAGTTCAGGAGGCAGGGAGCACAACCGGGAGGAGTGTGGGTGCCTTCCTCCCCCTTGGTTTTTATTGTTATTCCTGCAACAGAGCAGTCCAGGTCTATGCAGCTTATATCCTTAATCTGATTTTAAAAGAGAGTATTCAAATGCTCTTTGAAAATTCAGCTCAGTTTTAGCCCAAGTAGGACCTTATTAACAAGAACAGCGCTCACATTACCATCTGAAATGAATGACTTTAGGGGGGAAAAAAGCAAAGGAAGAGGGGGGACAAGTGGCTCTACATGTGAACTGCGCCTCCCTTGTTTATTAGGCAAGCGTGCAGCTGTAAATGCAGTGCCTCTGTGCTCGCATTCAGGGGCCAGCGAGAACTTGCCTGTGCGACAGCCACTGTCACATTCTCATTTCCATGCCTGAGGGCCTGGCGCCTGAACAAAGGGCTCCAGTGGACTCCGTGTGAGCCAAGACTGACCTGAGTGCCATTCAGAGTCGCACACTGAGGAGAGTTCAGCTGGGACACAGCCCTCGCAGTGCGCTGGGGCAAATTCCGGTTGTATGGCAACAAAGGAGATGCCCCCACCCTTGCCTCTCCCCCACGGAGCCACCAGGCCTGCAGTGCAGAGCAGGCTCCAAGTGCTTCTGTCCCCTGCACCTCGGGGTGTGACAACCCCGCTATCCTTTCCTCCTGAACGGAGCTGGGACCTGGCCACTACTTTCTCAGCATGGGTCAAGAGATGCGACCTGAGGCAAACAGAAAGGAGCCTCCTGCTTCCTGGGATGGTCATATAAACACATCAAGTTACCGCTGTGTTTACCTAATTTCAGGGAAAGTCTGAAGACATGGAGGGAGTCATAGGGAACATGACTACGAACCTTCGAGATTACCGCCAACTGTTCGACTGTTCAGTGGAGGGAAAAGTGACAAAGGGGAGGGACTAGCTTCTAAATCGAGGGTTAGATGATAAAGTGCCACTTTGTGCTAAAACAACATGAAAAGGAAAAAGCACTAAAAAAAATAACTACTTGGTGGAAAGTCACAGGATGGATTTGATGTATGTACTCGTATAAACCAAAGCAAAGCTGAGACCACAGAAATCTCGATCTTTTGAGAGAATGGTTGTTTTTCTTGCTATTCGGTAAGATGATCCAGTGATTGTCAGCAAACAGCTTCTTCAGATTACAGGTGTTACTGCCATAGTCGCTTGGGCCAGTGCCTGAACTGTATCTACCTGTGGCTGCGGGGGTCAGCATCCAAGCCCCAGGGACTCCCTCCGCCCCTTAAACATCCACGCAGACCCACTTTTTATATTCCTTTCTGTCCCAGAGCAAAGGAGATGAAGTAGGGAAAAATTTTAAAGTATCCAGGCAATTTTGCTCACAGTTCCAGACAGCCACTGCTGATTTTTCAAAGTGCAGGGTTTTAGACATTCAAGTACCACAGGACTGGAGAAAGAAGTACTTGAAACACTTGCATTTGAGAAGACACCCTTTGGAGAGACCTCTCCAACAGATCACAATAGGCTATTAAATTAAAGATCTGCCTTCAAAACAACACCTCCTTCAGCTGGAAAGATCTTTCTCCACTCAGGTCCAACTTTTGAATTGTTTGGTATCAAAAGCCAGAGTTACAGAGACCTGGGTTAAAAAATAAAGTTACAAATGATGCGTAATAAAACAAAAAGCCAAAAACTTCTTTATATGAAATGAGGAACACACACAAAAAAAAAAAGAGAAAAGAAAGGCAAATAATGACATCTACATGTAGAGACTGGGAAGACAGCTCCCAGGCTCCCCTACAGGGATGTTCTCTCAAACCTCAGCAAGGTGAGTTTGTCATTGAACTTAAGGACTGGTAGCGATCATGGCAATCTACCTGGTCCAGGTCCCCCACTTTACAGGTAAAGAAATTCACGTTCAAAGGGACCTTCCCAGGCTCACGCAGCCAGTGAGAAGCAGCGCCAGGGGCAGCCCCCGCTGCTCGCCCCTGCCCAGGCCCCACACTGTGGTCCCACAGGGGCCGCTGCGTAGGCAGGGCAGACCTTGCTCTTCTGGAGGCTCCCGGGAGCTAGGCCGCACCTCTGACTATGAATTTTAATAAAATTTTAAGACTGAAATGTTTCTAATTTAAAGGCCTTGCGGAACAGTTTCCCAAATTTGCCTGGTGATGAGAATCACCGGGGGCACTTGTCAAAAATTAAAATCCCCAGGCCCCTTCCCAGACCCATTGAATCAGCTTCTCCAGAGGGAGGGAGCTGGGAGGCTGAATTTTTAATAAGCGTCCCAGGTCACTCTCGTCACCAGCAAAGCGCAGGGGAAACTGTCTCAGGAGATAGCGAAGAAGGAACTTGGCTTGTGACTCAAGGGAATTTTTTCTGCCATGTAAGAGGCCCTGGTGCGGCCTGGGAGGCCGGGGTCCCCCAGGCTCCCGAGCTGACCTGCGTCTCCAGCCTGGGCTGAGGCTGGTGAGCTCTTTCCCAAGCTACGTAAGGACACATCCGACCACACAAAATGACAGGCATCCTTCACTGTTCTTGGGGAAAAGCCTTTTGATTGGCAAAGCAAAACGGCTGTTCCAACACATTTTTCATAGGGAAACTAGAAGTAATTGGCTTAAAAGCAATCATGATGCTGCTGAAACTGGACAGACGGTGAGAAGCCTGTCGCCTGTCACCATGGCTAACAATGTAACGGAGAAAACCAGTAACTAAGCACAAAAATAGCCTGGAGCTCCCAGGAGAGCTGCCCACCCCAAGACAGGCGTGCCTGATGGTGGCCCCCGCTGACGGTGTGAGGTCAGATCCAGGTCACGAGGGAGAGGGGAGACCTGAAGCAGCCGTGAGGGACGCGGGCTCCAGAGGAGGGCAGCTGGAGCGCGCCAGAGTCCGGGAGGCCTCACTCCGGGTCGGCCTCCACCTGCTCCGTGTCGGAGCACTGCAACTTGCTGCGCTCCCACTGGCAAATGGCGTTGGCGTACTCCACCACCAGCTTGTCCATCCACGTGAGGGGCTCAGGGAACAGCACGGAGCCCTCAAAGAAGCCCAGGTGGCCCCCGTGCAGAGGCAGCACAAACATGACGTTCTCCCGTTTCTCTGCAGGGGAAAGGCAGCTGCATGAGTCTCTGGGCTCTGCTGGGCTCCTTGGCGGGGGCGCGGAAGATGCAAGCTGGTCGGGTAGCTCTGGACTTCCCCGCAGGTGGAGGCCACCTGCAGGGCATGTGACCCCTACTCTGTCTCGTTCTTCCAAGTGGGCGGGAGATGGGTAGGGCAGGTGCGACATGGGGGTCTAACAGGTGCTGGAATAGCAGCTTGGCTTTGGAGCAGAGCAGGCACCCGCTTGCATATTTGAGAGTGTGGGGTTTGTAAAGATCCCCATGTGGCACCCAGACCAATTGTATCAGAATCTCTGCGAGGTGGGGTGAGAGGGGGACCCAGGCACTGATACTGCTAAAGCTCCCCAAGCAACTCGACTCACAGACAAGAGTTCCCCAGCATTGTGCATCCAAACCCCTGGGACAGCACCTTAAAATGCAGGTTCTGCTTTCGTAGGCCTGGGGAAGGAGCCGAGATTCTGCACTCCTGCTGAGCTCTAGGCAGTGCTGACGCTGCCCGGGGGGAGGGGTGCTGAGGAAGGGTTCACTGCCCAGCATTTACACTGTTATTTACTGGAGAACACGGGCAACTCAATGGAATCAATGGTTTTTCATGACAGACATTAATCTTGTAAGACTGAAACGTAAAGCTGCCAGGAGTGCCAAAAGGCGCCCACACTCTCGCGGCCCACGCTGAGTGGCTATCCTGGGAGTGACTGACGAGGTGCTAGACGGTACGAGTTAGGTGGCTGCACATGCTAGCAAAGGCCATTCCCTGAAAGGGCGGCCAGCACAGTATGGGTGCAGCTGTGGTCCTGGGGGAGTAACTGACAGGGGCCTTTGCTGGCTGCTCCGGGCCTGCGCGTGGCGCTCCCTGGCACACTTGTGGCTCCCAGGGCTCTCTTCTTGCCTGACCCTTTTCACTCTTCTCCTTTCAGTCGCTATTGCACGGATTTCTGTGCGATGGCAGGGGATCTATGGCTGGATGTCGGAAAGAAAGCAAACACAGCTGCCTTCTCCGTCTGCTGCCCACGGGGCTGCGTGGGTGGCTTCTGTACAGGGAGCCCGTGGTGTGACTGAGGGCGGGGGAGTGACAGGAGAGCCTCCATCCCAACACACATGCAGCATGTGCTCTGCATGGTGCACCAGAGCTCTCTGGCAGCCGGGCGTGGGTCCTCTGCCTGCTGTACCATCTATTCTTCTAGCTTGGGGTCGTGAGAGAACCAGAAGTATCCCTCTTCCCTCTGGGGAGCATGGGATATTGAGAGGAAACATCATCATAGAGGATGTGGAGGCAGGAGACGAGGTCCCGGGAATGCCCCCAGGTTTCCTCCTGCTACCCTTTGTCTCGTCTCTTCTTTGGCTCCTGGCTGGTGAGGGTGAGGCCGTGCTGGCCGGAAGCACGATACCACTCCCGTGAGCCACAGTCAGGCTTGTTGAGTTGCTTATATTTTTATCCTCAAAGCACATGGAGAGGCTGACTGTCACGAGGCAGCACAACTGGTTTCTTTCTTTTTCACTCTCTCTCTCTCTCTTTTTCTTTTTCCTTATTTTTTTTTTTTTTTTGCTTTATGGGTCAAGTCTTAAGTGTAAATATCTCTTTAAGCCAAACTCCTTAACTTAAGGGAACTAGAACCCTGAGACAACAATTTCACGGAGCACCAGAGGGCTGTGTCCTTGTCTAGGGATACAAATGACAGGCCTGTCCCCTGTACCAGGACAGAAAGCGAGAAGGCTCTGCCCAGGCCCCACCGCAGCCCCAGAACTATCAGGCCAGTCTGAGTAAGAGCACTGCCAGGAGGTGACAGTACGGTGACAGTGACAGAATAACTGTGGCAGTCGGCTGAGTGGCTGAGGGAGCAGCAGGGGAAATACTTACCTGAAAGAGATTTTGGAATGGTTAGAAGACTTTCATGTACCAGCGGGTCATCGGCTGCGTTAACCAGCATGAGAGGCACGTAAATCTGAACCAAGAAAATAAAAAGAATTAAACGATCATTTCCCTTTGGTAGACCCCGCTGAGTCCAGGCTGAAATTCACTACCAGCTGTTTCTCTGAAGCAGAGGGAAGGGGGCCACTGCTCAGCATGCCGGCCGGGTGGATGAGGGACAGCCCGGATCCCCTGGCAGGGACAGCCCTGCGGGCAGGTACTGGCGGGGGCACGCTGACACTCCTAGACCATCAGGCAGGGGTGGGGTGGGCCGCCGTGCTACGCGGGGGCCTCTGACCTCGGCTCTGGGGTGCTGTCATGGCACGAAGGAGGACACCAAAGCCTGGATGCTGAGGCTAAACTAGGAGGGGCGGCCGACACAACAGATGGCAGAACTGCAGTCCCCACGTACCTGCATTAGCTGGGGTGCGGGCCACACCAGCAGGCGGACACTGACAGGGATGAAGGAATGAAGGGGAAGTTCTGTATCTTAGCAAAACGAGCAATTGTACAAAGAGGGTGAGAGAGACTGGTTGGTGGTGGTTCAGGCAAAAAACATATGGAGGTTATGCTGGCCACAAACTTAATTTAATTCACACAAAGTTCATTATAGCTGCTAGGAACTGCATTAGTATACACCAGTCTCCTTGTCAATAGATGTGTTCCTCCTCATTGGATACAGGAATACACCTACTTTACTGCAATCACCAGATCATGGCTGGACTTTTGAATTCAGTCCTAGGCACCACACTAACAAAATACCCCAATGCCAAAGAAAGGGTCCTGGACGGTGAGAAATCTACATGGATTGCCTGTGAGGAAGCATGACAGGGGCCAGGCACGGTTACACTGTCAAGGGAAGACTAAGGGGGTAAAACAGGTGTTTCAAGGGCTTTTACGCAGACTCTGGGGCAGCTGGGTCCTGCCCTGCACTAAGGGGCAGCTCTGGGATTCACACATGGAGGGCCCAGAGGGGCAGGCTGGGATCAGTAACAAACCCAAGGGAACTGCCGGAGCGGTCGGAGCCACATGCTGGCTGCGCCGCCGGCAGGGAAGTTCAGGAGGGGTGCCGGGGGCCACGGTGGGAGGCTGAGCTCCCTGCCAGCGAGGGCTGCCACTCACCCTGTGCAGGTACCGCATGCAGCTCTCTTCTTCATAGTACTCCTTCAGGGACCTGTAGCCGTGAAACTTCCTGGGCATATGCAAAGGAAAAGGACAGAACATTACTTGTCGTGAGATCGGAGTGCTGGGTGGGTTTTATTCCTGCCGCAGCGCCTGTGCTAACCAGTCACGTTGGTGGAATGCACACCGGCGCCAGAGTTACGGTTAAGAGCACACTGCCTTTGGCATTTGGGCTCAAACCCTGACTCTGTCCCTTACTGGCTTGCATGACCTTAGGCAAAGGGTTTACAGAGTTTCTCACCTGTAAAATGGAGCTAAGGACAGGACCTTCCTTCGTGGCACTGGGAGATTTATGACATCAAAGTGTGTCCCAGCAATGTTATGCTCCCAGAGTAATTACTCATTAAGTTTTATCTATAGTAATTATTGGCAGATGTTACATCTTTCAAGAGGCTATAAAGCCAGATGTCTCTATATACACTAAAAAATTAAAATTCAAAGGCATTTACTAGAACTTTTCAAAAGACTCTGTGCTGGCAGAGTAACCCCAGCTGCTGTGAGCTGAAATGAAGCAGGTGTCAAGCAGGAGAAACGAGGGGCTCAGGTCAGTGATTCTGTCCAGCCACGGGGCAGTGGCCAGAGAGAAACGAGAGTGCACGAAACCTTTACTGCGGTCCTGCCTGAGCTCGGAGGGCCTGGAGCTCCGACACCAGCAGGCCGAGGCTCTCTGAAACCTCATTTCTTCCTGACACAGGTTAGGGCCTCTGGCTTTTCTATTCTGACTGGGGTTTTCAAGAGATCCCTCCTCCCCGGAAGCTGGGGATCTCTTCCGGCACCAGGATGTGAACACATCTCTGCCTGGGAAGGACCCAGAAAGCTCAAGCTAGACAGACTAAGGCTCCCTGCCACCAGGAGGAGGTCACGCGCTGAGATCACCTCCGGGACATCTGTCTTCCTGAAATCAGTCCCCTGCGGTCTCAGGGCCCGGAAAGCCCTCTGATCCTCCAGGCTCACTAGAGACAGCTTATGAAGAGGCTGCCCCAACGGGTGAAGGTCATTCCAAGTGCACCACCCAGCACTATGACAACAAAGAGCTTTAGAGAGAGCTGAGGAACATTCTCTTTGGGGCTTGAAAGAATTCAGAACATGAATGGGAAACTGAAATGTTTGTTGTCTTTTTTTCATTAGACACACATCCATGTCTAAAGTGAGGGTGGGTGAAATTCACTGTCGCCTTTTAACACAGCAGCCTAGTTTCTCAACAGGCGTCTTTCAAGGTTACTTGGTGTAAGAAGGTGACTAAGATCCCATAAGGAAGATGTGCATAGATCCCATACGCTCGGGCCAGTACCTGCCTAGGAAATGAATGAACATTGGCTGGCTTTGGACCAAGCCTAAAGGCATCAAATGATCATTAAATAAAAGGGTGATTTTTAAAAAAGAGAATGATGAGGTCAGAGATCACCTTGACCTTTCCCAGTTAAGGCCTCAGTCGGAAACGACTGGGACAAGGAAAGAGGTCCCTGTCAGGGTCCTGACCCTGGGGGCCTGGTGGGGCCGGGCAGGGAAAAGGTGTTGGGATGTGGGGATGGGTTTGTGAGTTACGCTCAGGGGAGCGTCTTCATGCCCCCAAAGAAAGAGGCTCTGGCCATTTTTCTAGCCACAAAAATGGCCCTCTTGGTCTCTTATTTTTTACTTTTTTGATAGAGACACGGACAGGAACAAGACATAGTTTTCCTTGAGCTCTGCTGCAAACGCAGGTTATGCAGCACCTCAGCCCTGCCCGGCATGGCACACACAGGTGGGCCGAGGTCTGTGGACACCCCAGGCCCCAGTTCGAGCTCAGTCCTGCCACGGAGAGATGCAGGACACGGGGGCACATCCTCTTTCTATTTTCCAACAGAAACTAGAATTTTCATTTTCTGCGAAATCTTTCATTGTTTTTAAACACTGTATTTAGACGTGTATTCAGAGGGAAAAAAAAGCCCGCAGCACTAAAGGGGGCAGAGAGAGGTCCTTATGCTGGGCTGCGCTGGCCTGGGCCTCCCACGCGGATACACACCTCATCACGTTGTCATCAATCTGCATGAGGGACGTGGCCGTGTAGAGGCGACTCAGGTCCGAGTCCTCCAGGCTCCGGGGCTTCTTTACATGGTCTCCAAAAAGAGCTTGTCTAGAATGAGACACAAAAGCAAACGGAGAATAAGATGCAGGTGAGAAACCAAACATGGCATGTTGTACACTTGAAATACCTTCCAATTTTGTCAATGGTACCTCAGAACAGCTGGGAAAAATGTTTCATTAAAAAAATTCTAAGGCAGACAATAAGCACAGTCGAGCCTGCTTCCCTGCCCAGAGGCAAGCTGGGCAGCCTGACAGCGCCTCCCCGGGGACCGAGGAACAGAGGCCTCGGACCTCAGAGGGCCTCCGAGGATGAGCTGGCGCCGCTGGCTTCTGAATGGCTCCAGAGGATGGATGTCAAGACCTTATTTTTCTTCTCAGGGGCGGCTGGACAAACTCAGGACTGGGGTTGAAGCAAGTGACTATTACAAAACCATCACTGCAGGGGAGGAGGTCTCAGGTGGACGGTCGCCACACAGCATGGGGGCCTCATACTCACACTGGTGGTGACGCAGTCCCTGGGGCCGAACCCCGCTCCCTTCACGAGCTGTTTCTGTTGCTTCACAAGGAAGACAGTGTTTAGGCCCCTGAGCATTTGGACAAATCAACAGCTCTGCATGCCTCACCAAAAAACCTCATATATACTCAGTAGAGTAATCATTTCTATTGAGAAAAAGCTCCATCGGGAAGAAGATGCACTTTGGACTCCCATTCCCAGCAGGGATTCAGCCCCCAGGGGGAGGAAGGCCGAGTTTGCTCTGTGGTTTGGTCCTACTGTGGAAAGATCCATATGGAACCGAAATGTTCTGGTTTCCATTCACAACCTTGCCTAAAGAAGAGGAACACATTTCTTTAGCATTTTCCCCAAAAGATTATTAGGAAAATTATATACCTATGGGATAGAATTCACAATTTGAAGTGTCCCTATCACACAGTACTATGTGTCAATTATAGCTCAATAAAACTGGAAAACATTTTAAAGAATAATGTTGATTATAAAGTATTCCTAAAATTTTAGATGTTTGGCTTTCTGTAGTAAACCATAAAACCACAAATACACTTAAAACACATCTAAAGGACGCTCCCACTTTGTTAAGAAAGTCATGGTGGACTTTCTGACTAATCAATAAGTGGCCAGACGGCCTCTGCGGCAAATCTAACGTTCCAGTGGGAGGCGTCACTCACTGTCTGTCCCAGCAGCACGGAAAGGCAGGCACAGGGCATGGACCTGGTGTTAGAGGCCTGGCTTTCCCCCTCCTGGAACCTCCACAAACCCCCAGGCCTGTCCAAACCTCAGCTGAGCTGCAACCAACTCTGGGCCCAGCACCCACTGGTGCTCGAACAGGAGCTGAGTGAGACGGTGTGCAGCCAGCACAGGACACAAGTCCCACTCCGTCCTCCACCACCCAGCGCATGGACTTTGCCGTGTGAGCTCCAACCTTGCCCAGGAGCACGTGAACCCACTCACAGGGAGCCCAATGGGGGTGTGTGGCCACGACAGGAAGCACCACATTTTTAGTAGTTGAAAAAGAGAGAGTAAGAAACTGACCATCCAGTCAGATTGCCTTTCCTAGGGTGGCGTCAAAAACCTAACAATGTATTTCTGAGAGCCCATTAAGTGCCAGGCTCTGGGGGTCAAAAGCTCAAGCCCTCCAGGGCTCTGTAGTTCAGTTCCAGGCACAGCATTCACACCTGGGGCCGGAGGAGCTGGCCTTCCGGAGGAAAGGACCTGAGATGGACCCAGAAGGCTAAGTCGGGTTTGGACAAGCCGAGGTGATAGGAAGGGCATCTTCCAAGAGCACAGTGGTAGCAGCAGCAGGAGGGCGTGGGAGCCGGAGGGGCGGGAGGAGGGGGAGAAGATATTGATGATAATCATGATGAGTCATGGCTAAGATCTGCTGGGAGCTACCGCATGCCAGGCCCTGCTCCAAGCGCTGGCCGGGGGCTGACCCACGGAGCACTCTGAGCAGGAGACAGGCGGGAGGAGCACGGTGATCCGAGGACACCGCGTTCTGCACCGGCAGCTGGACTCCGGTCACACTGCTGCCTGGGCAGAATCCCAGGATCCCCAAATACAAAGCATGGCAAAGAGAAAGGTTCCTAAACAATAGCCAGCCACCCTCAGGATGCCTGACTTTGGGAAAGAATGGTGTTGAAGTAGTTTCTCTTCTTGGATTTTACTGGGAATGATGAAAGTAGAAAACGATCTGGAAAATTTGGGAGCTTGGGACAAACTTGTTTCCTTTTCTTTTTAATTTTTACTTATTGACTTTTAGAGACAGAGAAATTGGTTTGTTGTCACTTACTGATGCATTCATTGGTTGATTATTGTACGTGCCCTGACTGGGGATCGAACCCTCCACCTTGGTCTATAGGGATGATGCTCCAACTGAGAGACCTGGCCAGGGCCAGGAACAAACTTGCTTCTAGTCACAAAGCAGTTGGAAGAGCATCTGCACCACCTCTGCCCCTTTACTTTCCTGGAGAAACAAGAGTCCTTGCTTTTAGGGACTCCGAAATAAGCTGAGAAAGGACAGTCTGTCTCCCGAGGGAGTGGGAGGCAGCATACCTGTGCGAGAGGATGATCTTCTTCATGTTGTCGGCCATGAGGAAGTTGTAAAAGCGCCGGCAATGGTCCCACTGCATGAAGGTCTCCTGGGCCCTGAAAAACCACAGGAGAGTGAAGGGCTGCCTCCTGCGGACGGCGCGGTGGGCAGCGGGCGGCTCTCGCGGCCGAGAAGGGCTCACAGGGAGAGCGCTGGCGCCCTGGGGGGACGGGGCTCAGTGGCACTCACTGCCTGTACAGAAACCTTTGGAGACACCAAAACAGTGCTGCTGAACATGAGACCCCAAGTGAGACGCCTCTCCAGGGACACGGGCTCTGTCGGTGACACTCCCAATGCCTCTCCCAATGCCTCTCCCAGCACCCTGGCCTCCTCTTAGTCACAGAAGCGGCCAGTTCCACACTCTGCTACAACGGAACCCTCTCTGCTTGACCTCATACCCTGTGAGCATGTTTTTCTGGCTCAGTAAACGGAGTGTGTAAGGTGTGAGTGGGTGTGGAGAGGTGCCTTGCAGGGAGGAACCTTAAGGAACTTCGCTCGCTGTGAGCCCACAGGACCCTAACTTCAGAGTTCTGTGCTCTGAGGACAAAGCTGCCTCTCTCTGTCCTCATGGCCAGAAGCTGACGTGACTGCAAGTGACTTCTGAGTATGAAGATCTTTGAGCCTCAAAGAGAGGTGGCGTGGACTATATCTGCAAAATGTATGGTATCTCATAGGTGTTAGTTTCCTCGCCTTTTTTTTTTTTATAAATATCCTTTAAAAAAATTTACAGTATAGGTGACATGCAATATCATATTAATTTCAGGTGTACAACAGTTATTCAACATTTATGTACCTAAGTGACTGCTGCGGTAAGTCTAGTAACCATCTGTCACCATCCAAAGTTAGTACGATTCTACTGACTGCGCTCCCTGTGCTGCGGCTTGTGTTCTATAACTGGACGTCTGTACCTCTATTCCCCCTCTCTTTTTCTGCTCACTCCCCTGCTCTCCTCCCCTCTTGCAAGTCACTGTAGTTGAGGTTCTCAGCTTCGGCAGACTTCTTGGCCTTAGTTCCAGCCCCTTAGTTTGCCAAATGCGCTGGTCACGTGCTCTCGCTAACAGCAGATGGCGCTATCGCAGCAAAAGGAAACAGGGCTGTTGTCATTTAAGATTTTGTACAATGAAAAAAAGGTCCGACACCCTCCTACTTATCAAATCCGGTGCTCTCTGAACACAGAGCCAATGTTCACAGTAATTTCACAGCACTTGGTTTAGGAAACGACTCTAGAGATTCCAATTTTACAGATGACTGAAGGCTTGTTGAAAGCTGGACCGTGTGTCGGGTGAGTGCAGGCCAAGTCCCCAGGCCAGGCCCTGCTCCCATGAGCCCTGGGCAGGCCCTCTGCTCTCCTCTCTGTCACCTAGTGACTGGCCAGGAGGGGACTTTGGTTAACTCTGGTTACATGATGACTACGAACTGGCAGCTGAATATTTCTGGTTGAGCCAGGACAAAGGAACATGTCCCTTGAGTTGCCCTCTGGAGAGCAGAGGGGAGCGAGGGGGAGGGGTACGAACAGGAGGATGAGGGGACTCACCTAGTCCTGCTGTACAAGAACTAGAGAGACCACTGAGAGGCCAAAGCCTGCTAAACGTGGCTAAGTATCAGAAGCCGCTGTGAAATGTGTCCAAATGCAAACTCCTGGCCATACGGTCCCAGACTCATGAACCAGAATCTCCAGGGGTGGGGTGCAGAAAACTGAATTTATTTTTAACACAATCCCCCAAGTAAATCTTAATGAAGTGAGGGAGTCAATCACTATAGTTCACTTGACTGGTCTCTGTGATCCACTGATCTGACCACTTCTTGTTTTCCAGTGAACAATGGTGACGATAATCAACAGTTACTGCCTCCCTTTCTCCTTGGTCACACCCATTAGTGATACTGGAGATACTGCAGTGAAGGGCGAGCGCAGGAAACAGTATGAATGCACGTGAAGAGTCTGGAGAGATGTTCATGTGGTGAGAGAGATTTGGGACAACGCCGACCTCAAAGGCGACTCAGAGCGGACTGCACCCTGTGACTCATCCTGGGGGGTTCAGGTGGCAGGAGACTAAGTGGCAAAAGAGACCTTTCCCCAGTACGTCCTCTCCCTTGTGGTGACGTCTGAGACGCCTAAGGGGGATGAGTATTTGAAAGGGAGGGCAGAGATTAAACGACTTCCACAGACCCCTTCTTGATGCCACCTGAGATCCAACTTTTCTGCAGGTGAGAGGACCCTGGGGTCACGAGGCCCTGCTGCCAGACCCGGTCTGCCCCTCCCCCGTGCGCCTTCACACGCCCGCAGATGTACAGAGTGCATGGGGCACAAATCAAGTCTTTCCACAGAGACTCCTCAGGGAAGCGGCAGCTGGAAGGGAGCACCGGCTTATTCAGCGACTGATCTGATCCCAAAATACAGCTGCATATCCCATGTTTAAGGGGTTGGAGAGAACAAAGGGACAAAGCCATCTATGACATGGAGGCAAATGACCCAGACGTTTCTGCTTGGTCTCTGCTACCTTTCCCGTGGTCTTCACGGAGCAGCGTCTGGTCCATCAGGACATCTCAACAAACAAGTGCTAACTGAACGCCCCGTGGAAGGAAGCAGTGGGAGCACGGGGTGCAGATCACTCACCTCAGCGCGCTGTACCCCTGGCACACGCTGACGCAGCACAGGACCTTCTCTTGGTTTGCTTGAGTCTCCCCCAGGTATTTACACACGATGTTACCACCCAGGCTAAAGCCCACAACGACCAGCTGGGTCAGGGGGTACGTCTTCTTGATGTAGTTTACCATGGCTCCAAATTCCCAGGTGCAGCCTGCGGGCAGAAATGTAAGGCGCGCGGCCATGTCAGGTGTGACAAAGGTGGGAGGAAACGCGAGCTGGAAGGTTACTACATGGCTGCCAAGACAGCAACAGAGAGAGATGTGTGAGTGAGTATGTCTTTGGCCACCTGGAGAGAAGTTCCCAGGTGCCCCCCAGTGTACGAGGGAACGTGGCATCCGTGGTGCCCAAGAAGGAGGGCACCAGGCGTCAAGCACACGTGTAACCCCCCCTCAAAGGGGGGCCGTGAGAAACCTGCTGGGATGCTTGTGGACATCAGCAGAGGCTCAGCGTGTGCATGGACACGTATGTTCGACCACGGATGTCAACAGCAGCGAGAGCGAAGCCCTTCGCACTCTAGCTTCTTAGGCTGTACAAGAGAATAGGCTGCTGCGCCCATGTGTACCGTGATTCGTGGTGTCAAGAAAGGTCCTGGGTGCATGTTATTTACAGGATCTTCTTGTGGGGGAGGGAAGGGAGACACGTTTCAGTCCCGAGGGATGGCCAGGATGCCCTGCAGGATTAGGAGGGTGTTCTCGGTGACCTAAGGATAGGGTGCCAAGGGAGGCAGGCCCGTTCACAAACACACAGAGGACCTGCGGACAGAGAGGGTGCGCAGGCCCGTCTGCTCCGGAGAGCTGCCCTCAGCGGCGCCCCTGGGGAAGCTGGGGAAGTCGGGTGGGGTCTCAGCGGCTCGGTTAGGAGAAGCAGGCCGGTGGCCACACATGGACGAAGGGATTCATTACATCCTGCTAAGGCCCAACCCCAGACTCAACCTAAAATAAAACCTAACAGGGAAAGTTAGGCGCTGCGGCAAGACACACAGACAAGGTAGAACAGAATGAAGAGTTTGGCTTTGTGCCTGTTTTTGAAAATATGGATCTCTAGTCCAGCAATTACACGTTTGGGAACTCTATACTGTAGATGTATGTAAAGATGTACACACGTGTCCAAGAATGTCTACTGAAGCCCTGTCTGGAGCAGCAAAGGACTGGAAATAACCTAAATTTCCACCTGTAGAGGACTAGTTACATTAATGTGAAAGAGAATGACATTGAGTCTGATCAGCTGATGTGAAATGACATGGAGCCACCTTACTGAGGGACAGAAACAAGGGGCGAAGGAGAGACTGACACCATCTCAGGTATGTACTTCGGTTTTAAAGGGACTAAATGGGCACACAGAGCTGACTGAAGCATTGCTAAGAAACTAGCAGACACAGATTTTCTGAGGAGGTGGCTTGGGGAACTCGGGTGGGATGGGGCCATAATTTTACCCTTTGCATTTGGACTTTGGCACCATTTGAATGTTTTTACTACATATATACACTACCTTTTCCAGTAAAAAATCCAGCCAGTTAAAAGATCTAGCAAAAATAAAGAAAAAGATTTAAAAAGGTGTTTGAGTCCCCCTGGATCGGCCTCACCTCTGTTGAAGACACCCCATACCTGTCTCGTGCGACAGCGGTGGTGCGTGCAGCTGGAGATGGGGACGCTACGTGCCTGCTTGAGCAGTGGCACCAAGGGACTTGTTTAAAGTCAAGTAAAATCTTTAATTGTTCACCATTTCCTTGGGATTCTTCTTAATTTTGTTCATTCTCGGCTAATTATTTATTTCTGTATGTTTAGTTCTAACACTGAACAAGCCTCTATTAAACTTCGAGCTCCATACAGCGAAGATGTTCTTGGTCCTGATCACCACTGTATCCCAGGGGCCTGGCGCGTAGTGGGCACTCAGTGGGCATTACCTAAATGCATGGACGGGAGACAGCTGCCTAGGGCCAGGCCTTGTGCTGGGGGCCGGCCCACAGAGGAGGGGGCAGATTGAAACAGATAAATGACTCGCCCAACCTCACACCGTGAGCGAGTGGGAGCACCCGCCTTTGGACCCACGACGGACCCCAACGCCTAAGTCCTTCGCCTTATATCCCAAGCTTAGGAGTAAGTATTATTACAGCAGGGGTTTATATTTTAATAAAATTCTTACTTCTTCACCATCTGCTTCCTTTTAGACCCATCTATCTTTCCTCAGGTTTGAAGTTAATTACTTGAGGCCTAGAGCAGATGTCCAGATGCCACAGGAAGGGGTAAAACTTGGGTTTGCTACACTGTAGCTGATTGTGTTGGTGCTTTGGGAGCATCGCTGTTCAAATCCAAACATGTCGGAACGGGATGAAAGGCCAGCCCTGCCTAATGCCGGGCAAGCTGCTGGGTGTCTTGCAAAGAGCTGTCATCTCTCCCTGGCAAGGGACAGGCAAGGGCATGGTGTCTGCCGGCTCCAGGACCAGCCTTCTGGTATGAGCTGGGTCTTCCGGGGATCTCCACCTGGCGTCAGCCACCAAATGCCCTCAGTGTCTGGGAGCCCCTCCCTGGTTGTTTTATGAGAGCTACAGCAATCTGTGTTTTAACACTAGGAGGATTTTGATGAGGTTCTATGTATTTAATCCTTGTGGGATTAGCACCAGTAACAAGATTTAGGTTTCTAATCTTGCTGCAACTTTTTAAAGCCAAGATGAAATAGGAGATGCTGGCCTGGCCTTAGAGAGATGAGGACTATAGGGGGTGGGGGAGTAGGGGGGTGTGCATCCTGGAAAGGCAGCTGCTGAGAACAGGAAGCCCCTTCTCCCCAAGCTCCCGCACTTCAACAAGGACAAAGCCAAGGCTGCCTTAAGGCCACTATTCCCAATGTGGCTAACATGACTAAGTACGCTCCCGTTCGGGGACCCGGAGACTTAGTGTTCCTTGTGGTTGGAGACTGTGAGTCATCACTGTCTCCCCAACACCAGGTCTGGGCCTAGCATATGGTGCCTGTGTCACCCATGTTTGTGGGGCAAGAAGAAAGTCTCAATCATGTGGAGTGAGGACGTACAAGGACCTCAGACTGTGGCTGCGTTTGGAGAAAGAGCCCTTAAAGGATGCTTAAGTTAACGCGGGGTTGTTAGGGCGGACCCGGGTCCAATAGGACTGGTGTCTTTATAAAAGGAGGCAATTGGGACACAGACACAGAGACAGTTTGGGATGCACAGTGGGACGGACGGCCGTCTACAAGCCAGAGAGAAGCACTGGAAGAAACCAGCCCTGCTGACACCTTGAACCTGGACTTCTAGCCTCCGCAACTGGGAGAAAATAAACGTCTGCATTCTAAGCCACCCAGACTGCGGCACCCCGTTGTGGCAGTCGCAGGGCACTGAAACGGTTTCCTGAGAGTCCGCGTGCTACTCACTAAAATGGCCATGGATAAAATGACAGGCTGTCTGGGACCTGTTCCAAAGTCATCTTTGAAACAGGGATGTGGGAAGGGGATGGTCTGTAGTGAAACAAGACTGGCATAAGCTAAGTAATTGTTGAGGTTGAGTGACGGGTACACAGGGGTTTATCTGGGTTCATTTTAGTATTCTCTCTAATTTTGTATAATTTAAACATTTCTATAATGAAAAGTTTTAAAAAACACCCTGGAGAGGACACAAGGTTATGTGTGAGACCTGTATGCATCGGGGCCCCCACCCCTCGGGGTAGCTAGGACCCTGGGGGACGGTCACGGACTTACACCGGCAGACTCAAGAGTTCTTTAAGGCAGAAATAAAGGAAGACTTCAAGGGAAACCACCACGTTACTGCATAAGAAAAGGAAATGCTAGAAAAATAAACTTTTCCAAGTTAATGTAAACATTACAATTCCTAATAAAAATTGGGGTGCACTGTGCTAGGGTTCACCACAATCAGCTTCTCCTCCCTGGGAAGCACGTCTCCCCTGCCCCGAGGTCAGGGGCCGATCGATGGTGAGCGGTGCGGCCCCTCTCATTTCCAGGTGGAAGCTTACAGCTCTTTCCACTCTCTGGGAGGTGACTGAGATCCAGCTGGTGGCTGCAACATTAGACCGGGTCCCTGTGTGAGGACAGTAATGACGGAGACATAGGGACCCCAAGACAACATAGGATGGATGTGTAGTGTGAGGAAGAAACATATCTTTGCTTCTAAACCACCGAGATTGGTGGGGTGTGTCTAGAGCATAATCTAGTCCATCTTGACTGACACAGAAATTCAAACTCATTCTAAAGTTCAACTGAAAGAAAAAGAGGCGGACTCTGAAGAAGCAATGGGTCAGGGTTAATGCTATCAGAAATTAAGCCACAGCACAAAGTAACAATAAGTAGAAGTTAATAATGACATTCAGTGTAGAAACAGAAGCGGATCTTCCCCTGTGAGCTTAGTTTTTGCCCCTACTAGAGGGGATGGATACAGGGCCGGGCCCCGCCACCCCTCACAGATGGGCGTACACTCTGCACTGAGAAAAGGAAGGCAGAAGTCACAGAGCACTTGCAGTGGGGATAGAAGCAGGGGACTCCACCTGGCCATGCCCCCCACTTACCGTAGGTGAACATGCGTGGCGAAGTGAGCTCGATGTTGGGCAGGGCGCCCAGGTGGTTGAGCACAGCGCACCGGTAGCCATTTTTCTGGGCATAGTCGACAAAGGTCCGGATGTACTGCTTCTCACTGTGATTGGCAATTCCAGGGCAGATGACCATGGTGACGTCATCTACAGGGTGGAGAAAGAGATCCCGGTGTGTCCAACAAACGACAACACAATGAATGGACATGTTACACTTCCCTGACTTAGAAAACAGGAGCAGGAAATTTAACATACATATTTTCCCTCAATTCTCTGGGAAAGAATATCTTTCCAATTTTTAACTTTCCGCCTCCATCCTGGAGAGAAGAGCAGCCCGATTAAATTAAATTTTGTGCTTTCATGGTAGAAGAAATATGAGTATTAGGAACGAGAAAAAACATGTAACTGGGAATGGCAGAGAAATAAATATTTGAAAGATCAGCTACAAGAGTTATAAACACAACGTGAACTCTAACCTATCTTTTATTCGTTCCTTCTGTGACTGTTTATTGGGAACCTGCCGTTCCAGCCTCTGGGGAGCCTTACACTCCAGCAGGCAGACAATAAAGAACTGTGCAGCACATTAGAGTGCGGCAGGCGCCCTCAGGAACTAGAGCAGGAAGGCATGATGGATTTATGGGGAAGGAAACACTCGTCGGGGAAGGCAGGGACTGTGCCTCTGAGGAGGTGGCATTGGAGCTGAGACCTAAATGACAATGAGGCGGCAGCCCTGGGCAAGTCTGTGGATGAACATTCCAGGCAGCGTGAATGTAGTTAAACCATCGTCTCTAGCGACTCAGCACTTCTATGATTTTGAGTAACTAAGAGTTGTAATGTGTTTACTGGAATCTTCCTGCAAATACTGACCGAGCTCCTGGAAGAAAACTAGGTGCCTTTGCATACGACAGAGCTCGGAAGACACGTTCTCTTCTGGTCAGAGCGGCATGTAAGAGGGGCTGCCATCTAGCTCCACTCCCTCCACGCCCTCACTGGGTGGCGCTCTGTGTGTCCATCATGCAGGACGGGCAGGGCGTGGGAGAGGCATTTCTCAGAAACAGGGGTCCCGGACCCCCACCTGAGAAATATGACCTCGGCGGGTCTTTCTGTCCATGGAAACCTACACAGAGGGCACCAGGCACCTTTATTATCTGCTGTTATCCAACAGACAAAACCAGTCTACATGGCATCTCTAAGCTTCGGTTCCTTCGTCAGCAGCACAGGGATAATAAGGCACCGTCCTGGTGAGGAGTAAATGAGATGACAGTATGTATAAAGCACATTGAACAGTCTGGCTTCTGTCACTGTCACCAAACCAGAGGCCTGGTCCTGGGGCGCCTGAGTTCTCCCGCATCCCCTTACACCACGCTCTGTCTTTCACAGGACGGGCTTACGACGGTATTCGACACTGCTCTTAAGCTGTCCCTGGGGCGGGCAGGCACAGGCTGGACCTAATCCTTGTCAGTCACTCCTAAGTGAGGAGTCTCAGCAGGCTCTCCCCAGGCCCTGGGCAGGACGGACAGCAGGAGTCGGCAGCACGTGTGTGTACATGGTGCCCCCTTGCTGACCGGTGCTCCCTTGCTGAGTCGGGGCCCAGTCATACCACCTCAACTCGCTCACCTCCAACACAGTGCTCAGCCAAGGGCTCGAAGAGGTCGAAGGTCGAAGTGGCTCCATCAGACATGGTGATGAACTTCCGGTGCCCATACGGGTGTGGTGACCTCACCCTTCCCATCTTCCCATACAAGGCGGTTTGGATGTGCCCACTCTTCCCCCAGATCAACGGTGGGATGTATCTAAGGAAGAAGGAGACAAGAAGTGAATTTGCTCTACATTCCATGAATAAGGCTGTAAAAAACCTTTGAGCAAAAGTCTTTAAAACTGTTTAAGATTTTTTCTGACACATTCTGTACTGAACATGAACATCCATGACACGACTTACTCCCTTTCCCCATGTATTAATATATCCTGCATCAGATTAGCTTTAGAAATCAACCAGGACATGCTCATATGGACGGGATTTCAAATTCAGGGTGGTTAAGTAATTCCACGTGGGTTACTTCCACAGCGCAGAATAAAAAGAAACTGAGTGATACATTTCAAACACATGCCACAGGACGGGGTTGGCCTCGTTATCCAACGAGCGAACGTCTGTGGAGCAGAAGCGCAGAGCCTGAGCTCACTAAAGGCTCCCTCCTCTGCCTCCCCTAACAAGACAGTCCACGGCTGCAGCGGCTACTCCATTCCCCAAACCAGCTCTGCTACACTGGGATGGGCTGCAAACTCTTCTAAGAGCCTGTGCGTGTGTGTGCCAGGCCTGGGGGGCGGGGGGCGGGGCTGTATGCCCCAGAGAATTTACTGGAAGGGCAGAGCAATGTAAATATTTGCTGCATTACTGAAGGATAAAGGCTGGTCAGTGTAAGCAAGGCATGGCGTCACCCTCACAATTGTCCCTTGTGAAAACATGGAGTGACTGCTCCTTGGTGGAAAGCACGAAAACCACAAACTAATTACTGGGGAAACAAGGTGCTCCAAGTTACAGTTAGGAAATGTTTACAGTTGACAACCACAGTACAAGAGGGTCCCATGTACCGAAACTGCTTTTGGTTTCTTTTCTGCAGCTTTAAGCCCAGCTTGATGGCTGGGCAGGGTTTATATTCGATATAAACTAGAGTCGTGGAATATAAAGCAGTAATGTCACCAATCCTCCATCTCTGTATCACTTCACAGTGGTGAGCATTGTCGTAAAATCAATAGTTCGCCTTACGCTATCGGTCAAGTCATGCCTGTCATTTCTGTCACACTAGATGATCCTAGAAGCCCTTCTTAAATTAAACCAGGTTTGCTTTTTTTTTTTTTTTTTGGTAATTCATTAAATCTACACAAACTTAAGAGATGTGAAGCTATCACCCGAAGCGAGCTAGTTCCCAGAGGAGCTTCGTCTTTGGGGATGGGGAGGAGAGGGAAGAATGTTTTAAGATGTACGGACATGGCGTCACTTGCTAACACCACACAATGGATGCAAATCTGAGTGGAAGCCATGGTGTTTGGGAAGCAGACGCAGGCATCTATAAGAATGGGTGCATTTTAACAACAAAAAGCGAGCTTCTAAAAATCATGTCAATGGGTCAACTGAATACTATACAAGATTTAGATACAGGACATATAGGTTTCAGACTACCGACCTGGATGATACATGGAGCCCAGGGGAAGACTGTAATCCAAGAAACTGAGCTGAAGGCTCCTGGGGGAAGTGCCTGGTGCACGGCTCTGTCCTGGCGCCCAGGCGGCTTGGTGAGTGTAACGACTCTTTTCGAGCGCACTCCTCTTGCCCGCTGTGGGAGCCAGGCCTAAGTACCCAATACAGTGAGCATGTGGGGAGGATGTGCTGCACCAACACAGTGCAGGCCCACTAAGTAAATCTGAAGTTACAAAGATATACTGAGGTCTGTCTGGAAAAAACCCAGCTATTGTAAATATAACGAGAATGGAATATGCGACATCGATGTAGCCTGGCAGCCAAGCAGAGCGGACTGGAATGTGCATGTGTAAACGATGACAACTTCACTGTACTAGTCAGTGGGGAGGTGGCAGTCACCACTGAGTGAGCACATGTATGGTGTGGCCATTGCATGCAAAATGACTGAGCGAGTAGAGCAACGAATCTGCGTCAAATTTTGCGTTAAGCTTGAACATTCTCCCACAGAAACTGTTTGGATGATTCAGAAGGCTGCAGCTCTGGGCAGCTGGTGATTGGCAGCTTCATCACAACAACGCGCCTGCTCATGCATCACGTCTCATGCAGAGTGTTTTGGCGGAACATCAAATCACCCAGGTGACTCAGCTCCTCTACGGCCCAGATTTGGCGCCCTGCGACTTCTGCCTTTTCCCAAAACTAAAATCACCTTTGAAAGGGAAGACACTTCAGACCATCGATGAGATTCAGGAACATACAATGGAGCAGCTGATAGCGACTGGGAGTACTGTGCGAGGCCCCAAGGTGCCTACTTTGAAGGGGACTGAGGTGTCATTGTCCTCTGTACAATGTTTCTTGTATCTTCTTCAATAAATAGCTCTACTTTTCATAGCACATGGCTGGATACTTTCTGGACAGATCTCGTATTTACAGAATAACACGCACCATAACAACAGGAATTTGGCTGTGGCACGACTGGTGTCTGGTCATGGCGTTCTTTCCAGGGCACCCAACCCTGTTCTGAGACTTGGCTGGGATGAAAGTCTCACGGTGTGTGGTGTGTGAGTAGGAGACAGCCTCAGTTCAGTGTCAGGTCAGCTGTGCATGGGGAAGTGTCACAATCTTCAATTTTACGACGATACCACCTACTGATCAAGCATTGTTTTTAATTGGCTTCGTATTAACACAACCCCAGAGTTTACACAATTGAAACTGTGGACAGAATTTTCTGTGGTGGGGTTTTTCCATGTGTTGTTTATGTAACTTAACACAGATCACACACACACACACCCCCACAAATTAAAAAACAGAAAACCAGAATATGTGCTTAGTCACTTGGTTTGGGTCAGAAAGGAAATATGGACCAAAACAATGGAAAATTTTAAAATTTATATAAGCACATAAACAGTTAAGAGATTCGTCTAAAAAAGTACATGGAGGGATATGCTTTACGTACATGCTACTGCGACTGAAAATACAGCTGCCAAGTTCCACCCACTCCTGTCCCCACAATCCATTTGCCCCATCGGGAGCTAGACGCCTCCCGCCCTGCTAGAGTGCAGGCTGGCCGGTGACTTGCTTGGGCTGGCAGACTGCAGTGGGAGGGATGCTGTCAGGCCTGCGCCTGGCCCTTCACAGCCCCGGGGCCTGGTGGCTTCTACTCCTACTTCCTGGCCCTGGCACCACGCAGCCAAGAGGCTGGGGCTTGATGATCCTGTGAGGAGAGGTCACACGGCGTGGGGGTGGGTGTAGAGGTTGTGAATGGAACGGAGAGCCATGTGCATTTCAAATCTTAGAGGACCACTAAATTGCCTCCCTCAACAGATGGACCAACTGACACTCCCACCAATTATGCATGAAAGTACCTCACCCTCACCCTCTTTAATCATCTTTAAGATTATTGTCTTCCTCACCCTCAACAATAATTGGTGATATCAATCTTTTACATTTTGGCCACCTTGACAGGCCAAAAAAAAAAAAGATATTTCATTTCAACTTGTATTTCTTAGGTTTGATAGAATCTATGGTTTAAAAAAAAGGTTTCTTATTTGCATTTCCCTGGTTTATATATTTATTAATCATTAGTATTTCTTATGTGGATTGTCTATTCATGTCCTTTGTCCATTTCTTTATTATTTTTCTTCTTAATTTGTAGATATTGGTTTATCACCTTTATATTGTCTTTATATATTATGTTGCAAAGGTTTTTGCTCAGTCTATCCTATATCTTAATTTTATCTTTTGGTATTATATAACTTTTACATATTGTGTTTAAATTTGTTAGTTTTTCTATTAAAACCTTTGTGTTTTGCATTGTTTTAAAAAGACCTATTCTAACACCCAATTACATATTGCTCAATATTTCCTTCTATTACTCCTACTGTCCTTAAAAATGTATTGCCCTTAAATCCACTTATTTTTGTAAATGATGAGAAGTAAAGATCTAATGCATTTTCTCCTAGCAGTTAGCTAATTGTCCTTCCACCATAAATGGCCCATCCTTTCCCTACTTATTTAAGCTATTACTTTAAATATATACTGAGTTTCCAATGAAATACTTAGATTTGTGTGTATACTCTCTGTTCGGGTTCATTGACCCACCTGGCTGATCTGGCGCCCAGACGACGCTGCTTTCCTCAGGACTGCGCCACGCAGCCCTCTGAGAGTTGACAGCGCAGGCCTCCCCCACTCTTGTTTTTCAATGTTTCTTGGCCGATTTTTGCCATTTCATTTTCCGGATGAACTATAGGAGCGGTCTGATCTACGAAAATCTTGCGATTTTTAATTGGAAACATACAAAGCATATTTATTTTACCTTGGGGAAAACTGACATCTGTACAACCCTGACTTGTCCCATTCAAGAGCATGGTGCATCTCTCCATTATTCAGGTATTTATGTCCTACAGTAAAACTTTATAGCTTGCTACACGTTTCAATGCTCAGTTTTTACTACACTAATTTGCATGTACTTCTACATGAATTTTTTTTTACGCTGTTCTTACAGTTAGCATCCGGGCATGTTTATTCCTGACTCCCTGAAAGCAGAGGTGATGTCGCCCAGTTTACTAACTGTACAGGGTTTTGTCCAATGCTGCACTGTGGCCAGTGGCTAGTACATGCTCGTCACTAAGCTGGACCACAACACAATATAGAGGCCAGACTGTCCTTATCCTCTGAACCTATTTATAACCAACATCTGGATACACTAACAGAACTGCCCCTGGAAAGGCCACAGGGGGAAATCTGGCCCCCTTCCGCCCCACCCCTCCATACACACACAGAGGAGTTCACATGAGCAAAGACAGATGGTTGCTATGGCTCATGCTCATCTTTGTGCTAAATCTGTGGGTGACCACTTTTGCCTATGGGACCCAGGGCACTTGGTGTGGATCAAACACTTTAAAGCTGCTGAATTCAGACTTAGCCAGGATTCCCTGGTTCTCTCGAGTACCTCTGTACCAAGTCAGCACGGGTTGGCGCACAGTAGGATGAGTGAGGAGGCTCAGCCTGAGACTGAGCGTCCCCACTCCCAGCAAGTCCTTGCCTGTGAACCAAATGCCCACCAGCAGGCGCTCCTCGGCATTTCAAGTTTGTTTCAGA